TATGGAGCGCAGCTGCCTTGTAGGGCAATACAGTGTTACAAGCTCTTTAGACAAGACGGTGCCTCACCAGCAAGTGCCTTGTAGGTGAGGAGAAGTACCTTGAATTCTATTCTTGATTTAACAGGGAGCCAGTGCAGAGAAGTTAATACAGGAGTAATATGATCCCCTTTCTTAGTTCTTGTTAATACACGTGCTGCAGCATTCTTAATCAACTGGAGAGGCTTAAGAGATTTACAAGGGCAGCCTGATCACAAAGAATTACAGTAATCCAGTCTAGAAGTAACAAACGCATGAAATCATTTCTTGTTCCTGATTTTTGATATGTTACGTAGATGAAAAAAGGCAGTCCTTGAAGTCTTCTTCATATGAGAGTTGAAGGTCATCTCCTGGTCGAAGAGAACTCCCAGATTCCTGACGGTGCTGCTGGGTACCAGAGCAATTCCATCCATGAAAACTGTATCACGTGACAGCTGGCTTCGAAGGCGCTCTGGGCCTATCAGGATCAGGAGCAGGAGCATCAGGAAGTTGCCGGTCATCCAAGTTTTGATGTCTCCAAGACATTCTTGGAGTCTAACAAGCTGGTCGGTCTCTTCTGGTTCAGTTGAGTATCGTCTGCATAACAATGGAATGGATTTGGAACCGTTAACCCACAAAATCAGAACCAAAGAGTAACAATGTTGTGACAAATGGGAGAAATGGAAGAAGTTCAACACATCAACGACAGTATAGGTGTGTGTATGTGTGTGTGGTGTGTATCCTGTCTGTGTTGAAAATGCAAAAATGTACTTCTTACTTCCTGTTTAGTGCAGCTCTTCAGTCACCATTAAGTGTTGGCAGATTAAATGTTATCTTCGAGTTAAAGGAGGCATCCTGACTGAAGACAACCAAGATTCTTTACAGTGCTGCTGGATACCAGAGCAATGCCATCTAGAGACTATATCAATGGACCGCGAAGGTGCTCTTGGCCTAGTACAGCAGTTCCCAAACTCAAGAATGCCGCGGCCCTATTTGAAATCTGAAAATCTTTCGCGGCCCACCCAAACCTTTAATCACAACTGTGATCAAAACATAATCATTAAATGACCTTACGAATTTAACCAAAATCAAACATCCGTGAGTAAAAGTTAGTCTCCGCGAGGTATTTGCTCGCTTGCGAAACGTGAACTTCGTTGCTTGCGAGGAGAATCTCTGCTCACGCTCGAAGGAGTTTTCTACGCGCTCGCTGTTGTTCTTTCTGACAGTAAGGTGGAGACGGTGCTTTCAGGGTCCGATCGATGCTGCGAGGTGCGTCCGCTCCCGCCGCCCCCCTCGCCTTCCACGCCTTAAATCTTTGGCTGCTTTTAGAATAACTTATTTCCCCCGTTAAGATGGTTCAGCTACTGTAGAGAAAACGGCACCGTCTCTCGCTCTTTAATCTCATGAAGTGCTCGGCAAGAACGACAGCTTTGTTTCTCCGACGCGCCCTGAAACAAGCTCCATATCTCACGCGCTTGAGCGCCGTTTAGCATCTCGCCGTCGTAGACGAGCTTTGGCATGTTTGGCAGAGCGCCTTGAGCGCCGTGTACAACCAGTATGGATCAACCGATTAACCAATTGATCCATATATAAGGCGCTCCGGATTATAAGACACTGACGTTTTTTGAGAAAATTAAAGCCTTTTAAGTGCGCCTTGGAGTGCGGAAAATGCGGTATATTCACTTTAATACTACAAGAGGGCGCCCCGCTTGTTGAACAACGACAGGCGGACAAGAGCAAGAGCCTTATTGTTTTATTAATCTGTCCGTTTAAATTGTTTGTGCTTCATCAACTAATCTTCCACATAACTAATGTGCCGCATCATAAATATTTTTATATTAATTTCAAACTTTTAAAAATTGAAAATTAAAAAACTTTATTTATTGTAAAGGACCTCTCGGGCCCACCTGCAGTACCTTCCCGGCCCACCAGGGCCGGGCCCACACTTTGGGAATCGCTGGCCTAGTAAATTAACCTGCGTTTTATTTGAGATTAACATCAGGAAGTTGCAGGTCCTTAAGATATGCTTGAGGTTTTCTTTTTTTCTACATTGTAGATAAATATTGAAAACTGATATTGAAAACTATGAAGGAACACGTGGAATTATGTGGTCAACAAAAAACTGCTCAAACCCCAAATAAGTTGTATATTTTAGATTCTTCAAACTAGTCAATGTTTGCTTTGATGGCAGCTTTGCACACACTTGGTATTCTTTCAATCAGCTTCACCGGGCATTCACCTTGAATGTTTTCAGTTAACAGATGTTGCTGTCAGAAGTTGATTTGTGGAATTTCTTGCCTTCTTAATGTGTTTGAGTTGTGTTGTGCAGGATTGGTACACAGTTCTATAAATTGAATAGGCCTATTTGATTACAGTTCTAATCCATATTACGGCAACTAAGTAAGAGAATCGGCAGTATACTTTAGGACAGGAAGGTCAGTCAATCCAGAAAATTTCAAGAACCACGGGTGGAGTTGCAAAAAACATCAAACTCTGAGATGAGCTCTCATGACTGCTCACAACAGGAAGACCACGCTGAAGAAACTTGGGGATGTTTCATGTTTCACTGCTTCAATTGATTGAATTTCTGTTTAGGAACATACATGTTAATCAGCCTATGCACAAAACATACACACATTTTCCATTCAGTATTACAATGTTCATTTTTGTATTTCATTCAGTGTCTTACGTTAGGCTATTGAGATGAGTTTTGTCTTTAATGATTTTACAATTTTATTTTTTCCAAACATTCATTTTGAGCGTTGTTAAGTAATAAACACGTACCTTTATTATTTGTCTTAAGGACAGTAAATAAACTGCACCAATTATGTTTAATTTTAGTGTTGTGTATTTGTCGTATTTGTAATTGTAAGGAACAAGCAAGCTTCGGGTTTTAAAAAACGGTACCATCCTGGCACATACCGTATAATTACCGTGAAACGCCTTATCGTAATAAATAAAACAGTAAATCCATGGCGTCCCTGCTGCCAGTTATTGACTGGCCACTATACACACCACTCTGGAAATATTCATAGAAACATTACAACGGCACACCTGCAGCTTGGGAGTTAAATAGAATACGGGGTCGTCATCAGACTCACCCTGACTGGTGCTGTGGGAGCGCGTGACGTCGACGCTGCCAGCGTGGAACGCGCGCCGCGCGCCCATCCAGGAAGTAAACTGACCGGTTCTGTGGAGTAGAGAAAGAAACTATAGCACCAGATACGCGCCCGACTGTGAGCTTCAGCAAAGACTTCTGAAGGGACGAACATTACGTGTCCTTGCCGTGGACCGTGACAGACGCGGACAAGCCGCTGCGTGAAGGTAAGAGGTCGGTCGGCCGTGAGCGTTGCTAGCAAGGTTTTAAGGGGCCGAGGGGCTGCGGGGCTGCGGGGCGGGTTGAACCTGCTGGCCGAGAGGAAGCAGCGTGTAACGGGTGTACTAAGTGTAACGTTGCCCCCGCTGCCGTAATGTCTCCGCTCAGAGATGGCTGTGGACATTGCGGAAGTGCAGTGGACTGCTGCTCATTCACACAGGATCCCATTGTTGACCGATGGATGCCACGTATAAATAGGGATCATATTAACTTAATAATGCAAGAAATGAACGAAGGGGACTTTATAATTATTTTGTAACGTTGTGCTTCTTCTTGGTCCAAAAGGACACTGTTCTGCAATACCTGTAGTCATAGCTACAACAGCATTTTTATTTCGAGAGGTTTACGCTGTGCTTCAATGAACATTACGATGGAAGCTTTGAGCTTTGAAAACAATAGCAAAATGATATGATGGACAGGATAAAATAATATGTCCAAGCAAGTGATGAAAGCTCCGTAGCACGAGTAGCAGGATGTCTCCATTTATGCATGCACACAGTGATCTCACATTTTCTAATGACTGGTTTAAAAATGTTTGTTCTAATACTCTTTTCAACTTCCACACACACATACACACATTTTAGATGATGGTGAACTCAACATTTGCTCAGGTGGGAAAGAATCTGAGTGAAGCCATGAGAATCCTTGGAGACGGACAGATGTGAGATAAGGAACTATTTTACTTTCTACCTTATGCTTCCATAACTAACTTTCTGATGTTGCTGAAACTTTAGGATTATGGCAATGGAATTTTTTCACAGTGAGCTAACATCAAGCAAAACACGGGAACACATCTGTATGTCGGTCTTATGTTGAACTTCTGACCAATGAGCACAGAAAGCAACATTGTCTATTGCATCTGTTTAGAGAGCCAGAGGCAGGACCAGTGAAGTGGCGCTTCAACAGAACCACCATCCCAGGACCCCTGCAGGGAGAGTAAGAAACACACACATGATCCCTTTCTGGTTGAGCATGCTTTAAGTCTCAGACGGGACTTTCCTTCCTTTTCTGATTCTGTTAACGTGTGAGCTCAGCGGTATTTCTGAAGAAAGCACTGTGAACCACAGCAAGTAAATACTTCCAGCTTCTTTCCTTTTTTGCTTGTTGATGTTTTGTAGGTAAGCATTTGCTTTTGCAATATCAAAGGGCCATGGACAGTTGATGTTGTAAAAAAATGTTTTATTTTTCTTATCTTGGCAAAAGGGCTCTGGACCCCTTGTTCTCCTAGCTCACAGAAGAAAATAAATACGAAAACATTGGTGAATCCCTGAAATCCACGGGTACTAACAAAAAAAATCCTGGATACGTACCCAAATAAGAGGACAGTTGTTTGTAAATTGCCTCCTGCATGAGGCCCAATGAATTGATAAACTATTAACTTCAAGTAATAACTGCTCTCCGGCAGTTAAAAACGCACTGAGCTTGAATAAGTCTGTTCATAGGATAGCTGTATGTTGTGATGAAGAAGGTTATTTTGTGAAGCTCATCACTTTTTTCCTTTGCGTCTCCTGTGCAGCGGTCAGGATGTTGCCACTATACTGCACCTGGTTCACAATCTCATTCATGATGAGGAAGAGGAGGAGGACGACAAGCCAAGTCAACAGTGAGTACAACTCCAAAATGCATTTCCTGCTGAAAATGCTGAACGCTAAAAGCTTAAATTAATTTAATTAAAAAAAATTGCTCAATATACAGAAATAAGAGTAGGTGAATGATTTTTTTTTTCTCAACTGCTGAAAATACTGAAATGAGAAAATACCAGCAAACTGAAATTAATCTCAAATGTAAATGATAAAGAAACGGCCTGGGGGAAAAAAGAAAAAAGCATAGAACATCTGACCGTTCAATCTCTGGGGCCCCCTTAAATTCCAAGATATGGAATATCTGTTTAAACAAAACTAGTGCAACGCTAGCTAGCGCTATCTTAGCTGCCACTTTACTAGCTAGTAAGTGCAGTATTTCCCCAACCATTATAAAAGGGGGGCGCCCCAGCCCGTAAAATACTCCCCCTCCCCCAGTGGACTCATTCTATCGATCCAAAAATGAAGAGTGAAAATTGTGGCAATACTGGGTAAATATAAATATTTTCGGAAGCTGCTCTCCACCGTAGGTTTTCAGTCTGCCAAACACACCCGGTCGGAAAAACTCATGAAACACAATCAGTGATATTGAAACAAGTTGAATAGATATCAAAAATCTGAATGGAAAAGAATAGTTTAGGCCTCTTAACCCATTTAAAGGTTTACATGGTTGTAGCTGATTGGGGAAGAATAAGGATTTTAAACTTGAAAAGGATTTCAAAGAGAAACTCCATTGGAGAACAAGAATAGTATAAATATTTATTCATATTAAATCAAACATAAGCGGTAGAAAGCTGAAGTCATGGCACACCCTCTCCCGAAGGAGCTGAGTCCAGTTCAAAATCCTTAAAAAGCATTTGAACAACTAATCAGTTCTCATCAAGCCATGAGGATATTACTGTTAGCATTGTGTCACATGCTCACATTTGACAAATGATCCATTTGTATTCGCTTTTTTGTAGCTAGGATTAAGATGATGCCATCTGTAATAACCGTGGCAATCTTGGTCCTTTTTTTAAGATGTTTTAAATGTTAGTTTTATAGTTCCTCATCATAAGGGCTCACATAAAACATGGCCTGGTTGGTACACCGCCTGGCCCAAAAAAAAGTCACTCCCTCTAATATTTCGTTGGACCGCCTTTTGCTTTGATTACGGCACGCACTCGCTGTGGCATTGTTTCAATAAGCTTCTGCATCGTCACAAGATTTATTTCCATCCAGTGTTGCATTAATGTCTCACCAAGATCTTGTAATGATGATGGTAGAGTCTGACCACTGTGCAAAGCCTTCTGCATCACATCCCAAAGATTCCCAATGGGGTTAAGGTCTGGACTCTGTGGTGGCCAATCCATGATGTTTCATGCTCCCTGAACCACTCTTTCACAATTTGAGCCCGATTAATCCTGGCATTGTCATCTTGGAATATGCCCGTGCCATCAGGTAAGAACAAATCCATTGATGGAATAACCTGGTCATTGAGTATATTCAGGTAGTCAGCTGACCTCATTCAGCACATACAGTTGCTGAACCTAGACCTGACCAACTGCAGCAACCCCAGATCATAGCACTGCCCCCACAGGCTTGTGCAGTAGGCATGATGGGTGCATCACTTCATCTGCCTCTCTTCTTACCCTGATGCCCCCATCACTCTGGAACAGGGTAAATGTGGACTCATCAGACCACATGACCGTCTTCAGTTTTTAATAATGTGTTGGACAGTTCTTAACCCAATTTTAGTAGTTTCTGCAATGTCTTTAGACGTGTTGGCAGTGTAGAACAAAAGAGAAACGTTACACAAAAACTAATACAGTTTCTTCTTTTGAAGTAGAGAGCAGTTACTCCTAATGAAAATAAAGGACTTGAGCAATATGGTGTATGATGAAGCTGCTCTTTGTCTCCAGTAGGATGCAGCATGTGGGTGAACAGGGTCACATGGCCTTGCTGGGTCACAGCCTAGCCGCTTACATCTCGGTGTTGGACAGAGAGAGGCTGAGGAAGCTGACGACCCGGATCCTGTCTGACACCACATTGTGGCTGTGCAGACTGTTCAGGTAGACGTCTGGCTACAGGTGCAGTACAGTTTAGGATCTAAACTAATCCCTACAGCTTTGCTGGTGTTTATCATCACAGAGTCAAAACCAGCACAAGGTGAATTATTATTATTTTTATTAGATGGTATGAAAGCAATTGCTACCACGCAATGCTAAATTTCAGATTCATTAGTTTAATCAGTGCACAGTATTATAGAATTGACGTGACAACATATTGGTAGAGCTTTCTGCTCTCTAACTTTCTCTCAGGTATGAGAACGGGTCAGCCTACTTTCATGAGGATGACCGGGATGGCCTGGTTAAAGTGTGTCGGCTGGTCATTAATGCCCGTTATGAAGAATATGCCTCTGAGGGCTATTCAGTCCTCGGCTCCAGACAGCCAGTCATCTACCAGAGTGCCTCCGGCAGACCTGGTCTGGGGCAGCATCTGTGCAGCCAGGTAAGAGGAACGGAACATACACTGTCACATGATGAAGATTAAAGCCCATGTGTGTTGCAATCCTATGCTTCCACTAGGATTTAGAAATATTGCTATTGTAGACAAATGGACTCTTAAAAAAAAAAAGATTCTGGATGGGCTCCATATTTATGGTATTGACCAGATATCCTTTTTAGCACCACGACTAGTATTTGTGAGACATTAGCATACCAAATGTATGACAGTTTCAGAGTGTCTGATGTATTATTAATAATATATGTATTTAGAATCATTTTAGACATGGCAATGACAACTGTATTATATCCAGCTGCATACATAAATGAAAATTGGTATTATTTTAATACAGTCTCTGTCATCAGCTTGGCCTGCCTCTCTCGAGTCTTTGCACAGTCCCATGCAACACCATCTTTGGATCACAACACCAAATGGTAAGACTTAAAATGAAAATCCTTTTGAAAACAATTGTCAGATGGTTGAAATTAGTGAGCTTTGACTCTCATTCTGTTTGTCAGGATATTGCCCTGTTGGACAAACTAATCAAAGAGGACATCGAAGCCAGAAAGCTTCCGTTGCTTTTAGTTGCCAATGCAGGTGAAGGATAATCCCAGTTAAATCCCTTCTATGTTTCACTTTCTACACTGCTCAATATAGTCATTAAAACGCAAATGCCTTGTTTATGAGAAAGTTCTACCGCTGATTTTTTCCTAGGTACACCAGGGGCAGGACATACAGACAAGTTGGCTCGTCTAAAGGACCTGTGTGATCAGTACAGCATGTGGCTCCATGTGGAGGGGTGGGTCAATTATTATACTCGCCGCAATAAGTGTTTAATTTCTGCACCCTATTTTTAACATGAACTCACTGAAATACTGTTTATGCAGTAGACGTGTGCTCATTGTATACTCACCATTGAGGGCATGGTGTTTGTGTTTTCTTCGTCAGAGTCAACCTGGCAACCCTGGCACTGGGTCAGGTCACCTCTGCTATCATGGTAAGCTGATGACACAATTACAGCCACAGCCTAAACGCTGCTGTAGTACCAATAGATAGACATGTTCAATGAACACGTCTCATTAATAATTACATACTATATGCTCATTGAAAGGATTAGAGGTCCTAATGATTCATCCAAAACAATAGACTTTGTTGTCCTTTACTCACGTTGGAATAGCATTAGAAAACGTATTGAATGGTTGAATCGGGACCAAAAGGTATTTTCACATACAAATGTGAATAGAAAGCTGATAAAATAAAATATTTATCACTATGTGGGTCGTCGTGGCACAGGGTGTGCTGGAAACCACAAGGTTGGTGGTTCGAGTCCCGGCTGCCCTATGTCCCAAGTCGAAGTGTCCCTGAGCAAGACACCTAACCCCTAATTGCCCCCTGGGCAAAAATGTAAAATGCCATTGGATAAAAGTGTCAGCTAAATGACCTGTAATGTGTAATGTGTTGTGATTTAAAAACCCAGTGCTGTGGCTGCTTATCACAAAACCCATTACCGATCTTTGTCACAAATACCACATCTAAAAAGGAGGTTCAATCACATATGCCCAGTGTGAAAAAGGAGAACCGTTTTTGTGTCATCTCTGAGCTACTGTCTCGCATCTCTTTGATTATAGGAAAAGCCACCCTTCTCTTGGGACGTGTGTTTATCAGCTAACATTGTTTTTTTTCTCTCTAGGCAGCCAGCAGGAGTGACAGTATGACACTGACACCAGGTCAGTGGTTGGGACTCCCTGCTGTTACTGCGGTCACCCTCTACAGACATGAAGACCCAGCACTGGTAGGCTCATCTCATTCAATACAAATTAATTAAAAACACCGTGTTGCCAGTCTGGCTGCACTTAAACAATGGGCTAAGTCCAGCAGTATCTTCCACCCTGCAGTTACGGGAGAAGTAACACACCCTGTAAGCATCCGTGGAGAGGGTCCGAATGGAAGCCCTCCGGGCAGTAAATACAGAAACTACTTTTTTGGGGAGTTTTTCCTGTGCCGATGTGTGGGTTTTGGGACAGAGGATGTCGAATGTGTACAGACTGTAAAGCCCTCTGAGGCAAATTTGTAATTTTGTGCTATACAAAATAAAATGAATTGAATCTAACCCTGGAACATGAGAATACGTTGACCGACGTGAACCACTCTCCCTTGGAGACAGAAGGGCGTCTGCTGTGCTCCACATGTGCAGTGGCAACACTGCAGGACTTAGATTTTAGTCCGAAGCCTCTCTTTCAAGAAGGTAGGCTCAAGTATTACCCCCACGGGTTGTGACAGGGGGTCCAGCATCAATAGTTCCCTCAGCCAGGACCTGACTCCTGGCTCAGGGAGTTTGAAAGGTGCCATGGAAGAAGATGTCAACACAAAGATTCGAAGAACAATACCTACAATACTGCCAACCATTATGAAAATAGACGGCCACAGCCCCAGCACCTCTCAAACAGTGGGAGCACCTCTACTAAACAGCTGCGGCACCTTTCCCACACAAAGTCAGCTTCCGCAAAGTCGTGCCGGCTACCCTACTTGCCGCGGCTCCTGAGCTTGAACCAGGAAGAACCTCAGCGGCTGCCGCTGCCACAATTTGAGCTTGTGTCACTGGCTAATTGTCAGTCATCTTGCTAAGCCGTAGCAATCATGAAACTTTTCGCCACATAAAGGATCCGTCAACTTATGTCAACAGATGTATTGACCGTCTCCACCTTTAGTCAGCAGCGCTCTGAAGCCCCGCCCCACACTATGCCATCTGTTGTTACAGTTATTGATATTCAACACGTCACCTGTCCAAATTGCACCAACCAAGACACGGCACGTCCTTGGTTTCCTAGCAATAGACCTGCCCCGTGTGCAGTAGATTGAATTAACAGTTCCTGAGAGCACACACACACACCTACCTATCTAGCCTCATAGTTGGATGACTCACTGCTCTGTATGTTTTGTGTCTCAGTCTCTGGCTGCAGGTTTGACCTCCAGCCAGCCGGTGGCGAAGCTGCGAGCACTGCCTCTCTGGCTCTCCCTGCAGTACCTCGGTCACAGTGGAATTGTCCAGAAGATCAGACATTCCACCGCTCTGGTGAGCATCTCTTAGCTCCCACCTATCCACTGCCTTTTTACATTTCAATATAGAAGTGTGTGTCTCAAAAGCGGGAACTATTTAAAACAAAACCTTTTGAATGTTGGTATGAATAAAATCGTCATTGAGGAGTTGAGAAATACTTCTTTAACATATTGTTTTCTTTGGTTGATGTGAAAAGTTAGTCGTTTCACCTCTTCTCTTTCCCCCCCAGACCCAGCAACTTCTGCCAAAGCTAAAAACTCTTGCCTCCATCAAAACCTTGGTAGGTGCTCTCTATGTTCGGCCAGTACCAGAATGTTTACCACAGTAAAAGGTGGAAAGGGGTTTTTGTGAGTGCGACCATACCAAGTCAGCAAATAACCCACTGTGCATGAAGTTACTGCTTGTAACTCACCATAAATATCCAAAAGAGGATATTTCTGTTTACGCCTTAAACTGTGTGTTATGCCTCAGTAAAAATAAATTCTTATGTGTATGTGATAGTTCTGTAGTGACCCTTTACAGCACGGCGCTCTACATTACTGCTACAATGCCTGTTCAAAAGCATAAACCCCCCCTTCAATGTTTCACGCTTTTCTTACTTTTAAACATCACGGTCAATGCAGAAGCGCTAGGATAAACTGAGACGGCAAACCTTTCTTTTTTGGCTGCACACCTTGTGGCCATTTAGTCACATCCAAAACCTCCCCTGGTAAACTGCCATCACCTCACCTTCAACCCCACCATGTCCCGTTACCATGTTTAGTGAGCTTTTCTTGGTACACAAAGACGCTCAATCTCCACATGGGCGCCATCCGCCACCAGACTTTGGTGTAATGTGCAGGGGTGAAGTCTTGGTACTGCAGCGAATGATGCCCAAGCGCTCCATATTCTGCCTTGGCAATAGTGAGCTTTGACAGGTCTAGCGCCGAGTACTGGCCAGCTCTACTGAGTTTACATGGATACAAAGAGTCACAGCATCTACCAACAGGCCTTAAGGCTGGCGCATGCTTCTGCGTCTTTACGCGCAGCTGTGTCGACGCACTCGCGTCAATTCACGTTTCAGAAAGGCTTGCGTGTGTTGCAGAGCAATTCACCGCAGTAACGTTTTTTGTCGAAGACTTACCTATGACTCCGTAAAGGATGTAGTTATCTGACCAATCGCAGCCTTTCGGGCTGCGAGAGGCTTGCAAAGCGTTTGACGCAAGTCTAGAAAAATGGATTGACGCACGCAAGGCGGTGTGAAAAGGCACGCAAGGGGCGTGCTAGGGGCTCCTGCGTCTCTCTGAAAATGCAGAAGCATAAACTAGGCTTAAGGCGCAGAAAAAGTCTGCCCCAATTAGGGGAGTCACAGCTGAAAAGCTGCACCATTAAAACACAGCGTCATGTACCGTGTCCCAAACGTGCGGATGGGGAAGCCGGTTGCGGCTTCTAGTTAGGCACAGGGAGTGGGAAGGAGTAGCTCAGACGGCTTGAGGTGACGAAGACCATTCAATAAAAGAAGCCGGCCAACCAGCGCAGAGTCAGACAGTCCGAAAGACTTTAACAGGTCATCCTTTAGGCATTCTGGCGGATTTTCAAGGTGTTGTTGTCTCTGCGGGCAAACAGTGCTTCAATAAGAACAAACCGTTCCGACGCAACCGTCTGCCAAAAATACGGAGTTTGAGTGAAACTGCGTGCGTCGTCATGTTCCTCATTTGGAAACGTCCAGTATGTTCATCGTCGCCGATGTTGTAGAGCTGGGATAGAGAGTCACATACCTTTTCTTTCTTTGGCTGCTGTTGTGTTCAAAAATGAAGAAACTCCGAAAGATCATGTTGGATCAAAGATTTATAATAAAAAGATTCTAATAAAGACAAACAGGACTGTGATACGGAGAAAACATCGCAGCTGAGAGATTAGCCGACTTCTGCAATTTACCAACCAGACAGTTAGTTTGCGGACTACAACGTACTTGACTGTTTCTCACTTCCACCGACCAATCTCGAACAGCACATACAGGTGTATTCATACAGATCTGAAAAATGGGGGGATGGCTGGCTCTTTTCCCCACGAAGGAAGAATGCTGCTGATTAATGCGGACTCTCCACATGTCTAGTACTGTTGGTTGTGGGTTTTTTCGTACAGCTAATCCTTAGCAGTGAATGTTGGCACCAGGTCCGTGGTATCCATGTCATCCTCATATATATATATATATATTATATACACATATACACACACACTACTTTGAAGGAACAACTATTTAATGGTCACCAGTGTCCTGTCTAAGACTAATCTCAATTGTTTTGGGACCGTGTTGATTCTGGTGCGGTCAAAAATACAAAGTTGTGGTGCCATCGCATTTGTGTTAAGCATCAGCTCTGATTGTTGTCTGTTTGAACATAGTCTTATTGTTTGCACAAGTCATAGCACAAGTAAGAATCCCATTGGGTGATCTTTTGTTTGGTCTTGTCCAAATCCAAAAGCTAGAGCGGCAAAAGCAGTTCAAAATGTACCTACTTAAACAACCCCACCCATCTGGCCAACTGATGCCTGTGTGGGATTCAGTCAGCAACAAGCACGTTAAAGCCTTGAATCCTGTCCAGGGTGCAGAGCCATTTGTCTATTCATGTTTCAGACATACAAGTGTTATTCTCTAGTTTTGTAACTTGACAACACCACATATGCCTGTGGATTATTCATCAGGAACATTTATTACCAAAATATGTTAGACATAGAAGGAATTTGACTTGGCGGTTGGTGCATAACATCAGACAAGACAATGGAGAACGAGACCGATAAGACAACAATTCATTGACTGACTCGACACCCAAAAGAAATTGGTTCAGAAATCCACGTTACGCAACTTCTGATATGTTTGCTGAATTGTATTTGGGTTAAATTGATTTGGATAGCACAATTTGACCCAAACGCAATGAAATGCTTAGCAGGGGTCCCAAGCTACATGCTTTTGAAACGTTTTACGGTGCTGATGGAGTACCTAAAATTCCATGTCACATATTGATTAGTTTGTACTAAAACAAATGTTCTGAACTGGACTTGTACCTTTGGCTTTGGCTACTCCATACCACTGAGAGGCAATAACTTGATCACTTCCATCAGGATCAGTTTGACATATCAAACAAGAAATGTGTGTTTTCATAGTAATAATCACTACGGACAATGTAGTAGTTTAAAGCATGTCTTTTCACTGATAATAATTGTTTAGCATGTCATAAAGCAGATCACTGGTTAGGTATGGTGACATTGATCCTTGTGTTTGTGTGTCCAACAGGTGGAGGACGAACTCAGCTCTCCTGTGGTGCTTTTCAGGTTTTCCCAGGAAATTAGTTCTGGTAAGGTTCACACCCCCTTGACCCAAAATATAATGACTGGGCCAACCCTCATGAAGTCAATCACTAACAGGGATGTCCCATAGACTAGGATGTTAATGGGGATCTCTTTGTATTGTCATCTTAGCTGCTGAAACCTCGAGTAGTTTGTGTAATAAGATATTAGCTTAAAAGTCTCTCCCTCCTGATCTCCAGCCATCACTGACAACATGTTATTATTGGGATAATTATATCACTATAAACAAATAATCATGGTACATTGTGGAATTCTTCCTCTAGTCAACGTTTCCCTTCTTGCGTTCATAGCATCCAGCGGGGGCTCAGTGGAAGGTCACTGTGCTGGGGAAAAAGAGGTGCTTGATGCCTTCAACAGATGGGTGAGTGTCATCTGCTCCTTCGACATGTACTTTGTGCCCAGGTCTTGACATTTGCACCGGCCAAATGCGTGTAGAATTTAGCTGTGGCGGGTAAAGCAGTCTCTCTCACTAGACCAGAGGTCACTAACTGACGGACCACGGTCTGGATCCGGACCCAGAAGCCGTCCCATCCAGACCAAAAGCTAAAAAAAAGACTTGTGATTTAAACGTGACAGCGCACTTTGACCGGCGCAGCTTTGTCTTTACGGTGGTGGCTTAAAGCGCAGACCAATGGCATTAGAGTTAAACCATCTCATGTCATATCACTCGACCAATCAAGTCTGGCATTCAAGGCAGGATGAGATCATCTCAATGCTGTGGACAGACGAGAGAGGTAGCGGCAAATTACAAATAAAAAGACTGTAGGAAGAAAAGAAAGATAGCGAGATTTGAGAAAAAGACGAGACTGAGAAAGCGAGACAAAGGGACGAACAACGAGGAACTAATGGTGCTCTCCAAAAAGACAAGTGCACAGCAAAAGTAGTTTTAAAAAAAAAAGTTAACACATTTTATTTATAATTTGTAGAGTCCAAATGTGAAGCAGAAAAGGGGAAATTCAAGCTTTTCCATCAGTTTATTTTAATTTTTCTGAATTGAATTAATTTTTTTTTTAATGCAGCCCTAAAAAACGCAGACCTACTTTTATTTTATATTTTCAGTCACACATAAATGTTCAGTCCTTTGTTATGGAACAATAAATATTTTCAAAGTTGAATTAGTTTGATTTGTTAGTAGTGTATTGATTACATGCAAATGTTGATACTCTATTCCTCTATTTCAGAGGTCTGAACCAGGGGTCGTGACATTTTTTTTCCCACAAATTTAAATGTCATCAGAATTGTATTGTCTTTAAATACACATTAAATCCAATATATTGTAGCGAACGGATAAATTGATGGAGAAGACGTTATCTTTCAGTCCACAATGAACACATTCAGCTTCCCACAGGAGCTCTCAAGCTGGGCACCGGTTCACTCTCAGCACCTTTCATGCAACTACGACCGCACAGGCACCAGCCAATCAGCGCTTATGCTCACATCTAAAGACCAAATCACACCAACTAGTTACATTATGATCTTCCGGACCTCTTCACATTTTAGTTGAATACCCCTGCACTAGCAATTCTATATAGCTCTATTTTTATTGTAGTGTAACGGCGGTTATTAATGTGTCATGAGATCATCATCCACAAACCCAAGACTCTCGGTTACATTGGTGGCAGCGGTGGTTCTTGTGCACAGATACAGACCGCAACGACTATTTTACGCTCCGGCGAGGTTTAGTGTGCACTTCCTTAGTTTAGCTCAGCTCAGTTTAGCAAGCGGGCTAAAGCCGCGGCACTGAAATGTGGAGTTCCTTCATAACGTTAGCTCTTTACCTCTGCTAACTGTATTCATGCTTAATAAAAATACACCATCCCTGCAGCTCTCTATTTGCATTACACATAGCATATTTAATGTGAATGTTAGTTAGAACTCCCAGACTCTACTTAGCTTTTCAGTGTCTTGTAGCCCGTTACGGCCTGCCTATCGCGCCGAGGGGTGCACAGGCGTAACACACAAATGTAGAAAAAAAGGTCTCCTTGGCAAAGGTGGAACGGCGGAGATAAATAAGGTGTGCGGTTTGAACAATAGTAAATACAATTTGTCGACAACTTATTTAACACAAAAGACAACTGAACGGCATCAGGGTCTCAAACAACCAAAACCATAAAGAAAACCACCCCCTAGCTAGAAAACAAAGTCGTTCGGGCCTACCGTGGGAAAAGGAAAAACAATACTGACCTTCCTCTCTATCCACAAAACGGGAGGAAAAATAGCAAGAGAAATGGCAAAGAACCTTTACACGCTTAGCAGTCTGACCGCAGACACTATACACAGACGGTCTGCTTGCACTGGGTCAGGGAGCCTTTATGTAGCCCACTAATTGTCTGATGTCTCTCAGGTGGCGCCGCTCCAGGTAAATCACCTGAGAGAATTCCCCCGCCCTCTTCTCAGCAGGGGGCGGAGTCACGTCAGGGGACGTAACATAGCCCATATTGGTTTAAAACAGTTATAGACTAAGTGACTCATTCAGAGCTCTTTATACGACCCTATTAATAACGTTTTTTAAATTGAAAATCTGGATGAATTCTAGTCCCTCCCAGATTATAATGTGATGTATAAATATCATGCTATATGTTATTGTTATTTCCATCTCTCTGGATATGTAATGTTTTTGGTGAGGTTCGTGCAGAGCACAGGGAATCCCCGGCTCAGCTAGCATCAATGTCTATGTGTCCTTGGGCAAGACACTCAAGTCGACTACATAGTGTGAATGTCACTGATGGCACCTGTACGGTAGCTCCTGTCATCAGTGTATGAATGGATAAATGTAGTGAAAAAGAGCTTTGAATGTGGTTATGTCTGATGATTGATTTATTGTTGGATAAAAGAACTGACCCAATTTGATGTTTTTCTTTTTATGTTGTCCTGGGTGTAGCTGGGTGAACAACTGCTTCAGTTAGTTCCCACCAGTGGGGTGGATGTGGTGGAACTTGAGGACGAGGGTACATGTGTTCGCTTCAGTCCCCTCCTGACTGCTGAAGGTAACATGAACACACACACACAAGGAAGTTATTCTGATCAACATGTGTTTCAATAGATGTAGATATTGTCAGTAATATTTACTGAAAACATCGACATGACCGTGACTTCCTCCCTTCTCCCCAGTTCTGGGGACCCAAGAGGAGAACATCGTGGACATAATGGAGAAGCTGTCCGAGCTGGTGTCTGTGATGTGCTCCACAATGTGCCTGAGACAGGACTTCAGAGAGGAATCCCACCGACACTCTCCCTCGCTCTCCTACGTACAGCAGCTTAGCTGGCCTGGCCTTGGTGCTGTCCGGTAAGAGTGGAAAGACATTACCTATATTGATTCAAAGGAACCTCCAGTTAGTGTATTCAACTGTGTTAGTAGACGCATGTCAGCACATCAACCAAATAAGCTTATCTACTTTAAATGTCTGTTTCATCTAAAATGGGGCTTTGACTTCATTGTCACCAAACATTTGATTGCATGTTCTTTGATATTTTCAATGCAGCTGCGACAACATGCTGCGTTATAAAGACATGGAATAAAAGAAAAATCATGTAGAACGCATACTTTTCCTGCAGGACTCCTTTTCCAATTCAAAATCAATAGGAACTTTACCACCTACTGGACCAGTGGATGGTAAACTAATTTAAGAGTGGGATTTCTGTTTAAACTTCCTACGAGAGTTGCAGTGTATTGAACAATATTTCTGGGATACATTAAGTGCCTTATTCAGCAGTATAAAAGCCACTGCATCATTTTCTATTATTGGCCACTTTGTGAGAAGTGATACATTTTCAGATCAGATATGTGGAAAAACAAGTGGGCTGCAGGGTGTTTTTTTATTTTTTATAACCTAACCCGGCTTCATTGATACAACTTTATCCCTGAGCTGTTTGGTGAGCTCCTTGGTCTTCATGATGCTCTTTGTTTGGTAATGCTCTCTAACGATCTCTGAAGCCTTCACAACACCTTGATTTATACTGCGATTCAATTGCAGATACATGGACCCTGTTTACTAATTATGTGACTTATGAGGGCACCAGATCTTTTGTCAGGGGTTTTACAGTAAAGGGGGTGAATACCAATGCACTCTCAAATTTTTATTTGTAAATCGTTTTGAAATCCATGTAAACTTTCCCACAACTTCCAGATGATTTACTATTTTGTGTTGGTCCATTACATAAAATCACAATGAAATAAATTGGAATCTGTGGTTATACCATGACAAAATGTAGAAAAGTCAGCTTAGCCATCACTCTTGTGTGTGATCTTGCACACGGCTGCGTTCTGAACATACCTCCTCAAGAAAAGACCGATATTGGTGTGGATTTAATCGTTTATCTCTGATAAAGTAAACTGTTTTTGTTAAGGTGGTTATTACATGTTACTTTACCAGCAGCTTTTTTGGTGTATGATGCAGTGATACAATGTCAGCTCACTTCCACGTTAGTCCTGTTTTTTATCGGTGGGCCGATTTAAAATAGATATAGGAAATAATTGTACCGTGGGCCGGAGTTTGGGGTTCTGAACAGACCCAAAATTACTATTGTAACTATTTACGTAATGATCATTCTGTATTTGTCACCCAGCCCTATTGTGAATGACAAGAGAAAGACGTGGCTTTAACTAACCGCGTCATCAATTCCATTACATGTTAATGTTCAGGTATGAGCCTCGGGCTGAAGGAATGGATGAGAGCAGGAGGAAGCAGGAGATGCAGAAAATCAACAGTGAGCTGCTGAAGAAACTACAAGACCTTGAGACTGACATCATATTTTCCACGGGTTAGTAGAACCTCTTCTTCATCTGAGAGGCATGTGAAAGATGTCAGTATTTCTCATTTCCATGTCTTTCTTCTCTTTCTCTCTCCCCAGGCCCTGAGTTTGGGACAGAGGAGGACTGTATCTTTGTTGGTATGGTCACTGAGGACGTTGATGTTTCAGAGTTGGTGGATACCTTGGCTTCCCTCGGGAGAGATATAGAGGAGAGTGGAAGGGTAACTGCTATATACATTTTTGAGGATACTTGAAGGTCTGATTTTCAATTCATAGTTTACATTGTACGTCGATGTCTGTGTCTGCATGCATGTGGCGCTCGCACCAGCGAACAGAGAGCACCAGTAGACAAACTATTACCTCCCACCCTCTCTCTCCCAGTTATGATTTGCATTCAGTTATGATGAAATATCATCTAACTTATTGGAGAGGCCATATTTACTAGCTCCTACACAACTATACTAAGTCAGCGGACGGGGGGGGGGGGGGGCATGAATTCACGCCCCGCTTGATGCTGAGCAGGACACCAGACAGGGCATTGAAAATCGGGACGGTCCAGCCTAAATCCGCTTAAGAGCACTGGCGGTACACAAGAAACGGTGGCGTTACGCTTAAGAGTCAAATGTAGAAGTAACGGTACTGCTTACCGGTGAGTACTGGCCCACTTCAAGCACTGACTATGCGTAACATTTACCAGTGGCCAGTAACACGTACCAGTCAAAGGTTTGGACACACTTGTGTCACACATACATATGGGAGTAATTTATTAAGTAAAGAACATTGATGAAATGCTCCTTGGCCTAAAGGTAGGAGCAAATGTGTATTGTTTTGAGAATGCATGTAAGTTAGTTAGTGAGTCAGACCAATGACCTCTTCATGTCAGCTGACCCATTACCTGAACACGGAGGTTACACGATGACCGCTTATTTTCTTTCCAAATCCTTTTTATTGTTTATCAAGCGAACCAGTGCAATGCTAACTTCCTGTTGGATCAAAAAGTACAACATTACTTGATTCTGTCATTTCTAAATAATAATGAGTTTTTCCTGTGTAGCTGCTGGACAACATGACGGAGGTGGTGAGGAAAGGTATCCTGGAGGCAGAGCTGCAGCTGCAAAAAGCCAATGAGGAGAAACTCATGGAAGAGGTGTGTGTCTGTGTGTGTGCGTGAGAGAGAAGTTAGTACTTTGGGGTATGTTTCACTAATTGTGAATTGTAATTGCGTTGGGTGTGCGAAGGTCAAAATGTAGCTAAACAAGTCCATTGAAATGATGGACTTTCTCTGTCTCTGTGTGTAGGGAGCGCTGAGACAGCTTCCTCTGGTTGGCTCGGTGTTGAACTGGTTCTCTCCATCTCAAAGCTCCATCAAGGGCCGGACCTTCAACTTGGCTGCAGGTACAAAGTGTCCTTGTATGGCAACAGTTATATTTGAACCTCCATGTCAGTACATGTCACATTTCAAACTCAAGTCAAAAATAAGTATATGTTTTAGAAGCTACTCAATATACGGGAACATTCTTTGTCTTTTTTTTTTTTTACAACAATAGTACTGTGTGTAGTAAACCAAAGTATGTGAACATTTGTCAGTATTACTGTTTAACTGTGTGTCTATAGGTTCCCTGGACTCCACAGAGACAACTTACTCTACCAAGGCCCAACCAGGGAGGCCGTCCCTGCAAGACAGTTCCACCTCATTAAGGAAACAACCAGGTAGGATTGTCTTTGGCCACTGGTGGAAAGCTGAGCTCCTCCTCATCATTCACATGAAAAGCAATTTCCGTATGATCTGTGAGCCACTTGATGGCTTTTCATGTGCAATAAATGTTTTATGAACAACTTAATGAGGATTCAAAAAACGAGATAGCCCCACTAACAGTGGCACAGAGAAATAAATCCACAATGTGTGCTTACTTAAGCTTGGTGGCGTTCTGACTACCCACACGGTTATTTGCTAAAGTGCAGTTTGATGGCCTGCTAATGGCGCTGCGTTCACACCAAACGCAACGCCAGTGTTTCGCGCCACAGGATTATATGCAAAGTCTATGCACAGACGCAGTGAGAGTGGAGCAACGCGAAACTGCGATTGGGCGACGCGTTCCTCGCGGTGACGTTATTGCAAACTTGACGCAATCAAAGGAAAGTTGAAAAATGTTGACTTTGCCGACGAGATGGCCTGACGCTACGATAGCCCAACGCCTTTAGCGTTGAGATGCTCCCCGTCGTGACTGACATCCTGCAGACAGCGGTACCCCACTGCGGTCATGTGGACTACATTTCAACATGAAATTACGATACGGGTCCTTGTACAGCCCCAAATGCAGTGTTTATTAGGGCTGTCAACATTACTGCATTAATATATGTGATTTAATGTGGCCTCGATTTAATGCAACAAAATATTTTAACATAGTTAACGTTCGTTCGTTTACTTCCGGTACCGGAAGTTGACCATGGAAACGAAACGACCGCTAGCTGCAGTCAGTTACATCATTACATTACATTACATGTCATTTAGCTGACGCTTTTATCCAAAGCGACGTACAATAAGTGCATTCAACCATAGGGTACAAACTCAGGAGAACAAGAAACAAGAAAGTGCAATTTCCTCAAATAAGCCAATTTACAATTTGCTATAGATGAGTGACGTTACAAGTACAATTTAAGTGCTACAATTTGTTAGTCTTTAGTCGAGGTAGAGTCTGAAGAGGTGTGTCTTTAGTTTGCGGCGGAAGATGTGAAGGCTCTCTGCGGTCCTGATGTCTTCAGAGAGCTCGTTCCACCATTTCGGCGCAAGGACAGCGAAGAGTCGAGACCTAGTCGAATGTTTTGCTCTCAATGAGGGAGGGACGAGTAGTTTTGCAGATGCAGAGCGGAGAGTACGGGTTGGGATGTAGGGTTTGACCATGTCCTGGATGTAAGCTGGACCCGATCCATTCACAGCATGGTACGTGAGCACCAGTGTTTTGAACTGGATGCGGGCAGCCACCGGTAGCCAGTGAAGAGAGCGGAGGAGTGGAGTAGTGTGGGAGAATTTCGGAAGGTTGAAGACCAGTCGAGCTGCTGCATTCTGAATGAGCTGCAGAGGTCGAATGGCGGTGGCAGGGAGACCTGCCAGGAGGGAGTTGCAGTAGTCCAGGCGGGAGATGACAAGAGCCTGAATCAGTACCTGCGCTGCCTTCTGAGTGAGAAGGGGACGTATTCTCCTGATGTTGTAGAGCGTGTATCTACAGGATCGCGTTGTCGCGGTGATGTTGGGAGTCAGGGAGAGTTGGCTGTCGAGTGTGACGCCGAGGTTCTTGGCAGTCGAAGTGGGCGTTAGTACGGAGTTCCCAAAGTTGACTGTCAGGTCCTGGGTAAGCGAATCTTTTCCGGGAAAGAGAAGTAGTTCAGTCTTGTCGGGGTTGAGTTTCAGATGGTGGGCGGACATCCACTGAGAGATGTCAGTTAGACAGGCAGAGATCCGAGCCGCCACCTGGGTGTCCGAGTGAGGGAAGGGGAGAATTAGTTGGGTGTCATCGTCATAGCTGTGGTAAGAGAAGCCATGCGAGCGAATGACGGCGCCAAGAGAGTTGGTGTAAAGCGAAAACAGGAGGGGACCCAGCACGGAACCCTGAGGAACTCCAGTAGTGAGAGGACACGGTTCCGACACAGATCCTCGGTTACCCGGTAGGTGCGGCCATCGAGGTAGGACGAGAGAAGGGAGAGAGCAGAGCCTGTGACACCAAGTTCCTGAAGGGAGGAAATAAGGATCTGGTGGTTGACCGTGTCAAATGCAGCAGAGAGGTCCAGAAGGATGAGGACAGAGGAGAGAGAGGCGGCTCTAGCAGTGTGGAGTTGCTCAGAGACAGCAAGGAGAGCAGTCTCTGTGGAGTGGCCTGCCTTGAAACCTGACTGGTGGGGGTCAAGGAGGTTGTTACAGTGGAGATAAGAGGAGAGTTGATTAAAGATAGCACGTTCAAGGGTTTTGGACATCAGGATGGAGAGAGCGTTTTGCATTGGAAGTAAAACAAACACAGGCACGACATACAGCAGAGAAGTCTGGAGAGGAATTACTCCACGTGTCAAACAAGAACTGAAGGCTGAAGTCTTCGTCAGGGGAACAGCAGAGATGGGCCAACATCGTTCATAAGAGCGGTGCGATGGCCTACGTCGTCCCCAGCGGAACAAAAGGGTGCAGGTTCAAATCCCCAAACCTGGAGTGGCAGAGAAGAGGTGCCACGAAACCGCCAGCGAATTTGAATAATCCGCTTTTAGTGGAATTATTGGATGACAAGTCCCATTGAAAAGACAAAGCGACAGAGACAGAGCACAGCTCTAGAGATTGGGGTTTTGGAAAGGGATGTTTTAATAAGCACCCGTATATCCTCTGAAGTGTAGAAATACTTAACGTTCCGGTTCCCAGAAGGAAAGAACCTACTCTTTTTAGTTGCATCTTTTTTAGGGCTGTTAAATTTAACGCGTTAACTTATGCAATTAATGTGGCCGAGATTAATGGAATAAAATATTTGAATGCAGTCAGCGCAGCTTTGTTTACTTATGCTATGCGTCAACCCCTGAAACCGTTGTGTGCTACACTCAGTTAGATTGGAGAGAGACCGAGACGGTAGTTGAAGATAAAGAGAGCTTCATCTTCAACTTTTAATCGAGATTAATGACTTTCAGAATATAAAGTTAATTAAGTTAAATTAAATCTATTGACCTAATCTCTTTTCTAATCCATTTCCATCTTCCAGAAAGTTTTCCCCTCCGACTAGTTAATTTTGGCTAGCTTGCAAGGTGATGAAAATGGTTCCTAGGGATTTTCGTCTTGGGTACCAGTCCTGCTCGCAGAATTCTGATACCTGCGTAAAATGACATTAAACTCTGCTTGTGTACTTCCTCTCTTGACGTTGTAGGTCAGAGGTTATTCCGGCGCTCGGGGGCGGGCTCTGACTCCTTCAGTGAAACTTCCTCCATCGGCCCAGCTGAGGAGACAACCAGGGACACGAGTGCCATTCCCAGCGAAAGCATCAACCCCCCAGCCTCTCATCCGGTGGTAGAGGAGGACCCACACACTGCAAGTGTTGTCGTACCAGGGTATATCCAGGAGACTGGGCAGGTGCAGCTGGAGGATGGCGGGGCTTCAGAAGAGAGGGTGCCTGATGGCCAAGAGGTGGAGCAAAGTGGGGAATAGGATGCACTCTGTCTGCAGGAGAAAAAGAAAGGTGTTGGCTCTTCTGGTTTTAAAGGGAAAGATTAGGTTGCTTGTCTCTGTCCTATGTCAAATGAAAATCTTCCCCTGATACTTCCATACTGCAATGCACACAGGGATTCTAAGAAAATTATGAAAAATGTTCCGCTGTACTTAAAATTGATGGATAATTTCTTCTCTAAGGATACAGTGAACTAGTGAATGAAGTGTTACGTGGTGTTTTTCTTCCATCCAGCATTTTGTTTTTACACTGATCTCTTTTCGTTTGCGTCTTGTTGGACTAGAGCAAAGGAGTAGCCATATTACACACAATAGATCTTTAGCTTTTAGGAGGAATAGGATTGGTCAATACACAGTCAATAAACTGGGAATATAGCAGCTTCATGTTAAGGCAATGAGTGGCACTCAAACTAAAATGTTGACATTTTTCACAGCAAATAGTCTGCACAAATGTTATATCTAAAACATTAAATTACTAATTATTTAAAATGAAAGAGGTCTGTCTAGGTTGAGTAGAGTATTATAATCTATTTAATTAAAAGATAACTACTGATAATAACCTGCTTCAAGAACTCCCTTAATGCGCTGAAATGAACTTGATTTAGAGAATGGGGGTCCCATTACGAATAGAACGTTGTAATTTCATGAGAAAAAGTCCCAATATTACAAATATGAGTGATTAGATTATTTAAATAATCCTATTCTACAAATATTTTACAAAATTACAAAGGTAATTGCGCAATAATTTGAGATGACGCTGTCATTTTAAGAAGAAAATGTTAGGAATTTACAAACCCAAAAGGTCGTGTTCTGAGATAACATATTTTATAGTATAGTTTTAGAAGGTATAATGAATTAACTTGTATTTTTGAGAACTATACTGACGTTTTAGAACAACCAAATCATGATTATTTGATGTCCATGGTTATATTCCATTGTTCTCAAATATGTAAAATACCGATCCTCCATATTCCTGATTTTTCTCTGTAGAATCACAGAATTCAATTTACTACGCTTCAAACTGAACATTACACATTTTTCAGCTATTTTTATTCCCACAGTATCATGACTCTATTCTAGTAAAATTACAACTTTATTGAGATGATGTTTGACCTTTCTTTAAAAATAAATTAAAAAAATTCTTTAAAAAATGCTGTAGGAAGCATCCTGCCAGACCAGCACTAATGCCCCGTCTTTTGTCCTTGTCCCTCAGATATATTTTCTGAGGGGCAAGGACCCTTTGCTCCAAAATTCTTATAATGGGAGTGCCGACACTCCACCACCCTTTCATTCCACACACCAATCACAATAGAACAAGAAAGTAACATCAATACTGCTTGTAGACGTGCCTTCAAACCTGACCCCACAGATACATTAGTGAGAGTATGTAACAAAGCGGTCTCCTCACTTTTTAAGAGTGCAATTTACAATTTCACACTTCGTATAAAGCTGTCATGGGAACTTCTCTGTTCAAAGAAACCTCGGTTTCCTAATATTAAGCATTTTGATGCAACTTTATACTACATTATCGATGACCTATCGCGGGGAAATATTAATTTCATGGCTTTTGGAATTTAATTGAAGATAATACGGCTCAATTAGTCTGGCAGGATGGTTTATTCCTCATGGAGGTTCCTAAAGCGACCTGTAATCCTGGTGGACCATTTACTCTAAAAAGTTGTAATATGTTGGTTTGACATTGACACGGTGAGAATGAAGATTACAAAATAGATTTCAGCATTATTGCACTAATTCTGTAGATAATTTATTTTCTCTTTCTTTATTTAATTTTTGATATGGTGTACATGAAGCAAAATCTTGATTATTTCTGTCATTTGATCCTATTCCAAAGCTAAATCAATAACTTCATAATCTTACAAAAACAGGTTTGATGAAGAACTTTGATCGGATATAAGGAGCCTGTCGCCGTCTGAATGATTGATTGTATTGGATAAGCAGAATCGTTTCTCTTGATTGTTTTTTACAATTAGTTTACAGAAAATAAACACTGATATTTTCTGTAAATTTGGTCTCCGGACAGAATAAATTCAAGTTTTGTAGTGTTTATGTCAGGCCATGGCTTTGTGTGGATCAGTTCCAACTCTACATGTACCTCCCATCAGATTTTATTTGCCTTCCTCTGTGTCGTTTGAAGCCGTTCATCCAATGCAACTGGCATGCGCGTATTCAGGATTGTACATGAGTTAGGCATTAATAACAAAAAGCCCATTTAGAGACGCTGAAAATCACAAAATGGAAAGGTCTGAGTATATAAATGGCCTTTAAGACCCTGAAGCATGCTAGACTAAAAGTAGATCCATGTATGTCTGTGCAATCTCAGGTCTTTAAGACCCCATCAAAAGCAAGTGAAACATCAATAAACCAATACAAATGTCAACTGACTAACAGGAGCTGTTGAGTTGAGTCACATGACAAAATCGAAATGGTTGTAACCCTAGCCTTGACTTGAATTGGAACTTGTTGCTTTAGACTTCTGGCTTCTTGGACTAAAGACTTGCTTTACTTACTTTGGACTTGGACTTTGGATTGCATTTTCAAATACAGCACAGGCAACTAAATAACCACTATAATAACCTCGATCTTCATGTACCCTAATCGAAAATCAAAAGAAAGTTGACTTATGTGAATTTCACCTTTATGCCTTCAGATGCATCTTTTTATGAACAAGCCACTTTCTGTGATTAAACAGGTAATCTAATGGTTTAACTACGTTCATACGTGAGGGCATATCCACAAAATGTTCTGTATGTTCAAGAACACGTGTTCCAGTTTATTATTAGTTGGAATGCTCGCTGCATGCTATTGTTCTTTAAATCTTTATTCCTCTCTTCTTTTTTCTTATCGGGATGCTTTAAAGCAGGGGTGTCAAACTCTGATTCGTGTGTGTGCGTGTTAACTCTGGTGGTCCATTATATGTCCATTTTAATTTTAAATGAAAACGACTCTCGAGTCCATCCTCCTAAGAACGTAAGTCCGCTCTAAGACGGGGGTCTTAGGTATCGAGAAGGAGCCGTCGTCTTGCCCTCATCAGTAATCCGATTCAACGGGTTCCGTGTTTGAATAGGACTTCATATCCCAGAGGTCCCCGCACGCAGCACGTCGCGTGACGGACGCTTTAGCGCACGCGGACTGTCTTCGGGAGCGCTGAGTCGAACATCCTCTCTGGCGTGTCACTGTTAGAAACCGGCTGCTGTAGTTCACGTGTGTCGGAGACTAAACATTCCACTTAGAGTTGTGACGCTCTCGCTCACGTCAAGGGGGGACGTTAACATCGAGTTGTCGGCGGACTCTCACAGAGATCAAGAACTAAAGTAGGTGAAAACCTTGTGGAAAATCCAAGACCAACGATGGACCCGAGAGACACTGCCCCCGATTCATGGGAACAAGAGGACGATGTGGAGGCCACAATCGACGGACAACTAGATCCAGCACTCATGGCCCTAAATGTAAATGCTAAACCATTTGTGCCCAACGTGAACGCTGCCGAATTTGTTCCAACGTTTGTCGTGAAAGCACAAGATCTCGATTCAGCGGGTAAGTCCCCGGTCACGTTGTGGAGCTACTTTAGCTACTTGCTAACAGGCGTCTGGGCTGGAGAGTTGCTATCCCACTAGCCACCGTGCCGACACGCGACCAACCCGCTAACGTTAGCTGCCGGCGTGTTTGCTGTGAACTAGTTATTCAGGTGGTCTGTCTGGTGTCGTTACCACAACCCGTGTATCACGTTCATGCTAATCAGGCGTTTGTTTGTAGATTTGCATCATATCATGTTGATAAATGTCTCAAATCAAACCAGCCGGCGTTAGCTTTTTACACATACCGGCAGTAGCTACCTAACGTTAGCTAGCTAGCATTGGAGGTAGCTAGTGTGGTTACACAATTTAGCGCCTTTGTCGCTCAAATTTAAGTACATAACTTTTGAGCTAAGCAACCAAAGCGTTTATTCTAAATGCAAGGTCCGTCTGGCAAACACCCCCGTTGTCAGTGTGAAGCAGCCTAACTTATTAACAGCCGGTGCTTCAAGCGAAGCTCCTGATTGAAAGTCATCTTGTGGAAATGTAAGCGTATGGTGTCACGTGGATGCGCTGACACCATACGACTGCAATGGAACTAAACGTGTCATTGGAACACAACGACCGTCTGGGTGAATGAAACATACATTTATTTGAGGGACATTTTTGTATTCGAAAAAAATACCGGTACCAGAAAATGTAACGAAACTCGTGTATTTTATTTAAAATATGAAATGCTCATGACTTTCCGTTTTTATCATAATTTGGTACCAGGTTTGGGCATACATTGTGCTTAAAGAGAACCCCTCAAAAAGGAAGAACAATAAATAAATAAACACTGCTGTTGAAAGGCAACAACTTGATTTATGTATTTATTTTTTATCAATGGGACTTAACAACCCTTAAATGTTGGCTTTGTATCTAACACAAATATTCTTTACATATGAATAGCATCACACATTAGCCTCTGGATACTATAAAAGCAAAATATAGAATTAAAACCAGTTGAACACAAGTAAAGCGCCTAAATCCCATCCAAGATGACAGACACAGGTTCCATCTGTGCTTGTTGGTCCTTGATAATAAAATGTATATAACTTACTCTTCATCAACGGGCTTCTGTTCTGAGTGCGACAGAGCCAGCAAAACATTTCTTTCTTGAACATCATCTTAGTGTGACAACTTAGTGTGAACTTTAACGTTTTTTCATTATTGTTATAACAAATTGACATGTATTGTTCTAGCCTGGCTTTTTGAACTATGTTATGTGCCTGTAATTGTTATCATGAAAATACAAGCTCCCAATCTCCCGCTTCCTATAGCTAGCTACTCGACTGGTAAGTTAACTAAACACTATATAAACTATCCTAGACTGCATGCTAGCGTCATTAGCATGTTAGCATCGATCTCTAGCTGGATATTATAGCCATCACCATGTATACAGAATAGGCCGTGAAGCCAGACACAGGAATACATTGCACATCAAGCAAATAAAATATTTGAACTTAGATTCAACTCGTGAACTGTTTTTTGATTTGGGGAGAGTATTTTAATGTATTTAATACAAAACTACACTTAAGTATTTTGTTACAAATTACGTTAGCTTTTTATCAGCCCTGTCTAATAGATAAAAAAACTCAAAAGTAATTGAAATACATATTTCAAGTAATATAATCTCTGTTCAATCACACTTTCCTTTTTGTGAATTTAGTCTGTAGCAAAATCACAGTTCATTCATCAAAGGCTCCTTTTCAGATGAACCCTAGACATGAAGCTAACCATTGTTTGTTTGGTCTTTTTAGTGGCTGTGGAAAAGATGTCTACGATGGAGGTGTCAGAAAGTGTCGGTATGTCTGCAGTCAGTGTTTGTTTTCTAATTCTCTCTGCACTTTGACCCGTCCATGTTGTTACTACTCTCCTCACTTGTAGAGGACCACTCTGAACCAATTGGTAACAACGCCTATAGTGGCTTTCACATCATGAGTTTTGGAGACCCGGTTTCTCAAGTCCTGTTTGCCTGAGCGCACAATACCTACTTTCTATAGTCTTTTAGCAGCAGGGACTTTAAGCATTTACATTTGTCCCAGGGTTCCTTTTTGCACTGAAAAGCAATTTTAGTTGATAGGGACCACTTTTGTTGTCTGTTTTGTCTCAAACGGTCTGGGTCTTTCACGTTCACGGTGTATACTTATCACTTAAGACCGACGCGATCAATCTATATATCGAGAATAAAATGTGTTTGCATGACAATCTCAACAGTTGAGGTTATGCTACGTTGTCTTGTCATGCGAGGTGTTGACTGTGGACACAATTGGCAGGTTTCTGTAATGGACATTATAGTGTGATTTTAGGCATATAAGGTCATGCAACTAAATCTTTCCCTAACATATTGACATCTATACTCCGTATCTAATCAAAGGATTTATTTTAAAATTCCATACAGCACGTTGTTAAATGTCACAGCCGCCTCCTCTGAAAAAAAAATTCTCTTTTATAAAATGGGTTCAATCCCCCAAAAATGTAGTCTGCTATCATGTGTGAATTTATTCAAAAGACTAGTGACAGTTTTGTGGATAGTTTGTGTGACCTTGTAGGGTGGATTTACTAAAGATTCTTGAGGCCTGTTAGTCATGGAGAAAAGTTTGGATGAAATAAGTGTGGCGTTATAAAATTTTTGAAAATATGATTACGTCATTTAAATGAGTAATGGTTTCAAACCAAAGACCTATACAACCAGTCGCGCATGGCTCTGAATAAAATCGTGGTTCAATCTAAATGGTCCCAACCACAAAGTCGGGTTACAAAATGCCTGGAAATATGTAGTACATAAACTGACATTCTTCAGAGACCACATCTTTACATATAACTCTTGAGGGTCTCGACCGAAAACACACATAGATGTTTAAAGGTCCAAGAAGAAAATGGGTACGACACTAAGACCAAACATTCAATATTCACTTTGTCGGTTTGGGTTGTTTTCACATTGGGATTGTGCTTTTCTTGGCTGTAGCATCAGTTCCTCCCTCTGCCTCTTTTCAAATGTCTTGAAGTTCAAGCATCGGCTGTCTTAATGCCCCCACAACGCGTTTTGTGCATCTTAACAACGAAATAATCAATAACCAAGTTCATTAACATTTTTGATGTCTTTTTATCAAAGTCCCGTTGTTCCTTTTTTAATATATGCCAGTAGCACCATTATTCAACATATAAGTGCAGATTCTTGGTTACATCTATTCTCAACAGAAAGGTTACCAGTATTCAATCTGCATGGTGTCACTGCAGCACATTCAGTAGTAGTCGTTGCGGATGGACGAGCCGACGGGTGTAGTTGGGAGCGAGCTCACCTGTGTGTGTCCATCGGGACGGAACTACCGGTCACAGGCAGGAGTGGACAATTGTAAACGTGAAAAGAAATGCTTGGGAAATGTGTCGCGGGACAAGCGCATGTAATTAGGAGAAAAATAAAACATTTTTCTTTCAGTGCGACCCAGTACCAAATTGTCCAAATGACACAGAAAAAGACCTGTTCATTATATAGTCTTTTGTTATGACACGGCGTATACCAGTTTACAGTAAACAAGGTTTCTAGTGATTTCCAGCTGAAATATGTAGCATGTTTCACCCTTTTGAGTGGTCAAAGGAAGACCCCCTGAATGATGTGGACTGTTTGTGGCTGTCCAGCTCCAATGGAAAACGGCGACTCAGACATGACCACAGAGGAGCCGTGGGACCAGAAAGGGGCTGAGCCAAATGAGGAGCCGGGAGGCGGGTCCTGTGGAGACCACGGTCTGACGGTGACCGCAATCATTGAGGAGACCCCTCCAGAGGTGATGATAGAGGAAGAAGAGGAAACCCCAGCCCCCAAGATTCCACTTACGCAGCCAGACGCTCCCAAGAAGGAACACATCAATGTTGTGTTCATCGGACACGTAGGTCAGTGCAAACACCTCATTTATTAGCCGCATTGGAAGATCTGATTTTTACCATTTCATATTTTCTTGTAAGAACAAGAATTTACCGCAAGGCTCCAGACAAATTTCATCTCATTTGTTTTAAAAAAAAATTATATTTTTAAACTCCCTCAATTCAGAGGATTAGAAAATGCCTTGTTGTATTAGGAATGAAATACTTTCATAATCTTTGCATGTACGCTTTTGGGCCGCTGTATGTGTGTTGACATGACTATGAAGCCTGTGTAAATGCGATCAGATAAAGCTAAGTGAATCTCGAGCTCACTTGCCCGTCAGATGAAGACCAGCTGGGTTCCATCAGAAACACTTTGTATGAACTGCTCAAGTCATTGCATTGCTGCTTATTGTTGTGTGGGTGAGTCACCGGTGTCAATGATGTGCCAAATGTGTATGTTGGCAATTTCTGTAACTCAATTTTAGCTTGATTTTCTGGTCAAACATAATATGATCATACTATGCAGTTATTAAATTAAATGACCCACAGCGTTTCTTTATTTAAAGCACCTCAGTATCCATGTGTAATATTAGTGTTTTGTCTAATCTAAACCCGCTCTACTCCGTCTCCTTTAGATGCCGGCAAGTCCACTATTGGCGGCCAAATTATGTGAGTAGCATTCAGCCATCAATGGTTCAGTCTTTCCATGTATTGATGGAAGTGGCATTCATCACATCTCTGTTGTCCCCGTCCTCCTTATAGGTATCTAACCGGGATGGTAGACAAAAGAACCTTAGAGAAGTACGAGAGAGAAGCCAAGGAAAAGAACCGGGAAACCTGGTGAGTGGAAACACTCTTTATTGAATCTTGAAACACACCGACTGAATCCAAATCATGGCCATCTGGATGTAATTATGAAATGTGACTCTGATTATTTTTTTATTTCGTTTGGTCAGGAACATGTTTAATGAGGAGGATCAAAATTACATTTGACTCGGTGTAGATCTGTATCCACTGTATTGGTGTAAAGGCCTTGGAAGCCATTTGAGACCCTGAACCCAGTATCCTCTGTCTTCCAGGTATCTGTCTTGGGCTTTAGACACCAACCAAGAGGAGAGGGACAAAGGCAAGACAGTCGAGGTGGGCCGAGCATACTTTGAGACCGACAAAAAGCACTTTACCATCTTAGACGCTCCAGGCCACAAAAGCTTTGTTCCCAACATGATCGGAGGAGCATCGCAGGCAGACTTGGCTGTTCTGGTAAGTTCGAAAAAGTAGGACCATGACAACTTCACTTATCAAATCAACTCCCTTTGTGTCAACAAGATGCAGAGTAAACCATTTATTTTAAAAGCTGAACGGAATAAATGTAGTTTGAAGCAGAATATTTTGATAAAAGGGGTTTTAGGGAATTAAATAAGTACATGCAGGTGTTATTAATACTTTTGAACATTGCTCTGATCTCTATCTGTAACTGCAAAAAATGATGCCCTTTGAAAAGACAAATTAAACCACTACAGGGGAAATTTTTACTTTCAACAATTAAACATTTTTTTCCGTTTTATTGCAAGGTCAATTTAAATCTTGTGACGTACGTTTGCTCCAGTAAGAACTCTTGTGTTTCTGTCCCACTTGGCAATAAACCCACTAACTGAGTAAATGTGTGACTCTCAGGTGATCTCTGCCAGGAAAGGAGAGTTTGAAACTGGGTTTGAAAAGGGCGGACAGACACGAGAGCACGCCATGTTGGCCAAAACAGCTGGCGTGAAGCATCTGATCGTTCTGGTGAATAAAATGGACGACCCAACAGTCAACTGGAGCTTGGAGAGGTGGGTAGACTCCGAGTCCCATTTGTAGAATATCCATAATGTCGCTCTGCTCAAACTGCATGTTGTGGCTGCTAGATAGGAACTCTTCACTAAATTGTTACTATATAGCGTCACGCCCATCGGGTGGCGCTGTTTGATGAAGTGCATCACATTCAGAGCTGCTCTTAATATTTTGTCGCCTGTATGTAATTATATTGACATGTTCTCGCCGACCTCATGAGTGTCCGATGTTGAACCCTCAGGTATGACGAGTGTAAGGAGAAGCTAGTGCCCTTTTTGAAGAAGGTGGGCTTCAACCCCAAAAAAGACATTTACTTCATGCCGTGCTCCGGACTGACAGGAGCCAACCTGAAGGAGCCTGCGGATATGTGCTCCTGGTACATGTACGTCCTTTTACTACTCAACCACTCGCCATGGTTACTGTGTTACTGTTCATTTATGTCTACTAACGGTCTATTGTGTTATTTCAGAGGGTTACCGTTCATTCCACACTTGGACAGTTTGCCACTTTTCAACAGATCAACTGACGGCCCCGTAAGATTGCCCATCGTAGACAAATACAAGGTGAGAATAGGATTTTTAACCCGCTGCTTAATCCCCACATTTCACCTTTCCGTTGTAAATCTGCCTCCCAAACGTTTAGACGTGGCAAACAGAAAGCATTTAGAACGCTCAGCTTTGTGTTTGTTTAATATGTTTGCTCACATGGTGTTGTTGTGTATTATGTGTGACTCTGTAGAACGACCGAACATATTCCATGTCTCTAATGGAATGCCGTGGCACGTGGTTCTTCTCCCTACGGCTCTGTAACCCTCTCCATCCACATGTCTCCTCAGGACATGGGCACTGTGATTCTAGGCAAACTGGAGTCAGGCTCCATCAGTAAAGCACAGCAGCTGGTCATGATGCCAAACCGGGTAAGATGTCCCACAAGCCCTTCCTGCCCTTTCAACCAAGAACATGAGGGACATCAAAGCAAACATACTGTAGTAAAACTTGTTCGTTTTTGACAATGTGTCAGTCAGAACATCCAAGTGGCTGTTTTACTAAATCACTGCAATAGGTCGATGGATGAGTTTTACGCTGAGTGGATATTCAAAAGCAGTCTCCGCTGTGTTCTGCTCACTTTCTCTTCCCAGTGAAGCGTTCCAGTCTCATAACCACAAAGTCGTCCTTTTCTGTGGCTGGGAAATTAAGCCATCAGACATGGCCCATGGTCACCTGGCCCCGGATGTGCCAGGAGCACAATTACATTAGCAGAGTTTTAACCATGCTTACAATACAATACGTCAAATGTAATATTCAACACTGAACTGTCCTCCCTCCATCCAGAACATTACTAAATGTAATTCACTGTGGTTATGTTCCTCATGGCTAAGGGTTAAAGGGATATAATGTGCAAAATGGATCCAATCTTTGTGTAGATTACCGGCCGTATCGTCAACAAAGTCCCTGCAATTTAATCAAACTTATCAAATTTGTCCTAGTTTTTAAATATTACACGTAATTGATGTCAATTAATGGGTGTCTACCTGTCTTCTTGCAGCATGTGGTGGAGGTGTTGAGTCTCCTGACAGATGACGTGGAGACGGACGATGCCGACCCAGGGGAGAACCTCAAGCTAAGGCTGAAGGGCATCGAGGAGGAGGAGATCTTGCCGGGCTTCATCCTGTGTAATGCAGAGAACCTCTGCCACTCAGGGCGCACGTTTGATGCCCAGGTCCGTGTCGCTCAGAAATGTCAAATGTGGCTTTACTTCCCAGCCAAGTATTCCAACCGTAACATGAGACCGTGTTAATGGGCGCGGTTTGCAGCACTAGTGGGAGCAGCTGTTGTAGTGGTCCCACCCTCCCCTGTTACCACAGTTTGGATGCCTTGAGAAAACTACACGAGTGGCACCAGAATATCTGCGTTTGTGTGTACCTGATCATAACCACTGTGACTCCCCTTCACAGATTGTCATCATTGAACACAAATCCATCATCTGTCCAGGTTACAACGCGGTTCTTCACATTCACACCTGCATTGAAGAAGTGCAAATTACAGTAAGATCTAATGCTAACTTAAGTTTTACCAAATGGCTGCTACAGAAAGACTGTCTCCCTCAATGATTGGGATCATGCAGATGAATGTTCCTGCTCATTTTCTGTTTTCTTGTGTCTCCAGGCCTTAATTTGTCTGGTAGACAAGAAGACCGGAGACAAGAGTAAGACACGGCCACGATTTGTCAAACAGGACCAGGTCTGCATCGCCCGCCTGCGCACGGCAGGAACCATTTGCCTCGAGACCTTTAAAGACTTTCCTCAGATGGGACGGTTCACATTGCGGGACGAAGGTACATTTGATTATCAATTCACAATGGATGAATGGTGTTTTACTACAAATAGGGAGCAAATACATTTCCCAATTCCCCAAAGCCCAGTGTGATTTCTCAACATATGCTGTTGTTGGACCATTAGTCCTTCACACCAAAGATATTTAGATACTCTAGTGATAAACCACAGAACCATTGATGCCGTGATAACGTCATTATCAATCATCATTTCTGCTAATACAAGACTTGTCTAAGTTGGATCTTTTGCTGTCAACATTAGTTGACAGTCTCAATGAGATTTAAAGTAAGTGAACCTACCGGGTTAGATGAGTCTCCGTATCAATAAGCGATTCTACAAGTGACCTTCTCCTCAAAACTAGATTTCCTACAACATGATGTGGATGACTGAATGTTAAGTTACTTGGAAAAGAACCTGATGAGATTCTAAAAGATTTAGCTTTGATAAACAACATTGAGTGACAGCTGTTTTTTATTTGTGTGTCAGGTAAGACCATCGCCATCGGTAAGGTGCTGAAGCTAGTCGCTGAGCGGGACTGAAGAGGACCACGCTGTGTGAGAGTCCCAGTGAGAAGGACTGGCCGTGGCTCGGACGTAACCCGCTTGCACAGTCGGCAGCGGTAACGCGCCTCCCTGTCACGCCTCTCCTTCTGCGTGCTGAAGAACCGCTTCAGAAAAAAACCTCCTGTGAAAAAGAACCTGTTTTTAAGCAAGTGATAGACCAAGATGAATTCCACGCCAGTCGGCTTTCTCATATTGAGAGCTCAGCTATGCCATTCCGGGGTTAACCCCACCTCCTCACCACGCCACACTTTGGTCAACTCAGCAATAGATGAGGCTTTTTTCTTCCACTGGTTTTTCTTGCTCTCATAAATGACAATGCAAATGGCGGAAGTTATATCTGTAAACAGATCAGACCAGGATTCTTCTTGGAATATTAAGTGATTTCAGATGTAAATTGCAAAAGGAATGGTTTGAAAGAACCTAACCAGTTGAAACCAAAATGTTTATCTTGGGTGAACATGTCTCCCTTTTGCTTTTATCCAGATTTTGGTTTCTCGTGACGTTCTGGCAGTGTGCTTGAGCGTTTTCAAATGTTATAGAAGCAAACAACTATGACAATAAAATGATAAATTGGGAAAACGGTGTGTTCATTTTCAGAGCACGATCCAGTGGCTGCTTTTCGAATCAATTTCTTTTGAGGTTTTGGTTCTACAACTTGTGATCCTGACTGGGCTTTGAGCCTGTTCCAAAGAGATCCTCGGGATCCATCCCACCATGACATGGACCGCGCCAACACGCTGTACCCCACCTTTAAGTTTCCAGAAGTTAGCGTAGCATTAAGCGGAGTCACACTCGGATAGAAGTTAACTTCGCAATAAGCAAGGTAACCCCCCCGTTTTGATTTGAGATGAAGGGAGTCTGGCTGTAGGGTCCGGCAGGGAGATACACAGAAAGGCTTTGTGTCAGATGGAGACAATTAATTTTCATTTAATCATTTTAGAAATGTATCCTTATTTCATGTTGTGTTGAATGCCAGTGACACATGAATCCTGACGTGGACTCCTCTGAGCCTAGAATGGAAACTAGAAATCCCCATAAAAGACCAAAGTCAACAGTGACTGTGTGTTACGAACACCTAGGATGAGACGTGGAGCTCCATCTTTTCATCGGTCAAAGTCAATGCAGAAAGTGCTGCTAGGACTCATCCACAAGGGATGAAATTTCAGGCTTTCTCTTTAAACTGCTGATTTTCTATGTTTTGGAACAGTAATGTTATAAAAACTAAAATAGAAAACTTTGTCAGTGCTTTTAGCTAAAAAATAGTTGCTTTCATTCTATATCTGTATTGTTGACTGGAAATCCCATTAAAAGGAAACCAAGTCAACAGGGAATGTGTGTTACGAACACATAGTGTGAGACGTGGAGCTTCATGCGTCTTCATCAGTTGGAGTCAGCAGAATGTACTGCAGACTCAAACTGCTCTGCTCTATTCGTTTATCAGCAAGTCCTGACAACGTGAACCCTGAAACTGCGCCATCCAAATTGAATGCAGCCATAATAGAGGGCGGCCACGGGCCCTGGCCCCACCTTGCATCACAGAAGTTTTTGAAATATGGAATATACCCTGTAATATTTGTAAAAAGATATCTGCACAAATCATCTTTTCCTCCACGTCCTCTCAGTCTGTCTGCATGTCTCAACTGGGCTGATTCCAAGCCTAAAAGAGGCAAGTGTACAAGAGGTTGAGCCGTGGCCCATTGTAGGATTGGCCCTGGGCCGCGCGCACTTCAGGGAGTCTCGCGAGGTGCCGTTATAACGACATGGCGGGACGAGTATCCTTCCAAGAAAACTCAACCCGAATTCGGTAAAATCTCCAAGAGCCATTTGAGAGATGCAGAGAAGAAAAGTATAGAACACACAACTGTCACGCGAACTGTTGTAGGGTAAGTTAACAGTTACATGTTCTATTAGATTTTATATAGTATATAATGTATATATAGTGTATATAAGTATATAATATGATATTCATGATTTATATTGTACATTTATAATATTTACATTATCCAGTATTTATATCATATATTGAATATAATCTATATATAAAATGACTACATTGTATGAGGAAGATGTCATGTCAAACGGGTGGAATAACGTATTTATTTGCAAAGTAATAATGCATATTTAATGCCCTTTTTCAGCATTGAATCATACTGGGATATTTGCTGATTGGCTGGCCCAACCAAAAGAATTCCACCAGCTGCCACTAATTATTTTCATTATCAACAGCTGAGCTGTTGCTCCTCAGTGGAATCTCACCATGAACATGGAGCTCATCCACCAGCGTCTATGGTTCGTGTTATTAGCTGTGAGGGAAGATGGACATCCTGCTTGGCGTCACCAGTTTTTCCTCTACTGCTGCTCTTGAAAGTAAAAACCTGAAAAACGTATAATACAGATAGAGAAGGTCATTTTATTTTATTTAGTCTAGGAATTATATGTTTTACCTCCAGAGTACGAAATACACTGCTCAAAAAGGCCCATTTCTTAACCTTACAGAAGTTGCACAGATAGTGCTACTCCTCCAGGATGGCACAACCACGCGATGGGATGTTGTCTCCCAGCACAATCTCTAGAACATGGAGGAGATTCCAGGAGATGTGCGGTCACTCTAGGAGAGCTGGACAGGGCCGTAGAAGTCCTCAAGCCATCCGCAGGACTGATATCTGCTGCTCTGTGCATAGAAGAATAGGTTGAGCGCTGCCCGGGCCCTGCAGAATGACCGACAGCAGGCCAATGGTGTGAATGCCTCAACCCAGACTATCAGAAACCGACTTCATGAGGGTGGTCTCAGGGCGGGAGGGTAAACTGGGATTTTTTTCAAGGACAGCGCTCAGACAAGTGCTCCTAAACGCAAAACCAAAACATTGAGGATGTTGTGAAAGACCCAAGATTCTGCCGAACGCAGCGATATACTTTATATGTCTGTGCGGTGAGAAATAAGACTTGTGATCTGTGTGTGGGCATGTCTGGTTAATAGTGTGAAAAAAATTAATAATCACTATGACCAGGGCTTGACATTAACATTTTTGCTCACCAGCCACTGTGGCTACTGGTTTTCCAAAGATAGATTCCAAAGACTCAGCAATTTCATTAGCCACAATTGTTGTTGTTGGGAAATTGAGTTTAATTTGATTAAAGTTGACTACTGTTTGCTACAATTTACTTGACTAATGAGATTTATGATCCTTTCAAATGAAAATCACCATTGTAAACACCTAAATCAAGACTACATAACATGTAAATGTACAGTCAACAAATCTTCAGCTCTTCTGAGCTCCTTTTGTATGAAAACATATGCACCTCATCAAAAAGGCGGGTTGGTGCCATCTGCTGTTCTGGTGTAAACTGTGACTCTTCCCCTTTGCTTGTTGGAGTCCATGAGTCTTACTGCTGCAGCTTCTTGCATAGAAATGCAATTGATGTCTTTCTATCATTTTCACACCTATCAAAGTCATCCAGCGGAGCGAGCTGGACCCCCAGGCGGGACGCCCGATCCGGCCCGCTGGCCATATGTTTGACACCTGTCAACAACCGCAAACAGGAGACTTTACATCAAAAGAACAAGGAGACATCCTGATGAACACAACACAAATGATGTAGGACAGTCGTATTCATGTGGGTTTGGATCAAATGGAATGAAATGGCAGATAAAGATGCAAATGAGGACACAAAGAATATCTGCAGTAATATTACAATGAGATTCAGTAAATCCAGAAAAAGAGCATCATTAAACACAGGGTGAGGCAGAATAATTGGGAAGAAGACAGAAAAGGACGATGGTTTTAGTGCAGAGAGAAGGGGGGAAATGACGTGAGGAGAGCAGAACATCGAGGGTTAGATGTGGACACACTGGTTTGAACAGCTCGATTAAAACAAAAGGTGAACAGGAAGCAACAACATGTGAGTATCGCGGCCCCCCACTGCTGACTCTGACATCCCACCGGTCACTCCTTTCACACTCCACATGCACATACGCTTGTCACTTTCTGTTATTAATTTATTTTTAAACTAACACATAGTCTTCTATACTAACCCATAACATTATATATATTTTTTTCCTCTGTCGTCTTATCTGTCTTGTTGTCCATTGTCTGCTGCTATGCACCAATCGCCATGTCCAATTTCTTGTATGTCTGACATATTTTGTTAATAAATGTTTCCTGATTCCAGATTCATTCCCAAATTGTAGTACCAATTATGGGGTTTTTATTAAGTGTCTTGCCCGAGGACACATCGACACGTGCATAAGCCGGGCCTGCAATCAAATCGCCAACCCTCTGATTGGAGGACGGCCGTGCTCCACACTCACCCACAGTTGAACATATAGATAGAAAATCCAACATTATTTGTGAACAAAATAGAATTCCTACATTTGTAGGCTCCTCATATGTTAAAATGTCAGGTCCTATAAAAGCAGTTTACAAAATATTTACACTGATATTCATGTGTTAAGGAACTCACTGACTACACTTGTACAAAGAAATAAGATTTTTTCTGTACAAACGATGTGTGGTGGTACTGTTCCATTCCACCCAGTGGCCTTTCTGCATGTGGTCCCTGTATTATTAGGTTGATTGGTCATTCTACATTACCCCACATAGGTGTGTGAGTCACCTGTGATTAGCTGTACAGGGTGTACTCCATCTCTTGCCCGATGTTGGCTGGCATTGACTCCCCCTCGACCCTGTATACAGGATAAGCGCCTTTCAAGACTGACATTGGGAAATCTCTCATTTGGTACGGTAAACATTCATTGAACATTCATTGTTTTCTTTCTAGGTGTAGTTAATTGGTTTTTTTATGGCACATTTAATGTATTTTAACTTACAAAATTCAGGTAACACCTCTTATACACAGATAATCTTTAGATGCTCGCTTACAATCTGGGCCGTTTAAATGCGTTTACTGTAAATATCATCATAAAATGTAAGTGTCTGCTCAGTTGACCCCAGTGACATGAATTACAATCTTAATATATATATACGTTTATCTTTAGCCAACAGTTTAAGATAAGACGAAAAGGGGGGGTTGCTGAGTAGGGATAAGTGGTTCGAAACGTGAAGTGGTTGGTAGGGAAGCGTGTGCTGTGACTGACATATGGCACGTTTCTCGCCTAAGCTGTGAAATCGACGCGATTACAAGCAAAGTCGCGTCAAACGCCCAAACGCAGTCAACGTGAAAGTTGTAATATATTTGAACCTTTTAAACACAGCTGTCAAGTGATTGATATGATTGATAACACAGCAAAGTGCATGAGGACAGCAGCAAGAGTCACTAGTTCAACATGTTACACCCGGTGGAGTTCTGCCTCCAAGATGATCAAATGTCTGCAGGTTTGTGTTTAAAATACTCTCTATCTAAAGTGATTACTCATTAATTCATTCAGGATTAATCATGATGAATGAATATCAAAATCTGCAATTAATTAGTAGTTATTTTTTAATCTATTGACCGCCCTGGAGTGAGGTCATCAGTGAGGTTATAAACTCACATTTACATTACAGTTTCAATGTTTTTAATACAGGTATCAAAATATGGTTAAAAGAGAAGCAACATTGCCCTCACACTTAACACTATTGTTCTTCTTTTTTTTTTATATACCTTTTTGTTTAAAAAAGTCTCCTGTGGACAGCGTTTCGCTACAAATACTAAACACATTGCATTTAGTTATTATTTATAATTGTATGCCACATGTCTGCTTATTTAGCTCTGAAGCGAGCTAAAAAGATCGCGGCCGACCCCTCCCACCCCGTACAAAAACTGTTTGTGCCCCTTCCATCTGGGAGGAGGCTGAGGTCCATCAGGACTACGACCTCCCGCCACACCAACAGTTTCTTCCCGTCGGCAGTCGGGCTCATCAACAGAGCCGGTCCCCCACTGACTGACTATAACATTCCACCGGTCACTCCCCTTCACACTGCACATGCCACTTTAACTGCAATTCATCACTTTGTCTCTTGTCACTTTGTCTCTTGTCTGTTACTTGTTCGTTAGTGCACTTTATGCTTAATACTTTTCTTTTTAACTTTTTAATATTTAACTTTTTTTTAACTTTATTCCCTTGTTTTATACTAACCCATAGCCTTAGCCTTATTCTACTAACCCATTGCATTAGCATTTCATTCCACTTTATTTTTTTATTTTATTTTACTTGTGCACTGTTGTCTTGTCTGTCTACTGTCGCGCACTAACCGCCAAGACAAATTCCTTGTATGTTTGACATATTTTGGCTAATAAATGTTTCCTGATTCCTGATTCCTGATCAAATCAAATCAAATCAAGTTTAAATAAATATTTAAAAATGTACACAGTGATGCCAGGAGCTACCATACACAGTGACATCTGCCATAAGTAACTAACGTTCACGCACAGTAGTCACAGACACAGGAATGTGGGGTTAAGTGTCTTGCCGACACGTGGACAGTAGTGGAGTCGGGGATGGAACCACTGAACCTCTGAAGGATGGACCTGGTCTCCACTGACCCAGTGTTGCTTCTATTAATCACTCCTAACTCCACTTTGGTGGAATTCCTCGCTGGGACTGGTAAAGATCCTCAAACTTAGTAATGGTTACAAAGCTCTGATTGGTAAACCCGTGTATCCAACCAGGAACACAGCTGTCAATGAGCACAACGTAGAGCTAACTAACTGAAACAGGTAAGGTTCAGAGGTCTGGATCCAGGCCTTTGTAAGTCCAACCAGTAAAGCCCTTGACATTAAACACAACAAAAGTCCAACCCATCTTGTTAGTAGAGACAAACATGTCTCCACTGTTAGCTAGCTGACGCTACTCATGCAGTGACAAAGAATGGACCATGAATACATTTAATATGGATTCATGATGGAAAACAATGATAGGGATGGTCGGCAAAATATTTATTTTGGTCATTATAGTGCACATGTTTCCAATTGATCTTTTATCCTTTGTATGTTTTTTTATTATAGTCATGTGAGAAGGTGGTCGTTGGACATGGTCAACAATCAGCAGTGGACCCCTTGTCACAAAAACCCAATTTCTTATCTCCTGGGTTCATTTTTTGCTGCCCATCTGTCTCATTGTGTCCCGCTTGGCTTTTGCTTTCCATTATTTATTCATTATATATTCTCGTTTATACTCGCAGCTCGGGGCTGTGGCTCCAGGCCAGTGGATGAGGTGATATATCTGTAATATCCATCTGTCTGTGCGCAGCCTACTAATGCAACATAAACTTCTCTGTATGAAAACAAATCTGTTAGCTACATGAAGACACATAAAGACGTCTACGAATATGTAGTATGTTGTTTTACATGGAACAGTAAAGAGTAGCTCAAGTGTTGTGAACTACTGCAGGTGCGCAATACCTCTAATAGCCTCATCCATGAATGCTTCTAATAACTCTCTGCTCTATAACACACAATTATTTATAGTGAATTAATGTAGCACAGAGTGCCAAATGTGTCTCTGACACCAACAGGATTGAGCCGCTTTTATCAGTCAAAGGAAGAAGAAGACAGAGACATCCACTCACCTGAAATACCGCTCAACACTGAGTCTACGCGTGTGTTCCAGGTGACTCGCCCCGGCCAGGTAGTGCTCAGAGCCCCTCCCCCTTCGGCCACCACGCCCCTCCCCTCTTTGTGTGTGATGAGCGAGCGCAGCGCCTCACCCGACTCACCTTACCGCGCGGTAACTCGATGCCAGGGCACGAAGCTGTCAGAGGGGTCCTCTCGGCCTGCTGATATGGAACCGGTCCACCGGGGTCTGGGTCGCTGTGTTTGCTGTTTCTGGCTCGCGGTAGCCTTTGACATTGTGGGACTGCTTGTACTTCTCATTGGGGTGTTCGTGAACGTGTTCTTTTATGACCTGCTCATCTACGCGGGGGCCATCGTGATCTTCCTCAGCCTCATCTGGTGGGTGTTCTGGTACTCTGGTAACATCGAGGTGCCCCCGGCTGAGCTGGAGGATGATGTCGGGTTGGCGAAGAAGGACAAGGGAAGGCTGACCGGCCTCGGCGGCGCGGTGAGGCGCCTCTCCAGCCGCGTGTCCAGCGGCATCAGGTCCTCGCTGCGGAGAACTGGTGCACCATTCGGCCCACGTGCGCCCTCCGCGCAGAGGTCAACGGGAGGGCCACAGGTGGCTGTTTCCATGGCAACGATGACCGCAAAGGAGGACACAACGCAAAGTACTTTCCCTGCAGTGGCAAGCTGTGACGTAGAAATGCCGCACACAACAACAGAGAGCTCACCTACATAGTGTCCGACAGGTGAGGCCTTCGCACAAAACTATTATATAGTATACTATTCTTATATTTTTCTACGGCACTATTTAATGTTGTAGATTTGAGTTAAACGCTTTATAATCCCAGAGCTGATGGCTGCATTACTGTAACTGTAACTGCATATGTATATATATATATATATATATATATATATATATATATATATATATATATATATATATATATATATATATATATATATATATATATATATATATATATATACATACAGAAACAGAAACCTCCGCTAAAATTATCATTTTTGTAAGCGGTCAGAATTTCCATTTTTAGCTCCATATATCTAAATATTTGACCGTTTAACTTCCATGGTCTGCATATGTAAGAACAGCCAAGATTTGAAAAGTACTGAGTTCAAATATGCAAATCCAAAAATATGGTTCCATTGTCAGGTCATAATATTATAGAAGTAAAGGGAAATGTGATCAATTAAAGCTTTTATTATTATTTTTATTATTATTACTTTTGTTTTTCAATGTAGGGTGGTATTCAGATGTATTTGTACATCTGAATTGTACATCTAAACTGTTTTGGAATTATCAAAGTACTATTTGATTTAGTACCACTCATTTTTATAAAAGATTTGTGAATACTAGACCTAAAAAGAGCTTGTTTTAATTTCATGTGGTTTAAATGTAGAAAGGACTGCCTGCTCTGGATCATTTAATAATCTTATCAGTGGATGAATGATTAACCTTAGGTCACTGCTCACTCACATCGTTTAAGCAATAGCAGGATTTCTGATCACCAGCAGAACTCATGTCCTTAATGAGGTGTCATGCGTTCTCTGCCCCACAGACTCCAGACGAGCTGCCTTACACTCTCTTCTCCTCCGGTTCATGCTGAGAAATTCTTAAAAATATATGTTTAAAAATGTGTTGCCGAGAACATCTTTATTTCAATGTATTTTCCAAATAAATGTGATCTTTTAATCAGTATAGCAGAATTCATTCAGTCTGTGTGTGAATCAAAAGACATGACAGATATTTTCAGTTCGTATTTATACTGTTCTGATTAATGTCTCTTTACATCACTGCGTCATGAGTTATCTCTGTCAAAGACATTACTAAACAAATAACACCATTCATTTTTTAATTGAGTGGCATGACCCTCTATACCATTAGTGGGATTTGATTCCTGAAGTTGAAATTATTCAATGGCAATCAAGTTATGCATGTCCATCAACAGCAAATCAGACATCTGTCTGTCGACACATCACTGTGACCGGGCTCACCCCAAAAAACTGCTGTAGCTGTGATAGTTTGTGAATGGTGTGAATCTTAGTGCTGATGGGCAATTAAATTAGCCCGATAGTAGGGGGTAGCCCGATAGGGTAGTTCCTGTCATCAACCTATTGTGTTAACATAAACGCTTCGCCAACTAAAAATGTGATTCTATGTTCTTGTTGTGTTCACAACTTGTTTCTGCTGACTGTAACAACTTTTATTGTGCTTCAATTAGTGGTTCTTCACAAAGTATCACACTGCTAAACCTATAACACCTGTGCTCTGCCCCCTTTTTGGCATTCACGCGTCCGAAACCTCCAGTTTAAAGTGTGACCTTTACCAATCGTCTCTGAACAATATGTGCAGCACAACGGGTAGAATATAATGCCGTAGTGTATTTTGTATTTGAGTGCAGTAAGAAGCAAAATATTATCATCAAATACTATATTCTATACTTTCTGGTTAGCTGGGACGTTCTGATCCGTGTGGCCACTTTCAGTTGTTGCAGTCACAGAAGGAAAGCGGAATATGAATTTGTGATTCATCAACGAACAAAATGGGCTGGCCGCAGACTTCCTCGTTCACACCCATGTTGATAACAGGCCTCAGTGTTTGACCTTTGAAACACACTGGTTTTATTATACTGCTGTTTCCTCTTACTGCACCGGTGCTCTACTTCAATGCTAACAATTCTACAACTGCACAGCAACCAAGGGGGACAAACACATTTACTGGAACAACTTACTGGCTATCATTGGTTCCAATTGGTGGCCTCTTACTTTTGTTAACCCATCAAAATAACATTGCGTTATATGTAAAACAACCACAACAAAAAGCATAACGCTTCATCAGTGTCACAAAAAGGAACAACAATCGCTGAGCTGAAACGAGGAACGCTGAATCCTTCTATATATATATATATATATATATATATATATATATCTAAAAAGGCTATAAATCATAACATCACTAGTAGGGTTATAAATGCTGAAGTCATGAGCGCCCGTGACAATAGAAAAGTCAATGATTACACATGTCACCAGAAATTTGGTTCAACTGAATTTCCTTTACCTTAAACAGATTGTTAGCTTTGATGTTTTCTGTATCACTGCAGACACTGCTTTACATTGAGATATATCACTTCCTCTTAAATGCGACAATAATGGAAATGTAAAAATGGAATGTAATTTTGTCCTCTCAATGTCATAAACAAAAGATTGTTCTTTTTTTACTTGCAACGTTTGACACAGACACTGGTTTCTATACTACATACAATAAGATGTTCTGAAAATGTCCTTTCATGCATTTACTTATTATTCATATATAGATATATTATTTAAAGGCTACTTCTACTTGTTTCTCAAACACCCAAGATGTTTGGTTTGGAGGTAGAATCAAAACTAACAACATTGCACTCTGCTACATGTTGGCATGCATGTCGTCTACACCGGATGTTAGATCACAGTAACAAGAAAATGAAGAATCAGGGACCGTTACAGACATCCAACATTCCCCTCTAAAAGGATATGCAATTACCAAAACATTCAAGAACGATAATGCTTCTCAAGGGGTTAATTCATTTTACAAGATTATAATGCTAAATAAGTATTTACCCATTTATTCAATTATTATTTATTTTACCCCCCCTGGCAAATTGTCCTCTTTTGTTTTTCAAAATATACTTACAAAAAAGAAAACAAACAGGTAACAAACTTGTCCATAGCTTCCCATTCCCTTGAGCGTGGACGGGGGCCGCAGCCAACCGGAACCTTTTATCCGGAGTCGAGTACAGGGGAAGACTTTGATTGCTACAAACGAGTCTGCAATTCCCTTTCGTAAACAAGCGGTCACTTCCTCTTGGGAACACATGTCTTAGCACGTTACGTCAGTTTAGTGGATGTTTTGCATAGCGCTTATTAGCGCTAATGTAGCAATAACAAACGCATCTAAAAATGGAGGTAACATCAGACAGTCGAGACTTTTTGGACTCTCCTCCTGCTAAAACTGTTCGCTTCGGGGGCACCGTTGCGGAAACGTTAGCTAAACGTGAACGGGTGAGTGCTAACTAACGCGTGTCAGTCCGCTTCTATACGCTAGCTTAGCAGTTATCAAACCGAGCTGAGACTATGGTAAAGCTTCCGTTAATGTCAGCCACGGGACGCTGTTAGTTAACGTTAAGTTAAGCAATGAGGTCCGGTAGGCTTTACTTCATCGTCAATGGTGTTACAGTTCGAGGGTGTTGTCAGGCCCGACGCGCGGGGCCCGGGACACAACATAGTCGTTGCCACCAAACGTTGCGTATCGCATTTCAGTGGCCTAGAGAAAATACAACAGACAACCGCATTGGGAAAACTACGTTTGTTAGCCTAGTACCAAAAGTTGGTTGATGATTAGCTAGTAGATAGACATTAATCTATTGTCTGAAAACATCCCAGGTCTCCCTGCTAGAACTCGCACCATCGCGGTTTTACACATTGCTCATGACTGCCACCTGCATTGTCCTTCTTAGCTAAAAGGCGCCCTAAATCGGTTCCGAAAGATGGCATTGCCCTAAACCGGTAAATTGTGGCGATTCCCATCCCAAAGTTCAGCTAGTATGATCGCACACTGATGTGGAACGCCCAGGTCAATGTTAAGAGTTGTGCAGTTAATTATGCTCAATACAGTTCACCGGGGACTCTCAACCAATCACAATGCTCGATTTCATTTCCCCCGTTTAATAATGATGAATAACAACATTATGAGCTGTAGACTGACAGCTTTTAGTTAATGATGAGCTGGTTCTCCTGTTTGAAGGGAGACTGCTGTGACTACGAACTGCTGAAGCGCCAGCTGTCTGATCCAGAGATAAAGGTACAGTAAACCGTTAAGCATCCATCTGACCTGGAATTAGTGTGCCGTTGGTTTTTGATGCTCAGTGAACTCTCTCCTCTGACAGGATGGCCAGCTCATCTCCTGGCTACAAGAGTTCCGTGGTTGTGTGACTCATCTCACCAAGGACCACGAGCAGCTCATCTACACCATCTTGGTGAGTGCAGAGGCAAGAGGACGGAGCTCGCTTCATGTCCAGATACTATGACGACCTGTACCGCTGACCGCTGAAGGGAATAGTTGTTGGGAGTTAATGAGTCACTATTTCGATAGTTAAATAATGTCTGACACTTTTCTGTGTATTCTAGAGACTTCCGTGGGTGGGCCGGAGCCAGGCTGTGGTGGAGGAGTACATGGCTTTCATTAGTAGCCTGGTCTCAGCACAGACAGTCTACCTGTGTGCCTGCATCAAGATGGTGGTCTCCCACTTTACTCCCAGTAGGTTCTCTTGACTGCTGGTCAAATAATCCAAAGTTTCTACAACAAAATACAGAGATCTTACTGTAATTTTTAATGAGTTCATTTAAATGTTTGTTTTTCTCAACCATCTATTGTTGCCGCTCCATCATCCTTTCATGTTTAAATCTTAAGGCCAACAGCAGCAATGTATGTACTATATCCCATCACCAGTGACTCGAAGTAATATTGTGTCTTTGTTTTTTTTCAGAGAGAGTGATTATCTGCGAGGGAGGGGTTGATATCTCGGATTCAGATGATGAAGATGAAAGTAGGTTTCCTCCATCTTATTGCTGAGTTAAACTTCCGTGTATTGTAACAATTCAGTGTAGTACTAAGGGTTTTCTTATTAAACTTAAACCAAAGTGCTGCAAGCACACCATGTGCATAAGGCTGCAGTGTTGATCTGATTTGCATAAATCCTGAGAATAATTCACCATCAGCTGATGGATTTGTTAGTGGGTTAGCTGTCACAATCGCATATCTGCCATCAACTCCCATCGTTTTTCCATTTGCTTTCACACATAAACCGCTCCAGTCTACTAAAAAGGTGCCAGAGATTTTTCAAGTGGTCTAGTTTCAGGTATGTTCGCATCCAGGTTGGATTGACCCTCCAAACAAACCAGACTAACCAGCAAACAGACTTGTTAGTTTTAATAGTTTTTTTTAGGTACGGTGTGAAGCAGCAGTAAGACAGAAGTATGAATATGATGCAGCATTAAGACAGAATTACATCCTAATCCTGAAAGTCTCTGGTTCAACACTCTTGATTGGATGTTGAATCCAAACTCTCTACCGCTCCTTTGATTTGTCTAGACCTCCCAAGAAACTTCAATCTGTGTCATGAGGCATTGCAGCTTATCATCAGATATGTTCCAAGGTAAGTCACTTCTTCAACTCCTGTCTGCAGATGAATGCTGTTGGTTGGCTTTAGGTGCGTGCGGAAACTGAAATCAACCAGCTCTCAACTTACAACAACTACTAATAATAACTGAACCAGAGAGACGCATCACTGAGTGGACTATGGGACACAAACATTTACTGTGATACACAGACACGTACACAGATTTAAATCATAAATCAATTGCTTTACTTGTTGGTCTGATTTATACTTATTGTAGGGACATAATTGCTTCTGTGTATTTTCTTAGTGTTTAACTGAGCTACTCCCTTTAAATATTCTTTATGACATTTAACAAAATACTATTGAGCAGAGTTGCGTATCGTTGCTGTAGAAATGAAAAGGTATATTTTCACATACTTATACATAAAACAGGCATCGCTATATGTCAGATAGTACTTATACGGGTCACTGGTACTATTATTACTACCTGTAATTGTCTATATACAGGTAGTGATACATAGGTAGTACATTCATCAATACGTATATAAGCACATCACAAGAGAGACAAGTGCAATGTACAACAAGCAGGGCTTATCACGCCGTCTCTCGTGCTGCGCTGGGACACTGACCACTTCATGGTCCATCTGATTCCTGTGGAAAGGCTCTCCAAACCTGTGGTTAGGAAATTTGACAAGAAAGACCAGTGAGGCTCTGGAGGATCTACGGGCGTGCTTGGACTGCATGGTTTCAGGACTGCTACCAACAGTCTGGATGAGTTCACAGAGGCTGTGACTTCTTACATTGGCTTCTGTGAGGACAGCTGCGTACCATCATGCACCAGGGTGAGTTACAACAACGACAAACCCTGGTCTTTGCAGCCAAACACAGAAAGCTACTGCAGAAGGATCAGGCATTTTGGAGTGGGGACAAGGACTTGTACACAGACAAATTACAGGTTTAGCAAGGCGGTGAGAGACCCCCCACTCCATGAATGACCGCCGCCTGGCAGACGAGCTGGATGAGTTCCACTGGGACAGTCCCGTGGCACAGTCCTGACTCCATCCCTCACAGCTACCAGCCACCACCACCAACCAGGCCCAGACCACCAGTCAACAGGCTTTTTAAAAAACGGAATACCCGCAAGCAATTCATTGTATTTTGTATAGCCCCAAATCGCACGTGTACACATGTGACATCCTCTGTCCCAAAACTCTCACATCAGCGCAGGAAAAACTCCACAAAGCACGAAAATCCTTCCATGGGGAAAAGGGGGAAGAAACCTGAGGGAGAACATCAGAGGAGGATCCCTCTCCCGGGATGGACAGACTACAATGGATGTCATGTGTACAGAATGAACAGTTGACCCGAACTCTGTCTCCTCCTCCACTTGAAGCATCCTGCTGACCCGCTGTCTCCGGTGTTCAGACATCTTCAACATCTCACTGGAGACGTTCTACGTTCCCGTCAGCCTTAAGGCCTCCACCATCATCCCCGTCCCCCCTAAATCACAGGATCACAGGACTTAATGACTACAGGCCTGTCGTCCCAGCCTGTACAAAAAGTCCTGTCCTACCTCAGAACCCTCAACGACGCACTCCTGGACCCACTACAGTTTGCTTACAGAGCAAGCAGGTCTGTAGACGATGCTGTCAACATGACAACAACATATCCAGCATCTGGACTCCCCAGGAACCTACGCCAGGATCCTCTTTGTGGACTTCAACATCATCATTCCCTCTCTGCTTCACATGCCTGGCTCCACCTGCAAGTGGATCACAAACTTCCTGTCTAACGGGAAGCAGCACGTAAAGCTGGGGAAACTTAAACATCAGCTCCATCACCAAGAAGGCTCCGCAGAGGCTGTTCTTCCTGAGGCAGCTGAAGAAACTGAACCTGCCAAAGGCGTCACCGTCTGGTACGCTGCAGCCACAGCCAAGGACAAGGGCAGGCTGCAGCGTGCCATCCGCTCTGCAGAGAGGGTGATCGGCTGCAGTCTGCCGTCTCTCTAGGACTTCAGGACCCTCAAGTGAGCTAGAAAGATGGTAGCCGACCCCTCTCACCCCGGACAAAACCTGTTTGTGCTCCTTCCATCTGGCAGGAGGCTGAGGTCCATCAGGACTAAGACCTCCCGCCACACCAAAAGTTTCTTCCCGTCGGCAGTCGTGCTCATCAACAGAGCCGTTCCCCCACTGACTGACTCTATTTAAATACACTTGACACCTTCACACACTAGTGTATAGTATAATTAAGTTTACCTGTTACTATATTACATATATAGTAACAGGCAATTATATTACTATGTTACTATAATCTTGATAATGTAATTGTAAATTATTGTCCGTTTTGTCCAATGCATATATATATATATATTTTAATATGCACAACCTGCCATGAAGTTCCTTGTATGTATGAACATATTTTGCAAATAAATGGTTCTGATTTTCATGTATCCAATTTTGATTAAATGCAACAATATTAACCAAGGTGGATATATCACTTTCTATGTATTGTTATTGTATGGATATTTGCATAATTCTAAATATAGTAGCATGATGGTTTGTCCTCTTCTTTCAGCACGAGTCGCTTTCTGATGCCCATTCTGACTGAGAAGTTTCCCTTCTTGCAGAAATCCTCCACAACGCTTGTAAGAGACCCCTTACTTCTCACAGGTCTCCCATGCAAAAAAACATACAGAATAATGATAATAAAAATTTCATGAAATATAAAAGGTGCCTCCCAGACGTTGTTGGTAAGATTCGCTTGCACCCAATCAGTCACTATGCGGAGGAAATGGATGTCATATGTATTTTGCATGGAGAGGAGCGATGCACCAATGATCCTTCCAGATGTTTTCCTTTTTGTTGATTAATAGTTTGCTGCCCTCTACAGGAGTGTTACGTCCACAACCTCCTGAGGGTGACCATCTACATACCATCCATTCGGCGAGACGTGCTGGAGCTGATTGTTGGAAAGATGCTCAAACTGGACGTAGGTGGCTAGACTTCACACACAGGTTCTATTTCCCTGACTGAAAGGTCAATGTGGTGTTTCTCCATGCTGGAAACATGGTGGCACCATCCGGTAGTAATGCACCGTCAATGTCGGTCACAGTGAGGTTTTTACACAGCGATGGTCAAAGTCTATTTGTAGCAGAGGCACGTTGGAGTGGCATTTCCTCTCGTTGTCATCAATAAAGTCTGTAATGTCTCCTAAATACATTGTGACACACAACAGGGTCCCGCTTTTCCAACAGTGTGTGTGTTGTGCTTCAGGTCGGTGCACCAAAGTCCGACATCGAGGAAGCAGAGGAAGTGCTGAATCAGCGGGCCGAAGAAGGACTCTTTGACATGGTAACCAGCAGCACTGGTTTCATACCCCTATGGGTTTGGGTCACTCGTCCTCTGTTCTGACTGGAGAAGTAAAGTAGAAATAGTAGCTGTTACTACCTTTTTAGTTCTACTTTTACTGTCTTCTAATTTCAAAAAAATCTGAGGAAAGATCCAGTAGTGTGGATGGTGGAGGGGACATCCAACTTTGTACAGTCAATGTATAAAGAATTATTATTATTATTATGTATTTCAAGTTAAAACTTCTGTACCAAAAATCCGAACCGTACCACTTTTTGGGTACCCTTCCGTTGGGGTACCTGGCACAGTTGTCTGGTACTAAAGGGCGGAGCTAGACTCACTGCCGAACGTTGATTGGTTGAAAGAGTGTCGTCATTTGCCCTTTCCCGAAAGGGGAAAGGCAACACACGTAACACACTTGCAGCATGTAGCCTTTGCTCAAACAAAGATTGTTGTCTCCTTGTGACAAACAGCCACATATGGAGAAGCAAGAACAGGATCGGCTGTACGTCCTCCATTGTTGTTTGCGGTTAGCTTTCAGTTTTCGCGCGATTTAAATTACGTCAATCTACTTTCCGTCATGTACCACGCCTATCAAGTGACGTCACCACTACTTTCTGGAATACACCATGACTATCAAGTAAGGGTACTGTGGAAACGCTCGCCAAATCATGGTTAACAGACCCGTACCGACCCGACCCGTACCATACTGCTCGGTGGAAACGTGCCATTAGTATAACAAGAGTATAAAGAGAATGTCCAAGGGTTGCTTCTGTTAGAAAGTGTGTGTTTGTGTGTGTCAGGATGAGGACATATCAGCAGCTCCGCCCTCCTTGGGGACTGGGATGGCCCACCCAGTGGCTGACAGGCTGGACACTCTCATGGTGGTTCTGATGGCCTACATCAAAGACGTCTGCCATGTCGATGGTTAGTGAATAACAGTTGGTGTACCCCTTCCAACGACTCTCACACCACAGTGTAATAGTGAATGTTGTCGGCTTTAAAAGGTTGGGTCTTCTTTCCTGTTTCCCCTCTCAGGCTTCCTTCAGGTGGAAAAGACTAAGGATCTGTACAGAGATCTGTTGAGTGTATTTGACAAGCTCATCCTGCCAACTCACGCTTCCTATCATGTCCAGTACACACTGTTCTACCTGTGCAGCTTCAGAATGGTCAGTACTTCCCACACTGTGCATGAGGCTTTGTGTGATGCTAGAGAAAAGCACTATGTAGCATTTAGCCACATGGCAAATCGACTCGGTCAGGTGAACATAGTTATGCATCTGGTTTTTCTTCTACTCAATAACTTTAATTTTCCTTTGCTTCCATTTGAGAAAATGGAAATGTGATTATTTTGATGAGTGGAAATGTTTTTGGCGTATGCCAGTCAGAATGCTTGTTTATTTTTAAACAACAAGGTCTAATGGAGGTATTTCATCTTCTTTGAGACGGTGCTCCTGGTGAGATGAGTCCTCTCTTAAGTCCACTTATTGTACTCTGTGTCCCAGGGGTTCGCCGAGGCCTTCTTGGATCACCTGTGGAAGATTCTGCAGAGTCCCTCTCAGCCCGCTGTCCTCCGCCAGGCGGCTGCCGGATACCTGGGGAGCTTCCTGGCTCGGGCCAAGTTCGTCCCTGTACTGTGAGTTGATGCCACTGAGGAGAACACAGAGGCTGCTTAAAGCCAAAGTGAGGAGCCTTCTCCTCTGTGCCCGCGTTGTTCTCATCCAGTGTCCTCATCCCCCCTCCTGCAGCACCGTGCGGTCCTCTCTGAACCTGCTCATCGCCTGGATCCATCGCTACATCGACACCCAGGACGGCAGCGACAGGCCGGCCTGCTGTGACGTCAGCCTGCACGGGCCCTTCTACACCGCCTGCCAGGCCGTCTTCTACACACTCATCTTCAGACACAGAGCCATGCTGGAGGGCGACATGAAGAAAGGTACACAAGCACTCAAACTGGTTCACACCTAATGCCTGAGTTCACTGTTGCTTCTTAAAGTGCTCCAGAGCACTGAATGCAGACCTGGTTTAAAGACTAGCTTTAGAGTATCTGGGTGTTTCATGGTTAACCAAAGGAATTGTTTTACATTTTGATTGTCAAATAGAGCGTAGAAAATAATATTGTCTGCCTACAGGGTTCAGTTGCTCCTTACTTTTTAAATATCCCCAATTAAATCATAATACATTTGTTAAATGGTTCACTTAAAAGATCTTTTCTTTTTAGTCACTTGGTCTTTGGTGTTCTCTTCAGGTCTGGAGTACCTGCAGAGTCTGAACCTGGAGCGGGTGGTGACGTGTCAGCTGAACCCTCTCAAAGTGTGCCTGCCGGCAGTCACCAGCATGTTCGCTGCCATCAGCAGGTAGCCAGCCGCCCCACCGGCCCTGGTCTCCTCCCAGTGGTAGTTTACATCTATACTGGGACCGTTGTATTCTACTGAATGCTCTGCTCTGCTGGAAGAAGATAAGAGAGTAAAACTCCTCTTTACCGGCAGATAACCCAGATGAACCCTTCAAGGGTTAAAAATAGCTGTTTTGTAGCATAGATTATCACATTTTACGTTACATACGTTATCTGATAACAGATTGGGATCCCCGCCCTCCGAAACATGCGGTCTGCGCTCCTTGAGGGAGGGAGCAGAGCCTTCAAAAAGTATGTGAAGAAACAACAATCCAGTGTTGGCAGGCATTAGCCTCGATTAACATTATCTGCAGCTGTTACCTCATCGGTTGCATTTAAACGGTCAGCGTTGGAATTCCATGTGAGCCCACGTGGATGGACCTGCTGGAAACCTTTTGGGTGTGAAAAACAGTTCCCTCAGAAGGAGAGTTGACTTCGAAGGTTTCCTCCTCCGGTGCCGCAGCAGCTTCTGTTTGTCGTTGCAGGGTGTATCAGGTGGTGTTCTGCTACAACATCATAGAGAGGAACAACCGCCACATGCTGCCGGTGGTACGCAACTCTGCAGGAGGAGACAGTGTGACCACCAACACCAACCCTCTGGACAGCTTCTTCCCCTTCGACCCCTACCTGCTCAAGAGGTGCGTCCCCAACGACCTCGGGCCCAGTTTCTCTTTCCACACAGCACTTTGTGCCAGTCAGGAAGCCCCCAGCGGTGTGATGAACTGCCCTTACGCTTTAAACAATCGTGAATGTACTTGAAACTGTGCAAAGTGTTTTCGGATGTATCCAGACTAAAGAAAAAACCTTATCTGTGACCTAGACGGTAATATCTGACAAAGTGAGCCACCATACGGTCCCCTCATTAACTGTTGAGAGGATTCAAGTCCTTAAAAAAACATGTGCGTGTTCTTTCAGGTCTCTTAAGCTGATTGAGCCGCTGTACCAGGTCTGGGAGGAAGAAGCAGACACGGAGCAGCTCGCCATCAAAACAGGACAACAGGTGAGATGCCCGATGTCCAATAAGTGTGTTTACCATTGCTACCACTGCCACCACTGCTTCGACTATTTTCCATTATTGTTAGTCTCTAGTCTGAAGCTCCACTGAACAGACCAGACCCCTTTCATCAGGTTTGGTTTGCAGCCCTCTGATGCTCCCAGGGGGGCCATGGGGTCAACACCAGGAGACGGTCTCCCTCACTAAAGTTCTTTCTCACTTCTGTCCATGTTGCCTTTCTTGGAGAAGCAGAAAGTATGGGCGCCATGGGGCTTAAGGAAAGCTCCTTTTGCCTCAGAATCCGTACCTCTGCTTTAAGTAGCTTCATCCAATATGAAAAGAATGAAGTAAATTGGTCTGTGGGAGTTTCAATTCTCTCTGCTTCTGTGGAGTATAGAGCAGTGGTTTTCCGCACTTCTGGATCATCTTGAAGCACTGCCTTTGATCACGAGATGGTCTGATGCTGCCTCCACTGGCCAACTTTCTTCAGCATTCCATAGTACCATTGCTGCATGAACGTAACTGCACTCAATCCTTTTGATTGTCTTTGCTGCTTTCACATCTCTGTTGAGACTGGTCAGTATTGATTGTCATTTCCAATGTACTTATCACTGCATCTGTCCAGAAGACTATGGGCCCCATGTACTAAAGCTTTTGTGAGTTTCCCACAAAGAGATGGGAGGGGAGCCGTAGGTAGCCGTGGGTCCCGAATCCAGGAGGGCATAGACTTGCAGAACCTGGCTTCTCTTTGCTGCCTTAACCTGAACGGGACGACGGGCAGCACAGTCTCTCTATGACCACAACCCTCTGCTGATGCACCACCTGTCACACCGCTTACTAGTAAAGCATGGGGGAGCTTGCGTGCTGACTTTACAGGTTAGACGACTTTTGCAGTCTCCTGTGTGTCCCGTGTAGAGACAACCAAAGCATATGCCCTTATTTTTTTCAAAGCTGAGCTGGGTTCTGTGTGTGTTTACACAAAGTGATTCAGTCTCATTTGTCTCCGGCAACACTTGTTGTGAAACTATTTCCACGTAACTTGGAGACCTGTGACTTGAATCTAGGCTTCGCTCCACTTTTTAACTCACCTTTGGGGTCCGCAAGCTTGTTTATTAATAAAACATTCATGATAATTCTGTGATTGTGCCCCTTTAGCAACTCATAAGCATTGTTGTGCCACCTTTCCCTGAGCGTGTGTGGCAACATAAGTACGATGTTTCTCATGTTGGATGTGGAGTCCATCTCCTCCATAGCAGCGCCTGAGGAACATGGCATAATCCTGTAAGGATCTTGAATCCACAGACTTAATTTGGGACCAAGATAGCGCCTTTTCCAAGTAAGCACAAAATAATTAGTTTTCCTTCAGTAGCTCTTTAGTTAGGGGGCTCAACTAAATTAAAGGAACATGGTTGAAATCCATTTTCGTTATGGTGGCAAGGAAAGCCATGATTTGTTCCCACTTAGCTTAAGACCATGTTCTCCTGTCTTCCTCTCGGGTCCTCGTCCACCAGTTCACTGGTATGCACACCTTTAAACTCCTCTAAAAGTTGATTAACTTAATCAGTCTTTACTAATCATCAGTTTGTTCCCAATGTTTGTCCTGCGTGTTAAATGTGACATATTTCCACATAGCTGCTTCATCCATGTCTTTAGCAGGAGCCTCATCTGCTTCGTCAGAACTTTCTTTTTTAGTCAAAAATAAACTTCAAATTATCAGTTTTTCATCGATCCGAATAGTCCATCAGACACAGAAACATGTCTGTAAAATATCCTTAATTTCTTCAGGCGACTTCGCTGCCCTCAATGTTTGGGCGCTGGGGGAATAAAGTTCCAAAATAAGAGCTCACAGTCCATCAACACTAAACGTGTGGTGAACTTTGTTTCTGGTCATTTTGATCAATGCTTTCAAAAAAATCCTATTGTTTTGACCTCGCAGGGTGTTCAGGTGCAGTTTGTCTGACTTGCATCCAAATAGAAAGGCAGAAGAAATTTGTTGTTTACTTGTTGCTTAGTATTGTTATATAAATAAAAATAATGAGATGCAACTGTTTAAACGCCCTTTAGTGTTACTGCAGCGCTGATGATGCCGATCACCATCAGGCACGGTCACAATCCAAGGCTGAACCTGTTTCTCCTGACTGGGCACCGGCCCACCTGTAGGGGGCACACTTTACTTTTAAACACAAAGAAGATATTGGGAGCCCTTGAGTGACGGCTGAATCAACAACTCTGACCTGGACTCTTCTGAAGTTCTTGAGGTTATGTTGCCTTATGCCGAAAAGCAAATGCCATTGAAATGTTTCAAGGAGCCCAAACACACCTCGTTGATGATGATGATGAACAAGATGAATGTTCTGGTCAGCCCAGTCCAATAGCATACGAGTGTTTCTGAGACAAGAGCATCAAATGCCGAGGCGGGTTGGAATTTGGTCCAGCGGCGCTGTGCTGGGACACCTGTTCACGTGTCAGAAGCTGGTCGACTCCACGCAACACAGGTTCCCAGAATCGGTGGTTATATGACTAGGTATTAGTTCAGGGATTCACATAATGTAAATGTTTGGGTGTGTATTCCCGTAAAACACATCATCTTTCATGATTTTATGTGCATTAGATCGATGGGAAAATAAGATATTATAAGGATTTTAGGCGTTACTCTGTTTTTTAAGCATATTATTATTTTGAACACACAATTCTGTGATGAGACAGAATACACATTGAGATGTACCGTATAAGGAAATGATGTGTAAATATGTGTTTCAGTCGGGGTCCCGGTCACTGACCCGTGGTCCTGTTGCTTCTTTGTGTCTCTCAGGGCTCGAGGGGGGACGATGATGACTTCCTGTTTGGAGAGACGCCCCAGACCGAGAGCATTGTGGGTATGACACCCAGCTCCTACGACTCGAGCCTCCACAGCCCCAGCTGAAGGGGTTCACCCCCCACCCCCCTCCCCAGGGACCCTGATCATGTACATGATCTTACATTTAAGATGCCAACATCGACTGAACAGCACATGAACGCACAAGAGAACTCCCAAGTCAAGCTGTTTTATGTTATGAATGATCACAGTAGAGTACACAAAGTATTATCAGGTCTGAAATGAACTCTACACTCTTCTGCTTCTGAGTCCAGTCAACTCAAATGACAAAGCTTGATACGGCGGCATATTGTGTCGCCGGTAGAATGTTGTTCTGGGGCAATTGTATTTATTTGTTGGTGAAACTCTTCATATGAAGCTTGGTGCAGACAGCACAACAGTCCCCAGAAACACGCGAGACGTTCACGCTGCATTGAAGCAGTTGGGACCGATGATCATGTCCGTGGGGAAAGTAAGGAAAGGGAAAGGAAAGGGCCGTGTTTTTCCCCAGGAGCTGTCGGTTACCAACGAGTCTCAATGCACTGTGTGTCTGCAGTAACTGTCCCCAGTAGTGGAGCTGTGTTGTGTAGTGGTGTATGCACAAGGACGTTATTACATTTGTAATAGTATTGCTCCACTATTCTAATAACTGATTTGAGTTATTTGGGCTTTTAATTTTCTTTATTATTGTTTACGTCTCTGTATGGGTGTGTTTTCTGTCCATGTTAAGACCATGTGCTCACTAAAGCCCTGCTCTTCAGTTTGACCTCAGTGACCTCTCTCCAATCAGTTATGTGAGGAGCCTGTAGGCCATTTCACAGCTCATAGTTCTTCTTAGTCAATCAGTCAAAATAGATAATCAAAATGTTTTTTTATGTGTAGGGTCAAGCAATGGTTATGACAACTCCAAAACATGTTAGACCGGAGGTCTCCAACCTTTTTTGCCTCACGAACCGTTTGTTATAAAGTACTTCCCGGACCTCTTGTCAGTCAGGAATCGGGGAGTGCGAGTTGTCCTCAACATGATCGAAGGTCTCCAGGGGCCACTTGTGAAAATTTCTACACTTGATGTGCTCCTGGCAGAAAGCCGTATCACCCAAAATGAGAAGGTGCAAATTCTGCCCTTGCCCGAGTTATCTAAAAATATTGAGCTCCAATGTGCAATGCATAAATCTGCAAAGATCCCGCCATTAGTACCTGCCTCGCATGCAACTAAGGCCAGATCTGTTTTTCTGTTTTTATTGTAATATTTCGTTTTGAAAGGTTAAATGTTTTTTAAATCAATAGTGACGTCAAGTAATGAGTGGACATGATGTTGAATAAAAAGTTGAAACAAATATGGGTTATGCTTGATAAATAGTCAAACCACACAGGGCCATTTTTGACCCAGAGGGACCTGAACAGGTGGGAATATTTGCTGCTATTAGGATGTTTTTGAACCCATCCAATGTTTCTAACTATGACTCAACACCTAACTTTGTTAACCATAGTCAAAATAATTATTTTTTACAAGGTAAATGAGATCTTATCGGCCTTACATTTGGAATGGAATAAAAAAGTGTTTCAATAAAGTTATTAAATGTCTAACACAGAATTAGGTGAAGAATCGAGTGGACAACACACTTGGTATGCGCTGCCATTAGAAAAATTGAAATGATCCAAAAACGGCATCCTCACCAAACAATGACATATACCCCTCTGTGGTAATTCAAATAGTCAAAATAATATAAAGTCTCTATTTTACATTGAAAAACAGGGTATACTTTTATGTAAACAAGGTCTATTGGTCTGAAATTCCAAAACGAAGGAAACAATTTGTGGTAACGGGTTACACATAATAAATTGAAAATGTATACTATATGCTTTAAATAAAAGGAAAACCAGGTGGGGTCATTTTAGAACATGGAGGACTTCATGAGGGCTAAACATTGTTCAATAAAGGCAACATCAGATCCAGTCAGCAGTTGGTCCTTTAATATAAAACAGTAACAGAAAGATATGAGGCCACACCACAGATGCAGTTTTGTTGAAGCACAGGACACATCAGTATTCTTCGAAGCTGTCCGCATGAATCAAATGAAGGTTCCACATGTAGCCTATGGCTGAGGTCTGCCTACAAAACACGGGTTTACACAGTAGGAGCTACAGCAACGTGACAGCCAGTGGTGGACGCACGGGACGCATTGACAGGAAGCACAAAGCCTCAGGAGTCTCTTCATTCTCTGCCTACTGTTGGGGAATAAGTCATGGAGATGGATGAAGGGACACCGTTGATTTGCCTTGGATTGCCCGTTCCAAGCTAACATGCAGCCCATGGAGTGCGTGTGTGTGTGGCTGGAAGGTGGGTTAGAAATGTGGTCAGAGAGGAGTAATAACACGTTGACAGTTGCGTGTGTGCGTTGTGGACATGCTCATGCGGCCCTTCAATCGCCCGCTGCTTTCAGTTACACAAAAGAGAATTCCAGCAGACTTTTTATTTGGCAGAGCTCTTCTCACAGAGACTTGTGTACACGTGTTATCAGCGAATGACGAGTTCTTAAGTCCTGCCCCACTGCTGAACTCTCAGTTTGAAAAGGAAGACACTAATTCGATGTGTGTGAGCGAGCTTTGGTATTCAAACACCAGCTGGGTTGTGTTCACTGTGAACGGAGGATTTGAATTTATGAGTACTGTCCTTATTTTAGTTTATTGGGTGGTGTCTGTAGACCATGGAGTAGTCTGTAGCTCAGTCAGCCCCCATCCACAACCCTCTGGCACTTTGCTGCTCACAGAGGATGAAGGTTGTCGTCTGCCAGCGGCTCCACCTCCAACACCGTCGCACTCACTGACGCTGCAGGCGGATCACAGAGGGACAGAAACCGTTTGTCGTTACAGACAGTGACATCCTCATCATGTGTCGACTTCCACAGGACCAAACCTCTGCTCTGCAAAAGGTCTGACTCATTAGGAAACAACAAGCAAAGTCATATCTATGATCATGAATGTTTTGCTCTTTTGGAAAATTGGACACTGGCAACAACAATATCCAGATAATGTAAAATATCACTGTTCTTTTTTTCTTTGACTTATTTGAATAAATATACACAAACCAAATACAGAGTACGTATCCCACGTTGCTCTAACGTGTTGTTGGAATTGGATAAAGTTGAGTGGTAGTTCAGTCCGAGCTCAGTACCTTTGTCGTCAGCAGTGGGGGAGCAGACTCCCGCCACCAGCTCTTTGGCCTCCACAGCCAGCTGGAAGGCGGAGTTAGGAAGTGGCGACGGGGTGTCGGGGCTGTCGGTGGCTGGAGACGACCTACTGCTGCTAACATGGAGAGCACACACAGGAGGACTGTTACAGCACGACTCCACCCGCTCCTCCCTGAGCCTCCTCCACCTACTCCCTCCTTGAGTGTCTTACCCGCCTTCGCCTCCCAACAAGCTGGGTGTCGTCAGCACTTTGTGGACGTTCTGGGAACAGACAAAACAAAACAAGCCCCAAGGTCACAAAGATGGTGATGAGGTATTTTCAGAGGGAGCAGAGTCCTGAATGAGGCCCGGTGGGACCCTTGTAAACCTAATCCGGAGACCAGAGCCGGTTTGGTCCTTAAGTGGTGAATACGAGGGATTTAACAGTGTTTCTCCCACCGTTATGCCATTACATTAGGAGCGAATCCTCTGAGCAAAACTTGTGTGCTCCCTCCCTTCATTAGCTCCTCGTGCCGTTCATTCTCACATTTCCACACCCGTCCCTGGATGATTGAAGGAGTCCGCACATGGTGCAGGATGCCGTTCACAGAGACCATGTCAACCTTCTCTCAGCGGCTCCGCTCTCGCCTCCAACTGTTTGAGTCGCTTTGTTACTTTTCTCACATAAGGACTGAAACTGTAAACTGTACTTCAGTGCACCAGTCAATTCATTGGATCCTCTTCCCCAAATGCAAATACTGAGGACACATTCCTGCAAATTATTACATTCATGAATTGCTTAAATGTATTCTACAGTTTCTCTGTTGAGTAGTCTACCCCCCAATTATTACATGTAATATGTCGAACCAGTTGTCACAATCGGCCATGAATATATTTTCAAAGCGTAACTGTTTGAAGTCAGTTGGTGAGCCGCCGTCAGCTGACTCAGGGCTTCCACTAAGCCAGTGGGACGCGTGACGCGTGTAACCAAGAGTTAGAATGTTGCAGTGCTTTTCTATATCACAGTGACACGTTTTGTCAGCAAATGACAGTAATGATGTGAGTCCTGTCCAGTACGCATGGAGGGTCCTGTGTTATACAGAAAAAGTGTCTTGTGCATTTTTTCTTTTCATCATCATCAAAACAGCAGGGCATCAGGTACTGCCAAGTGCTTGGATTACATTAGGAATATATGTATATATATATATATATATACACACACACACACACACACTCAACCTCATGCAAATGAAGAGCCACTTATGATCTCTAAGAAATAGAACAGAGGACCAATTTCCCAAATTAACGAGAAAAAAAAACAAGATGACAAAACAGGAGAAAATTGTTTTACTGGAGTCACCTCTTCACTCTGAATGACGATGTGGGTGTTTATTGACACTGTGCCTTTTAGACATTTAAGAAGGCGGCTGGAGGCTGCAGGTGTCAGCGAACACGAGGAGGGACAAACCTCTTGCAACGTGAGTTTACAGTTGTACCTGTGCGAAGCCCAGCAGCTTCTTGTTGGAGATCTCCAGGTGTTTCCTGCTCAGCTCTGACTTCTTCAACTGCCAGTCGATAGTCGTCAGCCGCCTATTCAGATCCAGCACCTCCTCCTGATGAACACAATCATTGAACACTGCAACACTTGATCTGGAGTGAGCTCGTTGCTCTCTCACCACACACCTGTCCTGTAAAAATAGGGATCTAAAATAATTCACCAAGTCAGACGCACTACCCTGTTCTCAGATCTGTGCACTTAAAGAAGAGAAGATAATTGTGATTTAAAGGGGGCATAGTGTATTAAGCTCATTAACTTGTTTGTGTTTTAGGTTTCTACTAGGACATATTAACATTTAAAAAACAAAAACATTTTCCCACTGTGCCTGAATATATTAGTTCTTATATCTGTCACTCTCTCCTCATCTTTGTCACTGGATGCTGCAGTCAGAATGTGTACCCGTGTGCAGCTGCAGGATTTACTACCTGAAAGGAAAAGCACTGCTAGGAGGCAGTAATCCTGAGAGAATAAAGATACCGCCTCTCTTTTCATCACATCTGCTGGTGAAAATGAAGCAAGCGAGGTAGCTTGTGATACAGGTGCTCAAAGTGACCCTATCCTACAGAAACAAGCCTCAGACAGAGTCTAATGCATTATACAGTGACCAGTATTATATGTGCATTAAGGGGCTGACTGATTGATCAGCATGTGTTTCTCTTCCAACGGTTTAATGCTGCATATTGCAGGTTGAAGTGAAGCAGTGACGTTTTTGCTCAATTTGAGCATGTGCAGTGATCTCTGTAATTCCCCGCTGTCATGTTTGTACACTTCTATCCCATGTCCTCACATCCCATAGACTGGGTCACGTATTTCATATAAGTTTACAACATATTAGTCTCGCTGATTTGACATAACGCCACAGTGAAATAGCAGGAAGGGAGGCAGCCAGTACCTCTGCTTTCTTTACCACACAGTCTCAGATCGATGTAACAAGTGTCAAACATCATGGCAGAAAAAGTCTGCCGAGGCAACGTGAGAAAATTAGAGCAAATAGCATGAGTAAAATGCTCTGGACTGACCTGTGTGGACTCCAGTCCTCTCGCCTGCCTCTTGGTGGCCAGTTGGTTCTTCAGGTCTCTGATCTCCGCCTCCAGCAGCTGGATGACCTCCTCGTAGTCCTGCTCCGCGCTGCTGGCCTGCCTCTGGCCTGCCTCAGCCTCTGCTGCATGCAGACGGGTCTTCAGACGGCAGTTTTCCTCCACAGTCAAACAGGCTTTCTGTAAAGAAGAACAACAACATAATAATAAACCTATTCCTCATGTGACTACGTGTGACTACATGTTGGATGCAACATACATCTCTTTGGATTGGTGAATAAATCTCCAGGCCCCCGAGGTACAGTCTCTCACCTGGGAGGTCTTCTCCAGCTCTTCCTCCAGGTTTTTCTTGCTGTGCTCCATGTCCTTCAGCATCACCTGATCACGTCAGAGACAACATAATACAGATAACAATTCCCTCTGCCCTCGTGCACGTTATCTTATTTGGTTACAATATGAAGTTTCCAGCTGAGCTCTTGTCTTAGTGCCACCGTATGCTTTTCTCTGTCTCAGTGGCTTCCTTTTTTTTTTTAAATCATTCATTTTCTTCTTGTAAAACAGAATTTGCAAGGTAAGTAAAGGAGTCCTATTTCCGCACCTGGGATTCCAGTAGACGAAAATATTCATGAACTCAAGCATAACTGCAAACCGTTACACATCCACTGTGAGACTCACACACAACTGACACTGTCACACCCCATCTGACGAGACGGACAAACACACTTTTAGTCATTCTCTGGCCAGGCTTGAATCTAGCGTGGATCATAAAGAATGCATTGCTGTTATCAGATGATTATCAGAGCTCTCCTGGTCATGAAGAACAAATGGACCTCTGCATGCACCTGGCTAAGTGCTGTAACTCCAGAGATGCTCCAACGCTCGGCACTCTTTGATGCGCTTTGAGTACAATTGTGATCTGTAACGGTGGCAGGTCACGTACACTTTGTGTGAGAGTGTTTGTTCACCTTGAGGTGCTTCACCTCCGTCTGAAACTGCTCCATCTCCTCACTGCTGTAGCTGCTTTCGGATTCATATGTCTGCACACGCACACACAAACACACACAGTTGTACAGGTTGTGCGGTTTGTTATCTTTAATACATTCCTGTGCTGGGTTGTGCGAGGTTGTGAGGACTGCTTACAGGGGAGTGGAAGGCCGACGTGTCCATCAAACTAGCTGCTTCGTGATAGGAGAACATAAAGGGACCCGCCCCTAAACCCAGCTCCTCCAGGTTCTCCTGGAAAACATTCTGGGTAGCCTCCACAAAGTCTAAGAGTTAACAAAGCACAGACAGAATGTGTGGGTTAGTGAAGGAGAGATGTCATTCTGTGGTTAGAATGACATACAAGTATATTAATATAGACTTGAAAAATTGAATCTCAATATGCGGGGACTTTGATTGAAGCAGGTGGCCTTCCCAATTTTCATGTCGGTAAATTAATCTGTATTAATTTAGAAGGAATGATATCGGCTTTGACAGATGGAAAAATAATGGATCAAAGTGAGGCAGTGTAAATGAGCAGCACTACGGTCTATGAAATACTTTATAGATAGTCCATGTGGGCTGCATTGAGATTAAACTTCAAATGCTCTTTACACCAGGGGTGTACAAACCTTCTTCAGAGATGAGATTTGATCATGTGGAGATGTCCAGGGGGAAATAGTCCCGTCTCACATCTAACCATAAATATTACATATATTTATGTAATATAGCAAATAGCCAATTTTCTTTATTTTCCAAATGTAAGCCATTAAAATCACAATTCTGACTTGCATTCATATCTGGAGAGTCAGATTAAATTGAAAAAACTATATGGAATACCTTAAACTTCCATGAAGTTGATAAATATCTTTACCTCATAATTTACAGTGCATCTGGAAAGTATTCACAGCGCTTCACTTTTTCCACATTTTGTTATGTTACAGTCTTATTCCGAAATGGATTAAATTCATTATTTTCCTCAACATTCTACACACAACAACCCATAATGACAAAGTAAAAACTGTTTTTTGCAAATCTGTTAAAAATAAAACGAAAACATAACATGTACATAAGTATTCACAGCCTTGGCTCAATACTTTGTTGAAGCACCTATGGCAGCAATTACAGCCTCAAGTCTTCTTGGGTATGATTCCACAAGCGTGGCACACCTATTTATGGGCAGTTTCTCCCATTCTTCTTTGCAGAACCTCTCAAGTTCGATCAGGTTGGATGGGGAGCGTCGCTGCACAGCCATTTTCAGATCTCTCCAGAGATGTTCAATCGGGTTCAAGTCAGGGTTCTGGCTGGGCCACTCTAGGACACACAGAGTTGTGCCGAAGCCACTCCTTTGTTATCTTGGCTGTGTGCTTCGGGTCGTTGTCCTGTTGGAAGATGAACCGTCGCCCCAGTCTGAGGTCCAGAGCGCTTTGGAGCACGTTTTCATCGAGGATGTCTCTGTACATTGCTGCATTCATCTTTCCCTCAATCCTGACTAGTCTCCCAGTTCCTCCCGCTGAAAAACATCCCCACAGCATGATGCTGCCACCACCATGCTTCACTGTAGGGATGGTATTGGCCAGGTGATGAGCAGTGCCTGGTTTCCTCCAGATATGACGCTTGGCATTCAGCTGCAGAGATTGTCCTTCTGGAAGGTTCTGCTCTCTTCATAGAACAACGCTGGAGTTCTGTCAGAGTGACCATCGGGTTCCTGGTCACCTCCCTGACCAAGGCCCTTCTCCCCCGATCGCTCAGTCTGGCTGGCCGGCCAACTCTAGGAAGAGTCCTGGTGGTTCCAAACTTCTACAGATAATTCCTTGGACTTCATGGCTTGGTTTATGCTCTGATATGCACTGTCAACTGTGATACCTTATATCGACAGGTGTGTGCCTTTCTGAATCATGTCCAATCAACTGAATTTAGCACAGGTGGACTCCAATCAAGTTGTAGAAACATCTCAAGGATGATCAGTGAAAACAGGATGCACCTGAGCTCAATTTTGAGTGTCATGGCAAAGGCTGTGAATACTTATGTACATGTTATGTTTTCGTTCTTTATTTTTAACAGATTTGCAAAAATTTGCAAAAAACAGTTTTCGCTTTGTCATTATGGGTTGTTGTGTGTAGAATGTTGAGGAAAATAATTAATTTAATCCATTTTGGAATAAGGCTGTAACATAACAAAATGGGGAAAAAGTGAAACGCTGTGAATACTTTCCGATGCACTGTACCTGATGATTTTAAACAGCAGTAATGTGTTGTCTGTTTAAAGGAAGAATTGCATATTTAAGTTGTTTTAATCATTTAACAATGCTAGCTGTCCATAAATAATACATTATAAGACCACAACTGCTAAGCCGTGATTTGGACACCCCTGCTTTACACAGTAGAAAAGACACCCACATACACATACATGAGGTCTGGAAGGAACAACAGCTGGGGAGGGATTGAAAGCCTAAAGAAATGTATTTTTGTACCTATATTGTGTTTACAATCATGTGACATTTTTGCCCGGGGAGCAATTAGGGGTTTGGTGTCTTGCTCAGGCACACGTCGACATAGGACATGGGGCAGCCGGGGCTTGAACCACCAACCTTGCAGTTCCTGGCGCAACCTCTCTAGCCCTGTGCCAGGACGACCCCCATATCTGATAATATAATTACTAAATCTTCAAATGTATGTTAAGTATTAGAATAGTAATTTGTTTGTTTGGCCAAATATCACATGATCTCCTTGCTATAGAAATGTGCATCAGACAGCAGCAGACATTGAGGTGCTTCATGGCTCCAGAATGTGACACCACACCAAAGTCATCCAAAGAGATAGTGACTGTTGGATTTGTGATTTGACAGGATTTCAACATAGATATTTCACCTTGCTGTTGAGTAAACTGGAAGTATAAGTGTATGTGTGCTTGTGTGCTTCACCTCCATAGGCCACAGTGCCTTGTGGGTCTGTGGTCAGACTCTGTCTCAACTTCTTCATCTTCTCTTCTGTGACATCCAACCCAAGGAAGGACAAAGCCTGAGTGCCAAAGACAGAGAGAAGAACAGAGATACAAATCATTTTATCTTGCTGCTGATCAGGGCAGACGCCGTCAAATACAAATCTCCCTGTAGAGTTAAAGCGGCAAAGACTCTGCAAAGACACTCTCATCATATACAGTGCCTTCAATATTCAGCCCACTTTGACTTTCACCATTTTGTACTGTTACACACTGGAATTCAAATGGACTTAAATAGACTTTTTCCCATTTGACCACCACAACATGCATAGTACAAAATACTGTTTTAACGTTTTTTACCGACTGCATCATGTTTTCTTCAAGGATTGCCCTGTATTTGGCTACAACCATCTTTCCCTCATTCTGACTAGTTACCCTGTAGCTGCTAAAGAGAAGCATCCCCACAGCATGATGCTACCACCACCATGTGTCCCTGTTGCCCCCCCCAGCAGACGAGCTGAACAAGTTCTACTGCAGATTTGATAGTCAATGTCCTGACTCCATCCCCAACAACTTAACCAACCTGCCCCACACCCCCACCTCTCCCTCCCCCAGCCCATCAGGGGCTCAGGCCTCTGCATCATCCTCCCCTCACCAGCAATGACCCTCTCTATTCTGGAGAGAGATGTTAACAGGCTCTTTAAAAGACAAAACCCTCGCAAAGAAGCCGGTCCGGACTTTGTCTCCCCCTACACTCTGAAGCATTGTGCTGATCAGCTGTCTCCGGTGTTCACAGACATCTTCAACACCTCCCTGGAGACATGCCACGTTTGTGCATTTGTGTGAGCGTGTGCAGACATATGAATCCGAATGCAGCTACAGCAGTGAGGAGATGGAGCAGTTTCAGACAGAGGTGAAGCACCTCAAGGTTAACAAACACTCTCACACAAAGTGTACATGATCTGCCACCGTTACAGATCACAGTTGTACTCAAAGCCTGCTTCAAAGCCTCCACCATCATCCTTTATCCTAGGAGGCCCAGGATCACAGGACTTAATGACTACAGGCCCGTCGCCCTGACCTCTGTAGTCATGAAATCTTTTAAACAGTTAGTCCTGTTCCACCTGAAAACCCTCACTGACTCACTCCTGGACGCCCTGCAGTTCAGATCCTCGTTTCCTCCCTTCAGGAACCTGGTGTCAAAGGCTCTGCTCTCTCCCTTCTCTCGTCCTACCTTGACAGCCGCACCTACCGGGTAACCTGGCGAGGATCTGTGTCGGAACCATGTCCTCTTACTACTGGAGTTCCTCAGGGCTCCATCCTTGGTCCCCTCCTATTCGCGCTCTACACCAACTCTCTCGGCGCTGTCATTCGCTTGCATGGCTTCTCCTACCACAGCTATGCCAATGACACCCAACTAATTCTCTTCTTCCCTCATTCGGTCACTGACAGATCTCTGCCTGTCAGACTGACATCTTTCAGTGGATGTCCGCTCACCATCTGAAAATCAACCCCAACAAGACTGAACTACTTCTCTTTCTGGGAAAAGATTCTCCTACCCAGGACTTGATGGTTCATTTTGGCAACTCCGTGTTAACGCCCATTTTGAATGCTCTGTAGCTCATCCAGAATGCAGCAGCTCCACTGGTCTTTAACCTAACCCGAAATTTCTCACACTACTCGACTCCTCCGTTCTCTTCACTGGCTACCGGTGGCTGCCCGCATCCAGTTCTAAACATTGGTGCTCACGTACCATGCTGTGAATGGATGGGGTCCAGCTTACATCCAGGACATGGTCAAACCCGACATCCCGACCCGCACTCTCCGCTCTGCATCTGATAAACTGCTTGTTCCTCCTCACTGAGAGCAAAACACTCGACTAGATCACAACAGCACTTATCTATAGCAAATTGTAAATTGGCTTATTTGAGGAAATTGGACTTTCTTGTTTCTTGCTCTTCTGAGTTTGTATCCTTATGGGTGAATGCACTTATTGTAAGTAGCGTTGGATAAAACGTCAGCTAAATGACAAGTAATTTAATGTGATGTAATATCATTTGGAGTACATATAGCAAGTACTGCCCAGAACATAATGAAATGTTGATATGGACATCTATTGTCTCCAGAGTATGATTTATTTTGTGACCCCATGGCCTTTGCTTTTGTAGTACCTTCAGTACAAACCTTTTAATGTGTTATGACAATTAAGAAAACGCTGCGAGTAAATTTACTGAAATTGTTTCTGCTCCCCCAGATGATGAATTATTAGAATTTTCAAGGAACCACAGCTAGGATCAACAATTAAGTTTCAATGCCAAGCTTCCCCCCTTTTTGCTTTAAAAAATGGCTTGACATACAGAGTAGTATGAGAAAGGAATAGGTTAACTGCCACAGTCCATCTGCATGTCTCCATTGTTCTGATTGTTGTCCACCCCCACCTGCTTGCTGCCCATCTCCAGAACAGAGAAACCCATGAAAAAGTCTGTGACCAGATTATACTGGACCAGAAGAATCGTATGAGAGTAAGGTTGCAAATCCACTAATGTGCCCCACGGCAGAGGAACCAGAGTCCGCTCACTTCACTGCCTATACCTTTACCAAGAACTATTTGAGAGGATTGATTTATCCTGGTCATCAGTCACAATGCCACACCTTTAAATCGTACCATTACGTAGAGCCCAGTGACATGAGAAGTATTCAGAGCAGCTTTAACGGCTGAAATCATGATGTACCAGTAAGTTTCCTGGTTCTCTAGTAAGTACAGTAAGTAAATATTACCTCACTCAGTGAGGTACCTCAGTCCTGAAATTAAAATCTAAAATAAAAACTTAATTTCTCTGCAAACAACATTTCCCCATATTTAACAACAGGATAAAATGTTTTTTTTATCTGATGAAGTTCACATGATTAGGGTGCTGGGTTTCATTCCACACATTCACAGTCATCAGAGTACCTTACTCTGATGACTAGCACTGATGGGACTCACCCAGGGTCGCTTTGGATGAAATAAAATGCTGTAAATGTATTGTAAATGTAAAGTAAGGATCACTAATTAGCACTACCAAGTTTTCCGTTAGCTTCGACGTAATTTTCTTTCCAATGACAGGCGATGTACCGGCCCTGCCTTGGCAATCAATCGGTCGATTCCGATCGACCTATTGGGCACCACAACTTGACAAATTGGGGCCTCTCTTCTTGGCCAAACACAGTAGTTCTCTTTTTCTCTTTATCTCTCTCTCTCTCTCTCTCCGCGTGGTCTCTTTCTCTCTCCGCGTGGTGGGGGTGCAGTACGAACATAGTGCACAGAGCCTGGTTGCTCCCTATTCAAACTCATCTATGGCAGCTATCCCTAGGGAGTGCAGCAAAAGAGTGCTCAACAAACCACCGGAAAAGGTGGCTGGTCCCAACGAGTTGGTGAAAGTTGGCGAGTCCCCTGAAGAAGCTTAGCTAAATTGGTTTCCACAATTTAAGGATTATACCTAGACGAAGTTAAACTTGATTTTGATGCGTCATCCTATAAACGGATGCTTCCAAATCCAGTCCTGCAGTAATCGTATAACTAATTGGTAATGGATGAGCACCCAATCCCCTAAGAGTGGTGACCTACTAGATCAGGGGTGCCCAATAGGTCAATCATCAAGGTAGTGTCAGTAGATCGCCTGCCATTGGAAAAAAAATAGAAAACAGAAAGAAAGAAAGAACTTGGTATTGCTAATTAGCAAACCATGCTTACTAACCGACAAATTTATTTTAATTCAAAAGCAACTCATCTGAGTAAGGTATTGACCAATGGGATGGTTGTGATGGTTCCCTCGCTTCTGACAGATGAGAGCCATGTTGAGGGAACGGTGCCAGGTGGAGGTGTAATTGGCCTCAGCTGCATTCAATTGCTCGAATTGTTTGTCTCCCTGTCTATATAAGATCCGGCGGAGGGAAAGGACAAGTGAGATGAGGAGTCTTAGATTTAAGTTACCAATAATCAGCCATCATAGTCCTCAATATAGCGGTTTAATATAGGTTTATCAGGTCAACACAGCTTCATCAGCCTCCAGATAAACTAATATGTACGTCCAGATAGAAAGAAATAGGTAAAAGAAAAAATTGTCAAATACTCAGCATCTCATTTTGTTAAGTGGATTAGTTATCCAATGAAAGCAGATGTACTATTCTTAGTTGTAAGTATTATATTCCATTCTTTTTACAGTACATTAGGATTTTTATATATGATTGATGATGAGTATAATACTATAGTGACTGGGAGATCTTCCTCCAGATAAAATAATGTCTGGGACAGGCTGATCAGTACAAATAGTGTTAATCCTTGTATTACCTCTGTAAGAACTGGAGGACTCGAATCAAACCAAAGTGACCCACTTGTGTATGAATACCTGGTGTGCATCAGTGACAAAGGGACAGGTGGATGAGCAGAGAAGGCAAAGAAAGTTCAGACAAGGAGTATATTCCTCACAGTCTGAATGAACCTGTTCATCACACGTCAGCAGAAAAATAAGGACTCACCACCTCCAACTTGTCTGATTTGAGGCGTATGTAGGGGTCCAACGTTATCTTAGGCTTGGCACCTGTTGGCGACCTCTGGTTGGTTGAACCTGAAGGGAGAAGAATAGGGAGGAGTAAAATGGAGAGGAACAAGATTTTTATTATTTATTTATTTTCTCAAAACAAAGCGGAAAGCATCAACCAAGATTTAGAAGTTGCACATAATACAGTATCTGCATGAGAAATACATGCAGGCTTTTATCAGTGTAGAGAGGAAGTGTATGAGGCCACCGAACACTTGGTAAACAACATGAGGAGAAATATCATTGCATAATCTGTAACATCAGAGTGGATGGACAGATATTCTGGGTGGATTTGATGGAAGTGGGTGGTTGTGTTGATATGGGAGGTGTGTATGTGTGTGTGATTGTGTTAGGGTGGGGGGGAAGCAGATGATTAAAAAGAGAGTAGTGGAGGAAAGGTGGATGATTATACATATTGGAGAGGGGACGGCAGACAGCCAGTTCCTAATATTAATTTGATGAGTTTGTCTGCCCCAGATTTGCTCCGCCAACGGGAGCCTCTCCTAGTGTGATGTCCGTGTCTGCACATCCCCTGCTGCTAGGGCTGTGCATGCTTTTCACCGAATATCCTTGTCCCACCCAAAGGATTTGCACCACCCTTGACCCCAGACTGGTCGTGATGATTGACAGATTTGCTGTTGTAGCAACCATGCTTTAAGCCCTGGATATCTAGATACGTACGTATACCAATCAGAGGATTGGCGGTTCGATCCCAGTACCGGCTAACCCGCGTATCGATGTGTCCTTGGGCAAGACACTTCACCCCAACATTGCTCCTGTAGCTGTGACTACAGTGTGTGAATGTTAGTTACTGATGGGCAGGTGTGTCTGTGTATGATAGCTCCTATCATCACTGTATGAATGGGAGAATGATGACATGAAGTGTAAAAGTGCTTTGAGTGGTTGCGAGACTACAAAAGTGCTATACAAGTACAGTCCTTCTTCTATAAATTAACAATGTGTATGTCATTCTAGTACCAAAAAAACTGAATTAGCCAGATCTAAAGTAGGGAGACAAAATAGGTAGGCTATAGTTTTTTATATTCTGAAATAGCCATCACTGTGGTGTTTTTTTTTGTCCTAATCCCTGAGGACAAGTGGACAGCCTAAAAATGTACTTGTATTTGTAGTCTTCCAACCACTCAAAGCGCTTTAAAACTCAACCCACAAATTAATTAACATTTATACTCTGTGTATGACCCAGTGGTATCAGTGGGGCGAGGAGGCTGAAGTTAAAGCACTGATGCCTACCAGCCAATCACCTCACCACAGACTGCTGACATCTTTCATGGCTAGTAACTAGCTTCACTAACAGGAGCCATGCTCAGCGGTCACGGTCCCTCAGGAATAACCTTGAGTGGGGTAATCCAGGCCAATAGGATTGGGCCAGGCTGTCAAGTGGCTTTATGCTGGGACCCGAACCCTCGAGCTGCTGGTCAGATCTTTCATTCTATGATCAAGCACTCGCTCTTCCAATAGAAACTGGCCTTTTCTTCTGGTTCTTCAGCAAAAACATGTCCCATGTGTGCCAGTTGGACAAGTAAAACCCTCTTACACTTTGTATTAAATGTATTTTATCTCAACAAACCTTAATTTAGATGATGGTATTATTAGATTAAGTGATTACAGGAGGAAGGATGTATGTCCATAACAACCATTCTACAGGCTGCTATTGGAACAGCACAGACTCACAATCTTATAAACCAGTTGTTTTCAACTGGTGGGTCCGTTTTCAGTGGGCTGGGGGCTCGGGTTGCGGGTCGGTGCTTTCACAATTCATTTCCAGTCTGGACGGAGGGGCTTGTCTAATCTGACTGCGGCGCCGCACGAGGAGTGGGCCACCTGCACGAGCTTTGGGAGGGAGGCGAGAGGGGCTCATGGCAGCACGCGCTGCTCGTTGACAAAGTGAGAACGATGCACACCCACTCGTCGGAAAACGATGGTGCCGCATCCCTCCTTCCCTCCATTGGTCATCAGTGAGCTGCGTGGGCTTGAGATTTTCATTTGTGTTTCAAACAGCAGGTGCATACAGACTCACTGGGGATAAGAGAAAGGATGGAACAATAGTGACCTTCACCCTATATTATCAAGAGGGTACTTTTTCATGATCCCTCAAATCCTTGTGTGATTGGAGGTCCCCTGCTGTGCTATAGTTTCTATTAAATCTCTTCTTCTCCTCCATGTAATCCACAATCTCTGTGAGTGAGTACATGTTGCCCGTTTCTCATTCTCAGGTCACATTGTTCTATCTAATAGGTTTCATATTTCAGGGATTTCCAGAACATTTAATAGTCCTTGAAAGGATATTTTAAAGCACAGCTGTTTTTTTAAACACTATAATACAAATAAAGAAGAGCGAGACCGTGTTGGGAATGTGACGGGTCTTAAGGTCATGGTTGAAACCAGGGCCAGTGATCATCTGGGCACGGCCTGACAGCCTTACGGCCGCTAATAAGCCCGCCCCCTTTATACGTCCAGCGTTCAGACAGGCCAATCACAATGTGTTCCACATCATTTACAACGGGTCATTTATGGGAATGTTGCTCTCCTCTTTTTATCCCAAGCGGTGTTTTCTTTTGACCTGACTCACATGTAACAAAAATAAAATAACATTAAAGGCGTTTAATGTTATTGCAGCTGAGAGATCCCATTATGTACGGCCGAGGGGAGGACAGGCGCTCCAGGGGACAGAAGGACAGCGGGACATTCAGCAGTTTTTCCTGTCTGTGTCTCTCAGCCCCGAGCCAAACAGTTCCTTCTGAATAAATGTGCATCTTTAAAAACACGGAAAAACATACAGCTGACCACTGTGGTTTTTTATCAGACATCGAGAGGAAATAGTGCTTTTTGGGGGATTATTTCCAGTGGTGGATTAATCTGCTTTTGGTGCACTGCTGAGTATTTGTGACAGCAGTTGTATTTGGGATTGGGTAGAAAATGTAATTAAGGGTCTGTGTTGGTATGAGTGATTTTTAATGGAGCACAATAGCACAGATGATTAAGACATATACCAGGCTTGTGCTTGTAAAGTAGTTAGTATACGACTACACAAGTCAAAACTTGTATAATACTGCATCAGTTGTGTGGCGATTTGTTAACTGATGTTTTAATATAGTTTGTCTGTTGGTAATGCGGTACTCCTTTACTTGTATGCATCGGTTGTAGGTCTGGGTACAACAGTACAACAGTGTCTGGGCCCGGAAGCAGCTCGCCTGTTAGTGATCCTTGTTATACATAAGAAAACAAAGGAAAGTGAGTTTTACCTGAAATATGAATATCTGGTGAGGAGATGTCAGGAGAAGGTGAGGACACTACTACTGGCTCCTCTGTACAGATCTACAAAGATAAACATTGAAACAGTGCTGACAAAAAGATGACTTCATGGAAACTGATATTGTCTAAAGCTCTAAAAATGGTTTGGTAGGACAGGACATCCCAAAGGATGGAGGTCAGCCTGGAGGCTGGAGTGTGCCACAGAACAACTTTAATAACCTCATGTATGGATTAATGAAATTGTGGTCATAAACTTAAAGTGCAATTATATTATAATGTATGTCCTTTAAATTGTTAATTATAAATGCACATTTCAAAATACTATTTTAAGATTAAGAGCCATTTGAAAATTGGCTTTCAAAGTGATAGAATTATTTCAATATGTAAGTAACATTAATTTTTTACATTGAGTTTGTTAAAGCATTTTAATGCATGTGTCATTGTATTATGTTACTTAAAGTAGATCAATATATTGAAAGATAATCATAACTATTTATATTTCATTATTTCAAAAGCACACAGTTCCACAAAAAAACGGGCTAAAGCCATCCTTTCTCAAAACAGCATAATCAACAGAAAATATGTCATTCCACTGTGGATCAGCTGATATGGGAGACAAGATGTGTTTGGCATTTTTGGTTCGCAGTGAACATTTTGCTGAGGTGGTTTATAATTTGTTCTGTTACTAGTACATAACTGCCCAGCAGTTGTTTACCTTCGCAAACAAGACAGTTTCAATCCATTATCAATTCAAATCCATGTTCGTCCAAAATACCATTACTTCATCATTTGATCTAATTAGACATTTGTGTGTAACCCTAACCCTAATTAGCATATGAACTGTGGAGTTATGCAAAATATGACCCCTGCTCTTTGTTCACTAAATACAAATCAGTTAATCATAAAATCGATTTCAATCATTTCCCAAATATTGCTTTCACAGACAACCTGAAACAATGTGAGAAACCATGACATGTTTGGGTTTGTTTCTGTGTGCAGCTGACCTCAGGTGATCGGATGTGGGCTTTTAGGCGTCCAGAGTTGTAGCTGCTGCCTGCGGCTCGTTGGACCCCGTTGTGGAGCGATGTGCTGCTTGGAAAAAGTCCTTTCCCTGGAATGAAGGCTATTTCCACAGCACCGTCCTGGCTGGACACCCAATCCATAAAAATACAAAGACACAGTGACGTACATAAACACAGAGGAAAGAGGCACGTCCGTGGCAGTGTGCAGAGCGGACTAATCCCTACTGAGGTCTCACATGAAACACTCACCTGAATTTGACTTTGTTCAGCATGCTTTTGGCCTCTTCGTGGGTCACACCTATCAAGGACTCCTTGTTCACAGCGATGAGCTGATCTCCAGGCCTCAAACGTCCATCCTGCTCAGAGAAAAGACAGAGACAGAGCCTTCACTTATGCTAAGCCAAGCACCACACAGCAAACCAACTTTCCTTTGCTGCCTCATTCAGTTAATATTGCTAAATCTCCTTTGTCCTCTGCCCAAGGCCTCTGACTTGAGAGTTCGGGCCAATGATCAATGCATTGCATACCTGTGTATCTAATCTAGCTAGTTATTAACACAGGTTCTGCTTTCAACAGGTTCTGTTCGCAAACAAATTTAGATTCAATTTGGTCACCTAAAAGGAATGCGGTAGAGATCGAGACTTCAAAAATTGGTCTTGACACTGGTCTTGATACCAAGAACTATCTTCAACTAGACACTTGGGAGAGTCCGGAAATAAGACTTAAAGACAGTTCAACCTGTAGCTCAGATTGTGGGACATGGACCAGAAACATAAAGGTTTATAACCTTTATAACATACTACATTTAAGTGTTATTCATATGCGTGTTACTGTGATTGAGTTTGACACCACTGCCATACAGTTAGGGTTAGGCTTGAAGGAGCTAACGTTAGCAGCAGCCAGGCCGTCCCGCATGGGGTGGGATGTGTTCTCTGTCAGCGACAACACCTCATGAACCACTCTCTGTGATCACTGTCCCTCGCTGGCTTCTAAAATAAAAAAGACAATTGCTCTTTTCTACTTTGCCCCGTTTTGTGCAAATACAAAGAATTGTTGCTGTAGCATCTCTTTCGATAGTATCATTTAAAACTATTTATACTACTTTAGAACATTTCCCTGTTAAATGATTTCTATGGACAGAAAATGTCTCCATGACCACAACTTGGCTTTAATGATTTCAGTTTAGGGTCAGCATATGTTGTTAGTGGACACTAGATATGAATGAGTCATTGCTGGTGAAGCATACATTTTGCTTAACAGCTGAGGACGACAGATAATGAAAGACCAACTTCATTGCTTTGACAGAATTTGCACTATGCTCCATGATTACTCTCGCTCCTATCTGATGTTTGATGCATAATAGAGCCATGGCTAAGTGAACATAAGCTGTCGAGTGCAGATGACTGTGTGAACTGACTGTGTGAGTGTTGCCTACATTCCCTTGGAGACTTTGGCCGGACTGCAGGGCTCATAAATCATGTTTAACAGCATCTTCTCCACAGGACAAATGGAACATTTACCTTTTTTATTCCCAAGCTTCCACCAATGCACTTCTGGGAAAGATCATTTAACCCCCTGGCTAGTAGTAAGCACAGCTTATCTTGGGATATAAAACTAAATGTGTAATGATCCAGCTATGAATGTTGATATTCTTGATTATTTTTTTATTGTTTTTATTATTCTTGATTATGTGTTTTGTCAACACATCCAATGAAAACTTAACCCTGCTAAAATGTATTGTGTGTGGACAGCTAAATGAGCCAGATGGTCTCAACATACCCTGCTAGTGTCAAACCTAAAACACCAAATGTGGATCAATCCAAAGGTGAAACGAGGTGTTCTATTTACTGTTGTTGAGTATGGGTTGATAAAAACTACAATGACCAGTTTTCGAAAACTTCTGAACCAATTGAACCAATACACTGTATTTGTGAGTATATTTCTGAAGATGAATGTCTTCAGTGATATTGAGTGCCACAAACGAAGATAGGGACCACCGGTTCTGCTGCTGCTACTGGAGCATGCCCAGATCTAGCAGAAAGCCAGACCAAATCCTCTGCATTGTAATTGTGTGTGTGTGTGTGTGTGTGTGTGTGTGTGTGTGTGTGAGAGAGAGAGAGATCGGGGAGAAGGTGATGCCCTCAGCAGAGTCCTGCTTGATGGCTGAACTTCTCACTTGGTGTAGTGTGTCTGTTCAGGGACACCGTGACTCCCCTGACAGAGCAGCAATGACACCGAAACAACATGTCCGCCAAGAAACACTCAGCATGGATTCCTAAATATTCAATCAGAGTTAATTTCCTGCAGGCAGCCTTGGTGACACAACAGATCACGGTTTAACCCATCTGCTTGTCTCAACTTTTGATCTGCTGCTTTTTTTTGTTGAGATTTCACAATTTTAAACATTGCCGTGTATTCATTTGTACATTTGTCATTCAATGTATGTTTTGATAAACAAAAATGGCACATACGATGATGAACATTTAATGACAATTAAAATAAAAGGTGTAAGTAAATATCCTGCACTGACAAGCTCCCACTTGCCTGTGATTTACTAATGATCGCTGCATCATGGGAAATTCAAAGCAGCACAATGACAATACCCCTGTTACGGCCTCTTTTCCTCAGTTACTTTGTTATGATTCACTGAGTTCACTTGGTTACACACTTTGCTAAATTACAGCAAAACCAATAACACATAGAATCAGTTCAAATCTGAGAAGGCAGTGTGATAAAAGTACGTCTTGAGCTGAGTCAGCCTGCCTTATTTCCTCAGGCGTGTTGCTGAGCCTCGGGGTCTAATCCCCAAAGCTCTGTCCGAATTAGTCTGCTGTCAAAAAAATGGAATGGATCAAATAGAGGTACATGATAAAAGAACAGACATATTGAGGAGTAAGACCATTAAGTTTAGTACATTAAGTATATATTGAAAAACTCAACCTTCTAATTGCATCAAACTAAATTATTGTCTCTGTTCTCTGCATTTGACTCAATCGATCATTACGTTCTATTAGAGGACATTTGTTAGCTATTGAAGGCACCGCTAAGCTGGTTTAAGTCCTATTTATCAGATCGATCCCAGTTTGCATTTGTAAACTATCAACACCAACGTTATTTCACGGAGATCCACAAGATTCTGTGTAAACGGCATAAACTTTACTTGTTATGCAGACAAAACTCAATTATATGTATTGATTAAACCAGACGAGACCAGCCAGCTCTTGAGAATTTAAGAATATCTTAAGGACATCAAAACCTAAATGACCAGCAACTTGATGATGTTAAACCCAGAGCGCCTTCGAGGTGAATCTCTAGTGACTTAGTTTCTCCAGATGGAATTGCTCTGGTATTCAGCAGCAACCTAAAGAATCTTGGAGTTAACTCCGATCAGGGTGTGTCTATTAACTCTCAGATAAAACAAATCTCAAGGTCTTTTTTCACCAGCATAATATAGTCTTGAAGTGATAAAGAAATATCTGTTTATGCATTTGTTACTTCTACTCTAGATTACCTGTAATTCTTTATTATCAGGCTGCTCTAATAAATCTCTTAAACTACTTAATTTCATTCAGAATGCTGCAGCATGTGAATTAACAAGAACTAAGAAAAGGGATCATATTACTCCTGTTTTAACGTCTCTGCACTGGCTCCCTGTTAAATAACAAATATAATTTCAGGTACTTTTCCTCACCTACAAGGCACTTGATGGTGAGGCACCATCTTATCTTAAGGAGCTTATAATACCATATTGTCCTACTACGAGTGCTGCGCTCCATAAATGCTTTGTTACTTGCTCCTAGAGTCTTAAAACGTAGGATGGAAGCCAGAGCCTTCAGTTGTCAAGCTCCTCTTCTATGGAAGCAGCTTCCACTTTCAGTCCAGGAGGCAGACACGTTCAGCTCATAAGATAAAGCTTAAAACTTTCCTCTTTGACACGGCTTTAGAACGAGTCGTGGTTGTCACATATCTTTTTCTATTTTGGACCCCATTACTATTTCTATCATTATTATTACTCTACTATAGCCAAATTCTGCTATTATTATTATTCTGCCTAGTACTCTCATTATTTGTGTTGTTCGTTTATGTCGTTCTCCCTGTACAAAGAGATCTATTGCACTTCTGTCCATCAATGGATTATCAGGGTTTCTTCCTGTGTTGATGTTGGTTTTGGGACAGAGCATATCGCATGTGTACATGCCCTGATTGAAGAGCCCTCTGAGAAACTTTAGTAAATTGTGATTTTAGATTATACAAAATTAATTCTAGTCAAAAATGTACTGGACGCCAGTAATGGTAAATGATAAATTGACAAGAAATTGTAGAGCACCTTTCTCGGGCAGCAAGATTAAAAAGTGATGCGTTTAAACAACAACCTTAAATCCACAAATAGAACTAGATCTCAAAATTAATAAATTATTTCTTTGTTTACACCATAAAAAAGCTCCCTGATATGGGTAACAAAACTTTACTTTTCGTTCAGCATCTGGAATTTAATGGTTTAATTTTACTAGGTTGCAGCTTCATTTCTTACCCGGTGACAGTCTCCTCCAGACAGCACCTCCAGAATGAAGACAGCCGGCCCGTCGGGCCTGTTGGAGCCTCCTCCGATGGTGATGCCCAAACTGCCGGATCGCGCAACTGAAATGAGCTGGATCACTCCTTCACCTGGATGACTGAGGACAGAATGAGGAAAGTCAGCTTTTGGCCATCCATAAAGCAAACACAAATGTTCTTTGAGACGGTTAAAGTGGGTGGGAGGGTCATTGTTATAGTTTTTTTTTTTTGTATGACGATTTAACATGAACAAAATAAACATTCCGTAGCAGATTAAATTCTCAAAGTTCCACAAACTAGTTGTGCGTGTTAACTTTACATAACACTGTCATATGTTACAAGTTTTTGACACTGACATGAGTTCAACGGTGTCATCAATAATCACCTTGACCTTAACTACATTGGAACCATTTCAACTATTCATGAAGATAAATGTTAAAAGGCAAATTCGACAAGAGGGAACACAGTACCTTAGTGTTTTACTGCGCGAGCACAGCTCGATTTGTGGCTAAAGTAAGCGCTAACTGCTGCTAACTGTAGCTGCCGTTAGCCAGCTATCACAGTAAATTGTATTATTGACTGACTGAGCCTTGGATGCCAGGAAAACATACTCCATTTAGTACCGACCCTCTATAGGTTTATTTGGGAGCTAAAAGTATACATTTTATATGAAGCAAATCTGTTGTCAGAATGAGGCTTTCCACCATAAAACCATTTTTGGGATGGAACCACGTTACTGACAAGTGACCCTTGACCCCCACCAGTCAGGTTTCAAGGCAGGCCACTCCACAGAGACTGCTCTCCTTGCTGTCTCAGAGCAACTCCACACTGCTAGAGCCGCCTCTCTCTCCTCTGTCCTCAATCTTCTGGACCTCTCTGCTGCATTTGACACGGTCAACCACCAGATCCTTATTTCCTCCCTTCAGGAACTTGGTGTCACAGGCTCTGCTCTCTCCCTTCTCTCGTCCTACCTCGACGGCCGCACCTACCGGGTAACCTGGCGAGGATCTGTGTCGGAACCTTGTCCTCTTACTACTGGAGCTCCTCAGGGTTCCGTGCTGGGTCCCCTCCTGTTTTCGCTTTACACTCACTCTCTTGGCGCTGTCATTCGCTCGCATGGCTTCTCTTACCACAGCTATGCCGATGACACCCAACTAATTCTCTCCTTCCCTCACTTGGACACCCAGGTGGCGGCTCGGATCTCTGCCTGTCTAACTGACATCTCCCAGTGGATGTCCGCCCACCATCTGAAAATCAACCCCGACAAGACTGAACTACTTCTCTTTCCCGGAAAAGATTCGCTTACCCAGGACCTGACAGTCAACTTTGGGAACTCCGTACTAACGCCCACTTTGACCGCTAAGAACCTCGGCGTCACACTCGACAGCCAACTCTCCCTGACTCCCAACATCACCGCGACAACGCGATCTTGTAGATACACGCTCTACAACATCAGGAGAATACGTCCCCTTCTCACTCAGAAGGCAGCGCAGGTACTGATTCAGGCTCTTCATCTCTCGCCTGGACTACTGCAACTCCCTCCTGGCTGGTCTCCCTGCCACCGCCATGAAATTCTCCCACACTACTCCACTCCTCCGCTCTCTTCACTGGCTACCGGTGGCCGCCCGCATCCAGTTCAAAACATTGGTGCTCACGTACCATGCTGTGAATGGATCGGGTCCAGCTTACATCCAGGACATGGTCAAACCCTACATCCCAACCCGCACTCTCCGCTCTGCATCTGCAAAACTGCTCGTCCCTCCCTCACTGAGAGCAAAACACTCGACTAGATCTCGACTCTTTGCTGTCCTTGCGCCGAAATGGTGGAACGAACTCTCTGAAGACACCAGGACCGCAGAGAGCCTTCACATCTTCCGCCGCAAACTAAAGACACACCTCTTCAGACTCTACCTCGACTAAAGACTAACAAATTGTAGCACTTAAATTGTACTTGTAACGTCACTCATCTATAGCAAATTGTAAATTGGCTTATTTGAGGAAATTGCACTTTCTTGTTTCTTGTTCTCCTGAGTTTGTACCCTATGGTTGAATGCACTTATTGTACGTCGCTTTGGATAAAAGCGTCCGCTAAATGACATGTAATGTAATGTAATGTAAAGTCAAGCCCATTGAAACCCAGGAGTTTTTCCCAATATGGTGTAGTACTTTTACTAACAGATTGAAAGAATAAAATATGGAACAGTACAAAAAAAAGCTAATTTTTTCATGGCAGTCTCATGCAGGCTCCTTAAAACAGTGTTTGTGTGATCTTCGACTGCCCACATGCGTGCACTAGTAAAAACACACATGAAAACACATCTACACAATAGGTTGGAAATCTGGGTTTAATTGTTAGTATTTGCTAGCCACATCTTTTGAACTTGGAGGCTTTACAACAGGAGAACCGTGTCGTAGTTGATGTAAATTCTGTACAAAGGAATCGTACCTGAGGGAGCGCAGCATTGGCCCACTGTTGTTGTACATGTTCTGAGAGCCTGCTGGACTCAACAACAAAGGACTCTGGGAGCGCGATGAGGAACCAGATGATGTACTCTCCAGGTAGCGGCCTCCTTTGGAATCTCAAGAAAGAACGGAAACGGACAACGGACACACTTTGGACTGTGCTGTTCAAGGAGGAGAAATCGTCAAGTGTCAAAATTAGGACTGTCAATAGATTTAACTAATTAATTGCACATATTGAAATTTCTTAATTGCGATTAATGAATGTTGTTGTTGTTACAATGTTGTTGTTAATGAAGGTTTGTTTTTCTTCTAAAGACTAAATCTCAGTAATGAGTAACCTCTTTAAAACGAGTGTATTTTAGACACTGTTGTTTAGTTGTTAATGTTATCTTAAACACAAAACTGCACACATTTGATCATCTTGGAGGCAGAATTCCCCTGGCGACTTAGCGACTCTTCCTGCTGTCCTCTTACACTTTGCACTCAACTCTTCATAATATAACGCCTGTATATTTGAAGTTCTAACAATGTCCCCACATTTAGCCAGAACTTTTTCAAACCACAGTCTTTTAGGGACACAGTGGTGGTCCTCTGCAGACTGTGTGCCGCGCAGGGTAACGTTAGATGTTGAGAAGTAGCATAGCAGCTAGCTTAGCATAGTATTGCTTTAAGGGGTCCGTTTGTCAGTCACCCCCCTTCTGTTTGACACGGGGAGTAATTCCTCTGCACAGTTCTCTGCTGTATGTCGTGCCTGTGTTTGTTTTACTTCCAATGCAAAAAGCTTTCTCCATCTTGATGTAACTGACTGCCGTTAGCGGCCGTTTCGTTTCCGTCAATTTCAATAAAGCCGACAATAAACAAATGTACGTTAAAATATTTGGTTGCATTAATCTCGGCCACATTAATTGCATAGATGAATGCGTTTATGTTGAAAGCCATAATTTATTGTTATATTAATTGGAAAAATAATCTGTCCAATAAATGTTAGATTAAATACATTTGTGAATAATTCAGTGTATATTTGATAATATTCTGTTCCAACCAGAATATTATCCAATAGATGTGTACGCTGATCCCCTGCACACTGCCAACAAACCTACTCACATGTTTTAAAAAATGTGTACGGCTGCCTCCTCCCTACTGAAACAGATGTTTGCCATTTTGTAATGGGCATGTGCACATGTCAAAGGCAGACCTACTCCATCTACCTTCAGGCAAAGTTCCCTGTTAATTTTTATTTTACGTAGATTTGAATGATGTTTTTGACATCAACCAGGAATGATGAAAAAGGAAATCTAATTTGAACCAATTCTAATGTGAGCAGAGAATATATGCCCACATTAAATCACAGTTACTGCTTTAGGTAAAACACTGAATTTGTAGTGTATCATACAAAGGACTAAGCTGGGATTTGCCTACCTTGCTGTATGGGAGAGTTGCGTGTTGATCCTGTGCTACTATTAGATCCATACTTCTCCAGCAACTCAGCAAATTCTCTCCTTTAAAGGGAAACCCCAAGAGAACCATTAATGGACTTTATCAGAAAAATGTAAGTTGTATTGACCAAAACATACTTGAACCAGAACTACGCTTGAGGTAATGCCTACATAAAAAATATACTAGTTAGAGAGGATAAAAACATTTAGTCCAATAAACAAAGTGACATGTACACAGGACTTGGATGTATCATTGAGCAACCTTCTACCTCCTCTCATGTTGGACAGTTACTTCTGTCTCTACCTGCTGGCGCATTACAATTCTCCACTAGAACAGATGGACGGGCATATATATATATATATATATATATATATACATATATATATACACACACACACACACGAGCACACTCACACCAGCAGACAGAAACAGTGTCTTGGAAAATGTGTCCATTCGTCCACCCCCCCTCACCTCCAGATGGGACAGTTTGAGTCAAGGAAAATATCTTATTTAGGAGAGAAATTATGATGCAAAGACAATAAATGGATATGTTCTTAGCAAAAATATTTGTTGTTTAACATTATCCACAGCACACAATTGTAACATCTGTCACTCTTAAAGTCCCTGTTCTGTGTTCACACTGGTTTCTGTTGCTCTGTCCACATCAGCCATCTGTCTCATGAGCTCTTACCAAAACAGTCAACAGGACACCTAGAAATATATGTAATCTTGTGTCTGGTAAACGTCTCTGTGGGACATCCCTTTTGCTAACGATAAGGCTTTTCACGAGGGGATGATAAAATTAAATAAAGCTATTGCTAACTTAGCTCCGACTTGTTAGGGTTGAGAGATACAAACTGCATAATCCCCAGACCCCCCCCTCCCCCCAACCCCTCGCTTCTCTATTCCCTCTCCTCCCTCCAGCTCCGTCCTCTGCTCTGGGAGGATAGTTAAAGCACAGAGCTGGTATTAACTCATCTCGTCAGGAGCAAAGCCCTGGGTCTCTCCCCCACTTGGTCTGCTGTCATTCCACCACAAAAACAGCGCAGGGGCTAATCGCTTTGAAATGACACAGCATAAAACATTCATATTCTGACTTTTATGAATCTTAGGATGCCACTTGTCAGCACTGCCATTTATGCAATATGTATATTCATATTAGGATCTGCACAATAAATCCAAGGCTGTCAAGGTCTCAGTTTCTGAACGTATCCACTGCCGAGGTACAAGTACACTACTCTTCATGTCTTATATAGTATGTATTGTATACTGTACAAGTTTTGGAGACAATACATGTGTCATTTGATGCATGCTTTTTATCAATAATCTCTATCTATCAGGTACACCTGTTGTGATAGTGGTCCAGTAAAAGTGAGGCTTTATTAATATCTAGAGAAACTGAATATCCAGATGAAAGTAGGAATTGCAGTACTGTCGACTAGAAAGGAAACCATTCAACCTCTGATTTTGTCACAGTGTTTTTTTTGGTAGTTTCCTGCCTCTTGCGCCCCTGGTTTAGCACATTCAGTATTGTAGGCTGAAATGAATAATCACCTCATGATGGAGAACCAGAGTGCCGTCATATCAAAGCTGTTTCTTACACATGGAGCTTAATCATGCTTACTTTGCTTCCTCGTCTCTGGCTATGAGAAGTCGCATGAGATTAGTTGCCGAGGCTCCTCTCAGGATGTCCACAGCTCTGAAAAACAAACAGTTAATTAGCGTTGCAGAATCATTTCAGTCCTTTATGTGGTTAAATGAATGAGCAGAGCAGTAATGTCTTGGTGGACTACCTTTCACTCGTGACTCCCACTAGGCTGTCCCCGTTCACCTCCAGGATCTGGTCCCCCGGCAACAGGTTTCCTGTCACAGGTGAGATAAAGGTCAGGTGGTCTTTAGTGTTTTAACACAGTGCAATTATCAGCTACAGGAAGCTAAATTAACGTCTCATTTTGCCACTATTTTCTAAGACATCTAAATGAATCGAAATTCATGAAAGAGGCATCTACTGACCTATTTTGAATCAAAGAGCAAAACTTTTTTAACTCCCCAATTGAGGCATCTTACCAGAAACCCATTTAAAAAAGAGAGTAGGGAATGACATGAATTATATAATTTTTAGAAAATACGAGCTTCTCTGGTTACAAAAACAACAGAAAATTCATGATTTGAGTATAACAGTTTAAATGTGTGTGGTGTGATTTATTCATGTTTTCAGAGAGGCTTGTCACTCCAGGCCCAATGTGTCATTCACTTCTATTCCTTAGATTTTTTAAACACTGTTCTACACTAAGACCCAAAGGGGGGTATTTGCCGCCGTCTTTTAGGCTCCGAACAGTCAATATGCAAAGGAGGGTAGACACTTTAGTAAAGTTTCTACCATTTTTTGCTTTTACTATTTAAATACTAGCCTTTAAAATATTTAAAAGAAAGTGTTACTGTGTTGCCCTTTGCATTGACTAATTAAAACTGATTGATTAAAAGCTAATAAATAGCTTGCGTGAACATCAGATAATCCCACCTTGAATGAATAAGGGAAAGTTGGAAATACAATTAAGTTGTTTGAGGTCTACCCTAAATCATGATTTTAAGAAAAACAGTTTTAAAGGTCAGAGCTCCAAATGGGGGAGGGAGGTTAGTGAGGGAGCTCCTATAGGACACAGGACGCTGAGCTCTTTGTATTTCTTCTTTGTATAACAGTTATCTTTGAATTGAAGTGATTTATCTGCACTTAAACAGATGTAAAAGAAGTAAGAACTAATTCAGCCATTACAAGAAAATGTCCTCCTGGAATAGTGAACCCACCGTCACTTGATGCAAGGCCACCTGGTAAAATCCGTTTGACATAGACTCCAAACTCCTCTCCAGTTTGCTCCTTCACTCCACCAATCACTTTGATGCCTGTTGAGAGGAGAAGAAAAACAACTTTCATTTTGCTGCATGTCCTCAGCTCGTAACAGAGGGATAGTTGCTGCCTGCAATCTGCACGGCCAAAGACCCATTTGAATGGAGATTATGACTCACTTTATTATGTGGTTATTGGTCCCTGATCCCAGGGTGGTGCCCCATATCAATATTAATTGTGAATTATTCTATTGACATCAATAGTTCTATTGAGGTAAATAATTTAGTTCCATACTAAATAATGAGCAAACACGCTCCTAACCGTGCAGAACCATTCAAAACACAACCATCCAAACGCCATAAACTACCACAATGCAGAGGAGGTACTGTAATCTTCTGTAAATGTAATTTGCAGGGAGTGATTACCTCCTTTATTTATTTATTTATTTTATTTCACCTTTATTTCACACGAGTGACACAAACAGCACAGATACAACGCAGTATAACAAACACAACTGTATAAACTGTGTTTAAGTCACCACTACAAGTATATATCACTACTTCAAGCTTCGGAGGATGGAGGAAATTGGGATAAGACATAAATGAATAATAATATTTGGGACAGATGGGAATTTGAATATTGGTATCTCAGGGGACTAAGGGGAAGGTCATCTGTCAGGAGCTGCCATTTCATTTTTTATTCTTTGTACTATTGGCAGTGGTAAGTAAACTTAAGTTAAAGTTAATTTTCGGAGTCCTTGGTCAGACAACCTAACGTTACCTCGCTCCTTTGCTAAATGTAACTGTAAAGACAAAAGTGTACTATGAAACTCAAAGTACTTTTACACGATGTGGTATCATTAACCCATTCACACCCATTCATGTAGTGATCACAGGAGCTATACAAGGTGCCACTATCAGTAACTGACATTCACACACCGAAGTTACAGTGATGGTGTTCATTACAACACTAGCGGGGCCCGTGAGGAGTCACTAGCTGGGTAGTGAGAGAAATCAGCAGCCAGTCAGTGGCAATAAGAGATGTTTTAAGACAGGTTGAGGTGTGCGGCTCTTAACTGACTCTCAAATTATTAAGCAGTTTGATGCAGCACAATGAGAGATTAGAGGTGACAAAATCTCTATTACAGGCTTATGAAGAGTGTGATACTTTTATGTGTTTATACTGTTTTTTTTATACAAAATATCTAGGTGTGAAACACGATGCTTAGAAAGTTGGAAGAAACCTAAACGGTCCATTTTATTGTAGAAATGCATAAATGTACTAAAAAGACAACAAAGAAAAAACAACACCTCCTTATAGGGAAGTTACTGCTTTAGAACTACAAGAGGACGGAGCAATGACATCATAGCTGGTGGCCAGCAATGACGTAGTCGGCGTGGAAGACGCCCCCGCCCCAAATGTTATAAATCAGACACTGTGCCCGTGGGATGGCTAATGTATATAACCCAATGTTGTTCTTGGTTGTGAGCTGGAGCACAGACAGTAGTGGCCTGTGGGCTGTGAATGCTTGGGGACCCTCAATTGGGAAATATACTCCTGTATTACAATTTATATTTTTTATTAGAATCCCTATATTATAACTCAACAAATCCTTAGTCGCAGCCATAAAGGTTTCTGAACACACTACAATTGTCAAAGATACCTCAACACCCAATAGGTAAAATCATAGATCTGTGAGGTCCATTCTTTATCAATAGAGAAAACACTATGCTAAAAAGACTGCGTAGACCTGTAAACTATCACTTAAAGTTCACTGTTCATGCAGCCTATATCGTCCCACTAGTACAGGAGGGGGAGAAACACTTCTATCAGGCAGCAGGTTCAGGATCTTGGCCTCCTTACGTCCAGTGTCCACGGAAGCAATATCAGTCATCTTTTATTTTTTTGTACAATAATAAAATACAACAATCCCCCAGAGCCCATTATCCAAAGATGTTTAATGATTTAGATGGAATAGCACGTAACTACATTAGTTAAGTGTTATTCCATTCCACTTTTCTACAATTGAAATATCATCAAAAACATTAAAATAATGTTCTCAAAGACGTATTGCTCAGTAAACATTAATCCACAATATCTTTACATAGATCATGTTTGATATTTTGCTATATTGATGCTCTGAATATCTGATAGGACCTCTACCAATTTACAACACATTATTTACAAGTGAGCACTATATAGTGAATCAGTGTTTAGCAGGCAGGTGGCATCAAACTGTTCCTGGTTATCAATCACCAAATATCCACTATTTAGCTAATGGACCAGTAGAGTCATGGATGGTATTAACAGTTAAACCCATGGACTAGATCATTTCGCACCCATTGTGGCAATAACTGGTAAAGGTTGACCCATCTATTCTAGTAACACGTGTTCCACCACTGTGCGTGAAGTAAATACATCAAAGTGACTCAAGCTTAGCTGGTACAGTCTCTTATTTCACCATTTATTCAGGGGGCCGACAGTGTGAGGCTGCTGTTGGCCTTTTACCACAGAGACAAAACTGTAACGCTAATTGGGTCTGGAGCAAGAGGCGCGTTAATTATTGCCTGTTGGAAGAATGGAGATATAAGATTCTCTTCTGATCAGGCTCAGAGCACTTTATCTTTGGAAAAACATCACAAAAAGGCATGTCTGTATAATAGGAAAAACGTCTTCTCTCCTTCCTCAGATGCACATTTTGTTATTCAAATCATTATATCCTGTTCAAGATTTATCAAGGGTATGTTTGCTTCTCAAGGATTAAAAGTTCCAACACTCTTAAGACCTTGTAAAGATCACTAAATGTAAAATAAACTGTATCTACGTATATGGTGCTTTTCTAGTTATAGCAACTCAAAGCACTTTAAAACACATGTTCACACACTCATTCATACAGCACGTCCCACCTGCTCAGAGGGGCATAAACACTCACAAAAACAATCCCTCCGGCCGCAAGTTGGAATTCAGTAAGTCAGTTGGACATGTAGACCAGGGATCGAACCACCGAACCAGATAGCGGAGTGCTGTACCTCCTAAGTCACATTCACCATGAACAACATGGTTCCACATTCAAGGGTTGAAAAGATTTCTGGGATCCATTGATAATGTATTATCATTATGGAATGTTGTTATTCCCCATTTGTAAGACAACAAAACTGTACAAAAAAAATCTATGGGCAGATAATGGGACTTTAAACATTCTGCAATAGGAAAACATTGTCCTTTAACATTTACTTCAACACGGTGTGGTTTCTGGACATTAGCAGACTGAAAACAATTCAACGGAGATGATTTTCACTGTAAACCATGCTGAGGGAGTGATGCTTCCAGCTGCATTAACTGCGAGATTAGCATGTGCATTCCTCAGACTAGAACAGCATCACTGTAGGACTGCTGTGCAAGCTACATGAGTTAAGCGCGGTCTTCAGGCTTTATGTGCTTTACTTTTCACCTTCGTGGTGCCTAAATACAGCAGGTACACACACACACACACACACACACACACACACCTTCAGCATGCTTACACCTCTCTCTTAACATTTAAGTCTACATCACCGACCAGACAAAACAAAAAGCTGAAACAAAAAGCATAGACTTGTAATGATAAGTTTGTCCTCTAATGCTGCTAAGACAAGTGTGACGCTTTAGGGTGTAACTCATAATTGTCACGATCGGGGTGTAGGCAGAGGCAGGACCCAGACATAGAGTTTGAAAACAAAAAGACTTAAATAGTCAAAATCAAAAATGGCAAGGGGCAAAAATGCAGGTGGGGACCAGGAACTCACGAGACACTAAGGGAATCACAAGCAGGCATAACATGCAAACATTCAGTAATGACGCGACAAGGGGCAAGAGACACACATGGCTTAAATACACTGGGAAGGTGCAGGTGATTGGACACAGGTGGAAACAATCATGGACACGCAGACAATCACAGGGGAGGACAAGGCAGGAAGTGAAGTAACCCAGGAGCATCAGAGGCAGGAAACTACAAAATAAAACAAGACGTGAACCCAAACCGTGACAATAGTGATGGCTGAATTCACTGGCTGATTGAAAGGCATTAAAGACACTAAATGTACCAACTCTGTATGCAATTTCAATTCGCTTAATAATGCAGATTGCTGCATTGCGAAATATACTCTATATGAATTACATGTATATTAATCTCAGTAGTTCTGAATTATTCTTTAAGTTTTTCTAAGCTCTTTTAGATCCCATTATATTCATAACTCAACACGGCTACACCATCCATTCTTCAAAATTCTATAGTCTTAATCATCTGACACATTAAAGGTGCTTTATTCCAAACCCAGAGCATAGCTGCTGCGTCCACGCACTGTGGGAGTACTCAAGATCAGTCTGTGTTGAATTGGAAGGTATACACATCAGAGAGCTGAGCTATGCACTATTAGGCCTGCAAGTCTATCCATCCATTCATCCATCTTCAACCGCTTATCCAGGGTCGGGTCGCGGGGGCAACAACTCCAGCAGGAGACCCCAAACGTCCCTTTACCGGGCCACATCTACCAGCTCTGACTGGGGGATCCCAAGGCGTTCCCAGGCCACTATAGAGATATAATCTCTCCACCTCTCTACCTGGGGAAGGCGCCCAGGGGGCAACCTCACCAGATGCCCAAACCACCTCAACTGGCTCCTTTCAACGCAAAGGAGCAGCAGCTCTACTCCGAGCTCCTCACGTATGGCTGAGCTTCTCACCCTATCTCTAAGGGAGACGCCAGCCACTCTCCTGAGGAAACCCATTTTGGCCGCTTGTACCCTTGACCTAGTTCTTTCGGTCATGACCCATCCTTCATGACCATAGGTGAGGGTAGGAATGAAGATTGACCGGTAGATCGAGAGCTTTGCAGAGGCCTGAAAGTGCCTTAGCTAACTACGGTAACCTGCTGAAACATGGCTTACTAACAGCAGACCTTTAGTATGACCTGCCCTCCCTGGTAGACATACTGTAGGGTGCCAAGTACACATTTTTCATGCTGGAATGAAAGGTTTTTAGATGCTACGGGCATTCAGGCATTTCAGCCCGTGGTGTCATATTGTGGTGCTGATTGTTTTCCCCTGTGGTGGGCGGGACTTATGTCGGCACAAGCTCCACCAGTGTGATGGTGCATGGATAAAAACAACAGCAGCTCCCTGCATGCTTAACCCAGCTGAGTTAAGTGGGTTAGGGCTTTGCCACATGACCTACTTCTCCAGCTAGACTACCATTCTGGTACTTAACAAGGATACCTACACTGCAGAGAAAATCCCTTTAAAAGTAGGACTTTTGTATTTCAGCTATTTAAAAATCACACTTGCCAGATAGCGGCAGAAGATTGAGTTTTTTGGCTTACAAACATTATGTTGTCAAATTATTGTCTTTGCCTACAGACTGGCCGTCCCGTGCTCTGTCCACTGGAAGGAGCGTGCTCACCTGCCAGCTAGTGTCTCCGTGTGTCCATGTGGGTGGAACCGCCGTTCACAGCGAGGAGTGGACAGTTGTAAACGTGAAGAAGAAAACTGCCAGATTTTCTTTAATTTTTATTTGTGCTTTAGAATGTTTCCATCATACAACTTTAGAGGGACTCCTCTGTCGTTCTCCCTTAGGTTTCCTCTTTTCCCCCCCCATCAAAGGGGTTTGTATTTTGATTTTATTATTCTTTCCTGTGCCAATGTGAGGATCTCGGGACATGTGTCGCAAGACTGCAAAGCCCTCTGATGCCAATTTGTAATTAGTTATTTTAGAAAAATTTAATACAAAATAAAACAAATTAAATTGAATTACCTAGGGATGAATGCTTGGTTGACTAAAAGTAGGAGACAATTTGATGATGTATGTTATCTCTAAACTGTTTGCTAACCATCTCACCATAACACTTGTTCTGCTGCACTCAAGGGGACACAAGTCAATCAGAGTACATCAGAGACATGAAGGGGACATTGGTATCCACAGGAAAAACAGTACCTACAGGTGTTTAAGAAGATGCATGCTTGTTGAAGAGAAAGAAAGACTTACCCAGGCCGTTCTCACAATCGGTAAACTCCATGGAATGAACAGCTCTGTCTACTCCGTACGGACCCATTAGTGTCCTGTTAGAGATGGAGGAGAGAGGAGAATAGAAGTAGATCACAAATGACTTCTGTACATGGTTTCCCTCACAGATTACACCTTCCAGTGGCTGGTGGTCACAGTCAGACTTGTTGTGAAGGCATTTGACTATGTGACGAATAGTTTGTCCTCAACCCTTCCAACTCTCCCAGCTGAAAACACCCAGTTGGAGCACTGGGACAGTTTCGGAGCCACAGTGTTGCTCATGTAAAGAAGCTTTGGTTGCGCCTGATTTCTATGATGTGAAATAAGTAAAACTGTCCTGTCCTTTGGGCCCTTGTTCTGGATGAGGGGAAGGCTGGAGCAGGTAGGAAGTGGAGACGCACAGGCCCATCTTTGTAGGTTCATGAGATTTTGAGAGCAAAAAAATATCTCGGTGAGTGTTGGTATTGATAGTGAAATGCAATAAGGAAATGGAGGTGCTACTCAGCACAACAGCAAAAAACCAACAACCTTTGCACCCAGCATTGGGCGTGTATTCAGTACTGCATTGGATTTTTTAAACTTTTTATTTATTTTGTTACCATCCTCATTATTAAAACATTCATTTTTGATGCTAACTGCCACAAGACTAAGATTCAAGACTATTCAATAATTCAAATCTTTTTTCTTAAATAAAACTAGGGTAGTATTTCACATCACATGACACACATGTCTAATAATTGATTACCCGGTTAATTTTGAAAGATCAACGGCCAACGGGGAACTCCAACACCGGACCAACTATTGGAGTAACTCAATCACTTCTTCAGGTAGTTAAGAACAGACCTCATGCATGTAAGGCTGACTCCACTTTGCTGCAGTCCAGCTTAAAGCAGTCAGCCTGATGTATGGTGGATACCACAGTTAGCCGATACACCGTCTTCCATCTCTTGCTTGCAGGAGTTTGAAGGAATACACCTCTGGATGGACACAGAGGTGTACGACAGGTGCCTGTGATAATAAATATATTGACTTATCGCACTATGAAAATGAGCGGTCACCGACCATGCGTGAACCCACCGTGTTATGAAGTGTTATTTTTCATGACAGCTAAGCAAGTCCAATTGGACTATCAAAGCCGCAATCTTCAGCTCCGATGTGGGAACATTTTGGCTTTAAGTGGAATGAGAGAGGAGCGCCAATAGAATAGAACGAGCCGGTATGTCAACTTTGTTTAAAAGCAGTGACAAAGAAAAAAGGCAAAACGAACTTAAAATCTAGTTTAAGACACATCCATCCCACCCAGGCTTTCAACCTGAACTACTGTTGGGACCGAGGCGCCCCGTCCCTGCCTGCAGCCACGGAGCGCGTCGCCCGAGCTGACACATGTTCTCAAACCCTTCCACATCGCACCGAGCCCCTTGCACTTATTATTGGTTTCATTTATTGAGGATATATTTTTTAACATTTTTAACGTTCTTTGTTCTCTGAAAAAGCGTACTTGTATTATTATGCTATTATATTGTCATATTATTATAATGTAATCTGTGGCATAAAATGGTCTGCAAATTACAATGATATTGTTTAACGCAACTGTGGTTGCTAATCAATAATCAATAATCAATAATTGCTCAACAAAAAGTAGTTAGTGACAGCCCTAGGGTACACAGTGTTTCTCCTACCATTAAAACAACCTGATTGTTACTGATACTTGATTTAATATTTGGCCAATTTTTTGCATTATCATGTTTCTCGATCCAAACCTTGATGAATATCTGCACCAATTCTGTGTTTTGTCTGGCGGTGAGCAGCGTGAGTACAATGAGTTCAGCACAGCCGATGGTGACAAAAATTGTTAATATCTTAAAGGTTTCGTCATTTTCTCATTTTAATATTATTTGATCTAAATTGAACATTTGTTTTATAGTCTGGTGTAAGGTCTTTGAATTGTAGAAGTTAATTACAAGAGATACATTTCCTTATGATTTGGGGAGGGGGTTGGACATACTCTGGTGCAGCCCACTTTCCCTTATTCCTTATCCGTCTACAATTTGCTCAATGAGTTAAATTCAATAGTATAGACAAATCAGTACCTACTTACATCCATGTTAACCTGTAAAGACTACCAGCAACACTTTCTAAAGTATTTTTAAATATGATTGTGTTCACAGTTTGACATCTGGCACAAGGTATTCTCAACAATGGAATCCACACTTTCCTGCGTGGTTGCCGAGTGAACGACAAGGAGCATTATCAGGGTTCATAGCAACCTGCTGTCAGTGAAACACTGGGGCTATTGAGGACATGCTGAGCTTCGAATGAGAGCAGTGTTACGAAGGAAAGCAGCAGCAGAACGTACGAGTCATGTGAAGAGTGTCAGTATATCTGCGACTGTTGTATAGATATATATGTCAGATATATTATTATTTAACCATCATTAAATCATTCCAAGCCTCACTGTCAAACATTTGATGATTTTGTGAGAATTATCTGCTTTTCTTTGTTTGACACTTCTCTAGAGTTCAAAAAATGAAATAAACAGCTGGAATAATTGATCATAAAATGCACCATTCGTCCCTATAAAGCCTGGTTCATCACTAGTAATCAATAAAAATGTCTATTACAACCCTGAACCTGTAAAAGTACATCACTCGTGCAACTTTTTGAAAGACAATGAATCCAAAGAAGGCTGCACTTGAAGAAACCAAAACGGACATCAAACACAGCAGAGAGAAGCAGAGACATCTTGTGTTTCTCTCCACAGCTCACCCAGAGGGAACACTCGGGCACCAAGCACCTGCATTCCGAACAGCACGCACCGCGCGTTTACAACACAGCTCGAGCGCCCCTCCACCCCCCCCCCCCCCATCACTCCGCGTTACCTGCTAATGATGACAGCTCCCTTGTACATGACTGAAAAGGTTGGCATGTTGACATCGGAGCCCGCTTCTCTTCAGCCTTCCGTGAGCAGCCACATGATGCTGTGCAACTCCAGCTCAGCACACTGTCCGCTGCCACATCTCCCCCTCACTCACACGTGTAATCTCTTACATAACCAAAGCCCGCGAAAAACGAGAAGGGCTCAGAATGTGGCGGGAGCTTCGTATGATGACTCGCGGTCACTTTCCTCGGATGGATGGTCACGCCTATTCATTGTGGCAGTGGTTGTGTTAGAAGGAAAGTAACGTTATATGGCAGTAAGAAATGTGGAAATATTCAACAGCTTGACAAATCCATACCAGTCAATAGTAACCAAATTAAATAACAATAAAGAAACGGATGGAAAAAAAACATTAGGATTTCACAATGATTTGAATAAACGTTTCCTCTGCCAGCCACTGCACTAACATCTGCTCAGACAAGCAATACAAGCGGAGTTAATGCGTTCCCCGCTCTCCATTTTAATCCTCAACTGACATCCAGGACTTTGCATTATTATCTTCAGTCAAGCCTCTCAGTAGTGGTTCTTGAGTGTGTTTTTTTCTCTCTCATAGACCAGGCTGGGAATATCAATTGTATTTTATCAATCAATCAAATCATTTTAAAAAAAAGAATAATTATCTAATTAACAATAAAATATCTGCAGTTTGATACTTTGCCTCCTGGCTATGCAATAAATGCACTTATGTCTACAGCTATTGATTGAACTTTTCTTGCATGGAAATAACACATTAGAATTCCAGGTAAAACTCCAGACATTATGATTATTGCCTTCACACGGCAACGGCCCACCTGGCAGGTGGCAGTTAAGTGTGCTATTAGAAGCTAACAATACGTCCTGAGGAAGGATCATTCTCTGCTGTAGTTATTTCTCGTCTAGATCTGTACATGGACCTTAGTTGGTTTGAATCTATATTTCAACACTCTGAATGCCGTATGCCTCCCCCTTCATTCTGAACTATTGTGCTGAGCAGCTGACTCTAATGGACAGATGCCACATAGTCGGCTAAGGCCCCCAAATCAATGATCACAGGACTCAACAGTCCTTGACCACAAAACATCTTCAAAAGCAAACACATGTACTAGTGCATCAATCTAATCCAATTCAATACAAAACTGTGCAGTTTAGTTGAAATCACTGAATATTCACAGACATAGTTTCCCCTGGCAGCTATAATACAAAACATTCAGCGTAAACCTACAAACACATACACAACTGTATCTTTAGGTCCAGAGGGAACCCAAAACCGACAACCACATTTTTACCAACCTAAATATATGTGAACATTTCCTAGATCAACTCAGCGTAGCCTCATTATACCTTTCTGCTATCTGCAGTAAACCTGGCTTAACACAGTGTTAAACAGTTGAAAACATACCTGGCAAAACCCAGAGGCACTTTCAACCTTTGGAACATGTCTCCGTTGTTGTGGAAAGCCTGGATAGCTGACTCTTGCTGCTAACATTGGCTCTGTATATTCCCCCGTATGATGCACCACAGCTGCCGAGCAGCTATGAAGAGTACCATTTGATAAGCTCATTGCAAAAGGGTAATACGCACAAATCCATATGGCACGACAAAGTGCTAAATATAGACCTTCATAAGATACTGGCTCAATTACTGCAATGTAAGCACCACATTACTCTGAATACATTTGATATATTACCCCACATTTAGAAACAGAGTTTGCTTTCGCTCCAACAACTGACAGCTGTTAGCTCCGCCTGTTTGTGAAACCCTGATTAATTTATGCATTTGAAGCTGGATTATTTGTTTAATTTGTTTTATTCTGGCATCTTGCATGTCGCTGAACAACCTCTAAACTCGTAATTGAAATCCTCTGATTGTTAGAGGGGCAACACCTCTCAAATCCAGTAGACATTGAGCAACATTAGCATTCATAAAGGTACTGCCAATAGAACAATGCAGGTGTCAAAAGTATTCACATTCATTACTCAAGTAGAAGTACAGATACTAGGGTTTAAAAAGACTCCTGTAGAAGTTGAAGTATCGACTCAAGTTCTTTACTTAAGTAAAAGTATAAAAGTACTGGTTTCAAAACTACTTAAAGTATAAAAGTAAAAGTAATGTAAGAAATTCCATTAAGGACTTAATGCG